AGACTCAGAACTAGGTTCTGAGACCCAGAATAAATTTGTTCCCATTCAAGGATGACATCCGTAGAAAGGGGAAAAACCCATCCACGCTGTTCAAAGGAGGAGTCAGCTCTACTGTGATGCCTCTGCGAACACCCACATACCAACGACTGGGATAAAGATGATGATATTCATACTGTGCACTTTGACATGCTCCTCGGTGCCAATCCCATTTTACAGTTCTGGTTCAATAATGACTCAACAGTAAAAGCTTGAGATAGTGTCAGTTAAAATGAGACATTACCAAGACATCAAATAAAAGCTTTGAAACTAATCAGCTCATGCTGGCATGGCGGGAAACCTTTTTATCATTCTCATTACGAACATGCTGTGTCTTTTAAAGACACACTGAGGTGAGACATCAACTACATCAGACTGTGGTATGATCTCTCAGGTGTCACTGCAACAAGACCAGGAAAATGAAGCTTACTGTGGCCACACAAAAAAAAAAGTTAGGCTGAACTTTTAATTTGTTATAAACCGGAAATCAGTCAGGACCAGAGTCTGGTTTTCCATGTACCTTCTTAATGACCAGTTGTTTGTTGTTTGTACACTCTAAAAACACTTGGGTTATTTCTTCAACCCAATTCCTGGATTATACGTGTTGAGTTAAATTTCTGGGTTATTTTTCAGATCCATACCCATTTCTTGGGTCATATGGATTCTATTGTAACCCAATTTGAGGGTTTTTTAATGGGTAAATAATTATGGGTTATTTTTCTGAGAGTAACCCAATAATTGGGTCAGAACGTTGGGTTTGATTGACTCTGCATGGACCCGAATGAGACACATCTGTAAGGAGCGAAGTACGTCTACCCGTGTGGGTCCTTAGGCAAGACCCTCAGCAGTATGGCCTACCTCACAAACAGAATTTTTTTTTTGTGTGTGTGTTGAAATTCTTTATTGGGAATACCCCTTGAGATGAACCATCTCGTTTTCAAGGGGGTCCGCAATGCAGACACATGAAAATCACATACAAAAACAAAAAAAGCAATACAGAAACAAAATAGACAAAAAGAAATACCAATCACAATAGACATCATCACAGTATGGCCTACCTCATAAACAGAAATGCGTTACCACTGAAAGCAAAACCAGCTAAGATGGTACAGGTTGTAAAAGCAAAGCTCCCAAAAAAAGCTCCCCTAATGCATAATTCAATTTAACCCAAGATTATGAGTCAAATTAACTCGAAGATTGGGTTAACTTGACCCTTAAAAAGAGTTATTGAGTCAACCCAGAATGTTGGGTTAATTTGAATAACCCAACATTCTGGGTGAAAATAACCCAATAAGTAGTTGGTCCCTTTCCAACCCTGGTGCTCGGGTTTTTAGAGTGTACTACTTGTAGCATTCAAGAGACTCATTGGACATGGATGATTATTCTTGCTGTGTTAGGACTGATTTTGCGCCTGAGCTGGGCACCTTAAAACCCCCTGAGTGAGGTTAAAACATCTCAAAAAACTTTGTTCAACTAACTTTGCCTTTGAATTTGTGTTAGGCCTTTTGCTTCTTTTTTTATTGCAAATTTTTGTATCCCCAGTCTAAATCTCAGGAAATTTCACTTGCCTTTTAATATTCATTCTTACCCAGCAGCTCCGCTCCACTGCTTATTTCATTAGATGTTTCCCCTACAATTTTTTTTTCTTTAATGTAAAAACACATTTTCTGTTTCTTAAGCTAGAAAGCTCCTGGAACCGTTTTCCTGGGGTCAAAGTCCCCAGGTAGTTGTCCCCTTTTTCTTTTTTGCCTTTCTCTTTTTATTGCCTTTGCCACACGCTCACAAAAAAGAGGACAAGAGAATTGAAATTTCACTTCGGTTTTAAATCTCATCCATTAACAAGCCTGTGTGTTGTGTCTCCCACACACAGAGCCTTCCCATTCTGAAAGTGAACATCAAACAACAGCCAGCCAAAGGAGGAGGTGGGGAAGGAGGAGGAGGAGGAGGAAGAAGAAGAGGAGGATGTGTATAATTGTTGAAGCCCACAATAGGCTGCAGGGCTGCAGGAGCAGTTACAGACAATCACAGTCTTCTCAATCGGTCTCAGATGGTGTGATTAAGGAGCGATCTACAGCTAGCAGCGGCATCCAAGAATCTCATTTTTCAAGCAGTCACAGTGATTTCTCCATCTGGTTGCAGGAGATTCGTCGTCGCTTCTTAACACAGGTAGACAGGCGTCAGATTGGCCTCCTGCCCCATCCTTGGAGGGCCCGCTTTCAGGGAGAAGCGTGCATGTCTATGGAATACACATTTCCATGAGACAGAGGTGGAGGAGACAAACAGGGACAGCACTGGATTGCTTGCCAGCTTTTGGTATTGCAAGTAAATCCTCATGTGCTGTAATGAGGAATAAAATCAATTTGAGGCCTCAGTTTGTGTCACTCAAAATGAAAAAACGACGAATAACACACAAAGTGCTCGGGGCAGCGCAGACACAGATGCATGGAGAGCTTTTGTTGAAAGATGTTCCCAACGATTTATCTCAGTATCAGAGTTCAATTCTAGTAAATTGAAAAAGGCAATATGGTTTATTTCAAGATATCATCATATGGTGTGCCTGTAAAATGAATTTCCTCACAGTGTTACAGTTCACCATTATGTTCACCATCTAGTTAAGCGTGCTAACCTTTGCTAATTAGCACTAACCACCAAGAACAGCAGGGGCTGATGGGAAAGTAATGAGGACAAATCTCATTTTTGAGCTGATGATGTGGCTTTTAGGCAATTGAAGGAACTTTCCGAGCCTCAAATTTTTAGAGGAGGGCCCATCTAAACACGATATTTAATTTAAAATAAAGTGGTAGATCAAAGGGAAGGGTGTCTCTCATAATAGCATCAGAAATAAAAAAGAGAAGTCAAGTTTATACATAGACCTCCTGAGTTTCTCCAGAATCCCTGGGTAGAGACGCCGTTACCACAGTCTGATTGTAAGGCCATGTGTGCCTCGGTACCTTTACTCTGACGGTGGAAGGGCAAAGAGTCCGTGTGAGAGCCGGGGTCAGCCACAGTCCTGTTGGCTTTGCCGAGACATTTGCTGAATGACAAATGTCCGTGATGGGTGGCAGAGAGGTTCCAATTACCTCTTTGCCTGTCCTCAGTGTCCTTTGTAAGGCCTTGCAGTCTAAGATGGTGCAATTTTCAAAGCAAAGTGATACAGCTCCTCAGAAAACTCTCGATAGCCCCTCTGTGAGGGCGAGAAGGTGATAAAGTGTTGTGAGGATAGGGGATTGGAGATGCACTTTCTTCAGAGAAACAAGAATTCAGTACTTCTCTGTCTCTGTGCAGGACTCGTTGTTGCTCAGTTAGAAGTGTTTGCCTCGTGTTCCCTTGAAGATGAAACCCTCTCTTTGTCCGTGGTTAGGATTAAGTTGTTGACCTTGCATTTCCTGTTAGCTGTTTGACTTCCTGCCTGTATGGATTAGACCCACCACAATCATGCCTTTAGCTATATCAGGTATTAAAACACAGTCGTGGGTCACAGGTGTGAAAATCAGTGGACTGGGCACACAGCCCTGGGGGGTGCCAGTGCTCACTGGGAAGGTGTTGGAGGTGTTGTTCCCTTAGGGACATGTTTGCTCTTGAAGCAGTCACAGGTTCTCAGCATTGCATGCACCTCTACTGTCATCCTTGGATTACTACAGTGGCGTCATCAGTGCATTCACCGATATTACCGACCACTACACATGTGTAACCTCTGAGATGATGGAGTTGCCATTCAATGCAGCAGATCCAAATATGTCCCTGTGTATTTAAAACAGTTCCAAAGGGCTTTGTTTGAACCCACTTCTTCCACAACTGCCCTGTATTCAGATCGATATGGTTATTATCTAATATCTGATATTTCTATTGATCATCCAAGACGGTGATAGGAGCAGTTGCATAATTACAGGACATGCCCACATTGCCTACCTGTGTTTGTGCATGACAAACTATACTGTGCTAAAGCCATGGTACTGAGTGCTTATACGTATGGATTGCCTATAGCATGAGTGCACCCAATAATGACGGTGGTAAATATCAATGTCTGCGTTTAACAGGCATTGTTTGTCTTGTCAGTGAGCTAAACTGAGTTATTTTAACTCTTCGGATCAGAGAGGTCCAGAAAGATTCCCCAGACTAATTCCCGAAAACCTGCAGCTCTACCCTTTTCAGGATGGTAGATCTTCTTTGACATTTTTCTGTAACATAAACCTACATATACAAGTACTTTCATGTAAAAGAACCTCTGTCAATGCAGATTTAATTTAGTGGATCCATATAACTGAGATTATTGTAAAAGTATGTTTTATAAATGCATGTCAGAGACCAATCGAGGGTCAAGAGTGGCACTAAAAGAAAGTTTAAAAAAGCAGCTTTAAAAAGGAAGAAATCTTTGGTTGTTTGTACTTTGGTACCCCTGTTAGATGAATAGAACAGAAATACCTTGATTTTTTATCTTCAATTCGACCTCCTTGAAAATAAACTCATTTTACCTGAATGTTCCCTCTTACTTTGTGAATCACTGATGAAAGTTTCTGCGATCGAGTCCATGTTGATATTAGTACAACACTGCCCTCTGATGGTGATTTTTTACAGGAGGGACAATGAGTTTTACAACAAATCTGGTTTGAGCTGTGAACAGAATTCCATGTTTTGCATGTTGTCTGTAAAATAAAACAAGATACAGCAGCGACTTTGATCCTCTCTGTCGAAACAAAGTCTTCTTGGTGCTGTACTTGTTACACTTCAGGTGCAGGAATGATGGCATGGGACTGTTCAAGGACAGCTCAAATGTGTAGTGAAAGCACCTTTCACTTAGGCTTAATTATATTTTCTGAGCTCTTGTTTGTGTAAGTGCTGGTGGAGTTCAGGTTACACAGTGCTATATAAATTATGCACATGTATAAAACATGCCTGAAACTGTCCTCTCCCTCACTTTTCATGTCATGTATCAGCCTAAATGCTGGGGGAGAAATGCCTCTAGGTCAGACTTTGAACATTTATCAAAATGAAATATACTTTGCAGTAGTTGAGTTGATGCTATTTCACATTAGACCTGGAAAAATGGGCATTTAGTACCATCAGAAAACTCACATCTCCCTCACATAACATGGTTTTGGACTATCTTGAGTAGACTTGTCATGTGACTCGGATGTCCAGACTTTAATTTGCCCCTAAATAAAACAGGCATAGTACTGTAAATAGTGATTTTTAACTTAAAAAGGAATGAAAAGCCGATACACTTTTTATAAACATGTGTTCATTTTTATTGGACTGAGACAGTCAGCTCAAACAAGGACTCCATATTGTTTCAGAACGTCTGTGTATTTTGCAATCTTGGCCTCAACGTTCTTCTCTGCCTGCTTGGTCAGCTTGATGACTGTCTTTTTCTTAGCATAGCGGAGCTTGGCCTTCTCCTTTCTCTTCTCCTCCAGGGTGGCTGTGATAGCCTGGTACTTCCAGCCGACCTCATGTGCCAGACGCCCGAGAAGAGCGAACTGAGAGGGACAGAAATCAAATATTAAAATCACATGCATCACAGGCTTGAATTTACCACCTAAAAATAAAGTTCAAATTTAACAAATAACCCTCAAAGATTGAGATAAGAATATTTTTATGAGCTTCAATTTTTGCATCATGTATTTATATCAATTTGAAGCTTCAACCACTCGTCCTTCACTTGAACTCAGAAATCAGATCCGAAAAGTTTGTCTCATCAATAGATGATCAGCTTCGGGATAAAATGCTCATCATTATCAAGGAAGAACTGCTGTGGCTGGTTAACTGAATCAATTTGAGTTTGTTGTTTTTTGTATTTTTCAGCACATCAAGGTTCTCCTAACCCCTAAACCTCAGAAGGCTCTTGATCACATTTTAAAGGCTTACCTTGCGAGAGGGCTTCAGACGCACAATCTTCAGAGCAGCTGGAACAACCATGCGCTTCCTCTGTTGAAAAAGACCCAGAGTCAGATCCAGAAAAAACAGACACAGGGTCCTCATATTCAGGGGAACAGCAAGTCTCAGACAGTGTTTCTTTTCATAAGCACTAGTCAAACAAGGTATGTAAGGGTTGAAAGTGACATCATAGACAGCCGAGTTGAAGCCAGGCCCCACACATTATAATCATGTGGCTCTTAGCTGTTATGAGGGATTCGGCACCTTGTCATAGGGTGGAGGGATACCGTCGAACACCTTCAGCCTCTCCAGAGCAGCCTGGCCTCTCTTGGTTTTGTGGGGCAGCATGCCTGGTTAGAAGGGGGAGAACAGAAGAGTCCTTTAGTTCAACTCATTTGCAAATTGAAACCCTAACACCCTCCATTTGTCAGTTGGTCTGAGCACAAAAAGTCATTCCTACTCAACTCAGCAATCAGATCCGATAAAGTTGTCTCATCAATAGATGATCAGTTTCGGGATAAAGAGCTCATCATTGTCAAGTAAGAAAGACATGTGCCAAGTCAGGAGAACACAAACATCACACTTAATGCTGAAATCACCCAATCAGGGCAGCTCATTTAAAGTATCTGCAGCAGTACAGTATGTTGACAGATACACTTCCGCAAATTTCACATAAAACCCCAAACTCTTACTGTACACTAACAAAGTGGACAGTCAAAGAAATTGCATTCAAACTGCATATGAATATTTGTATATGTATCTACGCTCTTAAGTGTCCAGGATGCATATTCTCACCTCTGACAGTCCTCCAGAAGATCCTGCTAGGTGCTCTAAAGTGGTACGGTCCACGGGAGGGGTTGGTGTTCATCCTCTTGCGCAGGAAAGCCAGGTACTTCACTACAAAGAGACAAGTTATAAATCAATGTATGCTTCATTACTAACTAGATTCCACACAGAGAGCTACTGTTTGTTATGAAATGCTGATGTCTCAGATGGTAGTGCATGTAAGGTATTCTCATGGTCATTGAAACTCGAATAATAATGGTAAAACATCATTGACAGCAAGCATATAACGAAATAAATCACCCTACAGAATAAAACAAACTTACGCTTGTTGCGGTAGAAGTTTCCAGAGATGTTAATTCCTTCACATCTTACCACGACCACTTTGTGTCCTACAGGGGAAAAAAACAAACAAAAAAATTCAATTACACTTTGAAAATAACAAGTGTGCACTTATTTCTTTTACACACCGTCTCAGATGGTAGTGCATGTGAGTTTTCTCATGGTCGTTAAACTCGAGCATTGGGTTAAAAGATCATCATCATCGACAATTCCTTAAAAAAGGAGTCGCTGCAGTTTGTGTGGCCATTTGAGCAAAAATAAAACCACCAAAATTCACACATTTGATTATTATAACTCACCTAGCAGAACCTGTTTAGCCACGAGGGCAGCGAGCCGGCCGAGTAGATGGCCCCTGCCATCAAGCAGCAGAACCTGCAGAACCAGGGGATGCTTATGTTAGAACATTATCTTAAATATAACAATAACAGTCACAAGGGCTGGGCAATAAAACGATAGTGATACATATTGACATTTTATTTCCCTCAAGATCAATATGAAACATGGTCAATATGCTTTTCCATAGTCGGCATTCTGCCATATTTTGGTAGAATATACAGATAGTCAATGAAAAGGGGAGTTGCGCAGGGTCTGCTTCGGGGTGAACCAATCATGAGCTGAATTAGAACCAAGTAGCAAACAACTGCAAAGTAGACCTCACAGATGCAGTAGCTTATTGTATTGCAAAAGACATGCTACTAATAAGCACTGTTAAATTTCATTGTTTTATATCGTGTTATATATCTATTTCTCAATTTCACTGAACTTTATTGGCATGACTGTTACTACAATATAATATTACAGATGATGAAAATGGAAGTGTGCTGGAGTGCATTGTGCCAAATAAACCACCACCCACTAGGTTTACAATAGCTGTCAAGTGCAACAATCACCTGTCTGATCATATTGATATATGCTGGCTATTAAGACTCTTCCTTACAGTAGGATTAATAAAGCTGTTGTATTGGATTGAATTACACTGAGTTCCTGATGTAAATGCTGGCATTGACATGACTAACCGAACACATATAAAACAAAATGTCCGGCTAAAAATGATCAATAACCTGTCACTTTCTCACATTACTTCATAAGCCAAGTAAAATGGCACATGGACGCTGCTTTAACATTAGCTTAGCATAGACGCCAAAGCTCATGACACATTATCTATGACACAGACCTAAATGTCGCAAGTGAGTTTTAAATCCATTTACCTACATTGATTAAGTGAACAAACTCCTAAAAGGCGCCACGTGGAGAACGTTTAAACATCACCCTAACAAACCGTCAGCATTAGCTGAGTTAGGGAAGCTGCCATGATGAAGGCATGTCCACACTGCTGCAGCTAGCTGTCACTATTACGTCTTAAATCCGAGTCTTAAGAGGTTCACCGATCAAAATACCGATCATAACAAGCTAATACATTCTTACCGCCAGCAGGTTTGATATAAATACGACATTTAGCTTCTATTTGAAGCCCAAAATAACAGATAATAACTCCGCGGCGGTTACCCACCTTATTGAACCGGTCCGCCATGATGTGCGAAAAGAAAGATGAACGGGGTTGCTCGTGGTAAAAGGCAGGGGTAAGCGGAAGTGACGTCGAGTGTGGGTCTCTTACTCGCGCGATATTTTGCAGTACGATGTTATATCGCCGCTTCAGGACGGGGGATGAAATGTCTACCAAAACGATTTTATTCGTAAAATACCGTTAGATTGATGCTATGCAGAGGCTGATTTGTCGTCGTTTTTTGTCGAATTCTTACAACGAACTCAGTGCACGATGTTGGCTTTATATCGTCGACTATAATGGAGTTAATTATGTTCACTTAATTTATAAATCTAATAACTGGACTTCCATGCTTTTGGAGGCAGATTTTGCAAGCAGATACTCAAGGGATTCACAACGCCATGGTCTGATGGCTGTGGGTACAAAAGATCTTCTGAATCTTTCTGTCCTGCAGCGAAGAGAGAGGAACCGTCCACCACCATTGGCCCTTTGGTTCAATAAGGTGTTGTGAAGTGGGTGATCCATGCTCTTGAGAATAGTCTCCACCTTCCTCAGTGTAGATCTCTCCACCACATCCTCCACTGAGTCCAGCTTGAGTCCTAGGTATTTAAATGATGTCACCACTTCGATGTCCACTCCACAGGTGTTCACTGGCTGAAGAGGGGGTTTGGATCTACAGAAGTTTATGAACATCTCCTTTGTCTTTTAGGTGTTGAGGAGGAGGCAGTTGTTGTGACTCCAGTCACTGAAGGCTCTTATCAGATCTCTGTATTCAGCTTCTTGTTCGTTTCTGATACATGCCAAAACTGCATAAAAACTGTTGAGATAAAACCATAGACTGTACATCGAATATATACTCTAGAATATACTATATATAGTATACACAGTCTATGGATAAAACCTAAGCTGCGTGTCATTAATGAAAATGTATATTCTATTCCCATTGTGAGTATTCAAAATAATAATAATAATGCATCAGATTTCCTATAGCGCTTTATCAGAGACCCTCAAAGCTCTTTACATTGGATACATCATTCATTCGCTCACACAGTCACACTTTGGTGGTGGTAAACTACCTTAGTAGTTACAGCTGCCCTGGGGCAGACTGACGGAAACGTGGCTGCCATTTTGCGCCTACGGCCTCTCCGACCACCACCACACATCACTCACAATCATACATCAGTGGAGGACACACACTGGGAGAATGGTGGGTTAAGTGTCTTGCCCAAGGACACAACGGACAGACTTGGGATAGGGGAGAATCGAACCACTCTACCTCCTGAGCTACTGCTAAATCACATCTCTCTCAATCCTAATACCTTAGGTGGGGGAATTTTAACCTTTTCACACTTAACACAACATGCTATGGAGACAACAAGTATTTTATGAATGGTTTTAATAACCTTCAAGCATTTACAGAATCATCACCCACACATTCATGACGGTCTTGATAGAGTGCATGCAGCAATCAAGTAATAACCAAAAGCATCTGGCTGGAACGGTGAAGTTGGCAGAGCATTTTATTTGGAGGATTCCACTCAGTCATCATGCTTCAGCTTTCTGATCTTTCCCTTATGACGGTCAATCTCACGCTGCAGACGTTCAATCTCCTTTTTGTGGTGGTCTATTTCTTCTTGATGATGCTGCTTCAGTGCTGCAAGCTGCTCTTGCTCCTTACGCCTTATGTGTTCATGGACAAATAAGGTGGTGGGTGACAGCAGAGAAGTGGAGGAATAAACAGACATGAGGAAAATAGACAAAGAGAAATAAACATGAATAAGAAGGACAGCATGATAGTTGGAAGTAAAACAATAGGAAAATAATTGGAAGTTTAGGCTTCAGCTTAGGCCTCCATGAAAGACATGACACCATTTTCTTTGTTTACTGTGAAAGAAAAGAAATGCGTACTTGAAATACATCTCCTCCTCAGCGGCCTGCCTCTTCCCCATGGCTCCACCTGCCTCTCTGATGGATCCTCCACCGCCACCACCTTTTCCTGCACCTTTGCCCAGCTCACCCAGCTGAAAGGGTGGGGGAGCATTTATAAGGGAAACGCTTAGTATACTCTCAAAGACAAGCAAATGGCTTCAAAGCAGTTTTTAAATCCTTTCTTTCAGAACTGTATGAGTATGCAATTTGAGAACTAATGTCTCTCTGGCAAAGTTTTTACAGACACCTGTTTTTGTGACAGAAAGATACAGTCATATACCGTTTGTATACTACTCTGAAGGTTAAATTTCAGGGTTTTTTTTTTTCCAAAACGAAATGCTTTTTTTGTCTTTAAATGGTTAAACAAAGACTTCTAGAGCAATCCAGAAACTGTGTCACAAAGCAGCCAAAAACTTCAGAGGTCAAACCAAGTTTTTATTGAATTTCTCTCTAAATAAAGTGGCTTTACAGAAAACAGGTAATGCTATGATATTTGAAATTACGATTAATCCTTTCGTTCAATCCCTGACGTTTGTTTTTCCAGCGCATTGACCAACAACCTAGAATACCACTAGACAAATCTATCTGACCTATTGCCATGTGAACATGTCGATTTACCATTTGGGTAAAAAGCTACAAAGAAACGGCGACTCACACGAGACGGTTACAGAGACAAGTCCTTTAATCGACTGCTGTGTTTTCAGCACATATTTTACCTGGTCGGAAGACATTCTCAGCTGTGAGGTGACAAAAGTCCTGATGTTAGGCCTCAAAAACCTCGCCATGTTTGACTCTCACATGAGACAACAACACATCTGACGGTGACAGGAGAATATGCCCTTGTCCTCAAAAATACACCACAGGACGGCGCCATTTTTGACCACACGGGGGGTATGACAGGACGAGCATCACGTCGGTCTAAGATACGGAAATGAAAATCAATTTATACATTTATTAATGAACATAATTGGGTTCTTAAAATGTTTATGTGCAAGGAAAAAAAAGATATATCGTGTGTCAGAATAGGGACCAAGCCCCCTTTTTTGACAGTGGTATGGTCTCAGCAACAGCCAGACGAGTGACGCCGCACGTTTTTTACGTAGCCAGCTGCTGACCACACGTTTAATGGACGTATAATGAGATTAACCATCGGTGCTTACAATTCCATTTAACCATTATACACTTATTTAGGTGCTTTCAACTGTATATATAAAACAGACAATCTCTTGTTGTTTCTTTGGAATGTTAAGGATAAACATTTGTCAATACCACCACTTAATCCGTCTTTCTTTTGTCCAGAATGGACTCAGAGAGAGAAAAATAAAAGTTATAGGCATAAAAGTTAAAATCTGGAAGCCAAGAATGATCTAGAGAAAAATAACGTAGTCTAAATATATGTTCATGAGTTTAGGGTGAACCCTTACAGTATGCTCACACTTAAATGGTATACATCCAATTTAGAAATACCATAGAGAAATTGTTGCTGGGCTTGAACTAAAATAGACATAAAACGAAGTCAAGACTTGCAACTCAAGGAGCTCCTGAAAGATACCACAGCACACTAGCCCAGTTACCCCTCCATACTTCCTTTTTGTTCTTTCTTTCATGCTATTGAATCTATGAGAAAAATAAAACATCAATCAACCACAAGGAATGCTTTGAAGAATTTTATTCATTGCTGCAAAGAAGGCATACAGTTCCCTTGTTGAACAAACCAAGCACTGGCTTAAGTGGAGAAAGGAATCTTTCCCCAAGTCCCCTGTAAATATTTGCTTGCCAGGCAACTCTGGGCTCACTCAGCCCATAAACCAAGAGAAGAAACTAAGAAATATCGTTCAACTTCAAATTTCAAAACACATTCAACATTTTTCACAATTCACATCACACGTCATTTCTCTATTTGTAATAGTTACATATGTACAGGTACAGTTGGAACTTTGTTGACAAGCAAGTGCTTTAGAAAAGTAATACAAGGTTCCCCCATTGCATGTAAAAAATGAAAATCACAAGTCTAACCTAAGTTCAAATAAAAATGTCTGCACTGCTCTGTTCATCATGTGTCCACTGTCTGAACAAAAACAGAAATAATAAAAGGCCCTGACTTTTTTTTCCTGTGACAAAGTAATTTTTCCCTTGAAAAAATGAGAATTTTACTCGTAAAACATAGATGTTTTTACTCTTGCGCTTACCTGACAATATTTCCCAAACAGCACTGACTGCACCTGAGAGGCAAAACAAAGTCTGGCCTGTGTATCTGCAAAAAGCTTTGTCAAGAGCATGTATGATGACAGCTTCATCCCACCTACTGAGTCTCATTTTATTCAGTCTGTCATTAGTAAAAACCCATTGTATTTTATAGCTTTACACAAACTCGTATAACTTTTGCATCAGAAGATGAAGTAAAATCTAGAGTAATTTTAGGTTTCAGATAAGAAATGTCTTTCTGTTAGGAAAACTTTGTAATCCCAGAAATAAAATCATTTCAAAAAGAACCCCTGAGACATTCTGCAAAATATGAGCTGTGCTCTGACAGAAGCTTTTGCTAAACACACATTGCCCTGAAGTATTACTCTCAGTGAGTGCACATTAGGTGTCCCTAGAAAAAGCAGAGACTCAAATTCAAGGTCTTTTAGGCTGGCTTGTGTTGATATGTTTTGGTTTTGTAAAAACAAAGTTTTGAGGGGAACAGAGAAAAAAGAATGGCAAGCAGAGTAATTAATAAAAGAAGATAAAATAACATTAAAGGGGGCTGTTGGTAGAAAAAGACCAGGGTGCATCACAGAGCCAGGAGCGGTCTGCGGAGGCCGTTAGGAGGATGGAGCACTCGCTCATCCCCCTTCCAGCCCCGTCAGTCCTGCTTGACGTTGCCCAGTGCTCTAAGGCGCTCCAGAAGTGGAGGGTGGGAGTAGTGCCACATGGAAAACAACCAGTCAGCAACAGGGAAGCCCAGGTTGTCCTTGTTAAGCTTAATGAGAGCGGAGTAGAGCTCTGAGGCTTTGCCCATGCCACGAGCAAAGGCATCTGCCTGGAACTCAAACCTGCGACTCAGGACGGTCAGGCAGAAGGACAGAAGCTGCAAGAACAAAATTTTTAAGGTCTTAATTTTGGGGCATCTGCAAGTTATGTAGTTGTGAATTAACTTAAAAGTCTTAAGTCGTCATGCCAACCCAATACTCACCTCATTGTATGGGGAGAAGATGAACTGGAAGATAATCATCAAGCCTATCAATGTGGGTTGGCTCTCATTGAAGCCAAACGCCACAAACAGTTCTTTACGTCCAATCAGGACAGCAAACAGGGAGAAGCACAAGAAGGAATTCATCTGCAGAGAGATCGGATTTGGCAGATGTTAAGAGCATATCAACCTGCACCTGAATGTTGGCGCTTGATCTTGTGGAATCAGGCTGGCAGACAGTGAAAGAGAAAACAGCTGTGAAAAAGACTCCCCACCTGACTGATGACGATATTCTTGACAGTGTGGCCAAGCTTCCAATGGCCAAGCTCATGACCCAGGACTGCAAGGATCTCTGGGTTGTTGCATCCTTGTTTCTTGTTCTGTAAAAGTATTTGTTAAAAGTTAAAAACCTTTGCATTACATAAATAGACATAATAACTATAACAAAGCCAGATTACAAGCATCCCTGAAGTCAGATTAGAAAGCAACACATCTGTGATGCAGAGATTCAAATTCAAAATCATACAGCTATGTTACCTTGGGCTTGGCTTTTGATTCACTGGATGCTTCGTCGTTGTCTGGCTGCTCAGGCTGAGGCTCTCCACTCTTATTTAGAGGTGAGTAATCCTCCAGCAGAGTGTCAAACAGCACGATTCGTTTGTTCTTAAAGAACCCGTAAAAGTATGCATTGCTATGTGATGAACGTTTGGAACCTGAAAATACAGAAAATATTCCAGACATGAAAAAAAAAGGTGCATCGACAAATGACCTCTGGAATAGCTGCCAAAATAATGAATATATATTCTATTCAATGACAAGGGGACAAACAAACATGCAAATGGCACTCTTAAATTAGCTTTACCTTCAACTACATAGACCTTAGTGAGAGGGAAGCTTATACTCTTGGCCATAGACTCAATGTCTGTCTTCAGCTCTCCTTCTGGCAAAGGAGTGAACTTGTCGAAGAGGGGAGCAATGTAGTCAGCATAGATTGTCACAAGTATCTAGAAACACAGGAAATAAAGGGGGACAATATTAATGCATACCACACTTAAGTATGACTTTACTGTTATACATCCCACACCTAACAAAATACATGCTCTCTTTGAACTCCACTCATTTTAATGCAGCACTTACCAGAGACACAGCCAGAGTGAAGAGCCAGGCATAGATAAAAAAGTAGTCCCCGCCGATCTTAATGATGTACAGGAGCAGTGAGGTGACGGGCAGCAGGATACACTGGGTAACAACAAACTTCTTCACAGCATCCTTTAGGAAGAACCCTATAGTCTGAGAATGACGAGACATTAAACTATAAGGGTGAACAAAAGTAGAAATCTTCTAGGCCCCTGAGAATCAGACTGGACCCTCAGTTGTGGCGCAATCTACTGTTCAGTCAGTTTACCTGCTGGTTGAAACCGTGCTTCTCTTCTATGACGAATGTGTTGTACAAACTCCAGGGAAGTCCAGTTACGGCACTGAACATTGTGGCGAGTGTCAGAAACACAAGCGACTGGGTGATCTCATACTCTGAGCTAAACCCAAAGCGAGATGTCACAGAACCAGCGACGTCCCACAGAAATGGGATTCCACCCAAGAGCAGGATCAGCTGAAAGGTATCATATCATCTTTTAATGTCAAATTTAGTATGAAATAAGGATAGAAAACAGCACTTTCATTGTACAATCCTTGAGTTATACTTGAGAATAGGACTGGGCGACTAAGCATATTTACTCGATCAAACATGGCGAAAATGTGCGTCACAACAGCCAATCAGAGTCGAGTTTTTCCTGCTCACTTCTGTAAGTTGCTGGAGAAGTAAACAGAGTAACCAAACGTGGAGCTAAACGTGGAGCTGAGGGCAGTAAAATAGATGTCAGCCATGACTTTGAGTCATCCTCCAAAGATGTTATTGTTGAGAAGAAAAGTTGTTTATCATCTATCTACTTTTGTTGTTCTGATGAGTTAAAATGTTTTTTATAGTTTTCTTAGTTTTTTTCTATGTTAATAAAATGTTGAATTTAACTCTAGTTTTTTTAGTTTTAAGTACAGATGCTTTAAAACTGGCAGTTTAAAAAAAATCATGATAATAATCGAGATCGGCCGATATGACAAAGTATATTGTGATCATCTTTTTGGCCAAATCGCCCAGTCCTACTTGAGAACCTGTAAAAATTCTATGTCTTCTGTTTGTCTTACCGTCCCTTCAGTCTCAGAATAGAGTCCAGACCAGAAGCTAAAGTTGCTTTTATCCAGCTGATAGAGACGTGACTTCTCAAATGTTTCAGAGTCCATAATCTTCCCCAGCTCCTGTGGCACATGTGTCGTTGACCTGTAGATCCTCCTCTGAGAAGGGAGAAGGTTTTATTAAAGTATATTAGATCATTTTACATCTGGACCATGTTGCAGTTTTCATTATTATTGGTTAAACTCAAACACCATGAGATGAAAAGACATCCAGATACAATTAAGAATCTGTACTGGTTTGCAAGATCTGCTACTTCTCAGGAATGATTTTAGATAACAGACTCAAAATGAAGATTATCTCCCTCCCACACCTCATCTTAGCAGAAACTTTCAGCTTTATACTGAGAAATCACTGACTTACTTGTCTGTAAGACAGGTATGCCTCCCATATATACACTGTCCACGAAAATCCTAAAACAGCATAAAAGATCTGCTTCTCCACCGGGAGGTCGAATATAGTTTCAACCATCTTTTCTGTTTTTTTTTTTGGTCTGTGATCTTGAAGCAGGGATGACAGACAGGCCAGCAGGCTGACGGTTATATAGCCTGTAGTTTTTAGCTTCCGCTCTGCACACACAAACAAACAAACAAACAGAAAACACGTTCAAGAGGTAACTATCCTCTCGTTAAATCTCCAAACACCGACTAAAAAGGTCAACTAGAAAATGTTTCCATCCAGTTTCCATTCCTGAGTCGAGGCTTTTATAGCTAATATCATTCCATTCATGCGAAATGCGAGACTGACGCCGCAGTGTAGCAACGAATTGTGCCCCTACAGGGACGGCTGATATTAACATGGTTCCGGGGCTCGTTGATTTTAGCTGTGTGCACGTCTAGAGATAACGTTGATCTCACAGACTTTAATCATTCGATTATTTTAGCGTTATTATAAAACAATCATGATAAAAGACAAGTAAGTCCATCAAAACTAGCCTTTCGTCTTCATACCTCTGTGGAAACTAGGTACATCTGTGCAGAGCCGGGCCAAGGCATAAGCGAATTAAGCGCCTGCTTAGGGCCCCACGGCCAATAGGGGGGCCCCAGAAGCAATAATAATAATAATAATAATAATGATAACAATAATAATAAATTTTATTTTTTGCATGGTTGTGATGCTTTCTGTATGATCAAATATAGATTATTGTCATAAGTCATAGAGTACTTAACATACCTCGGAAAGAAGTACAGACTAGAATTGGCAAAGCTGCTGGAGTCTTCCAACGACTCTGAAACATTTGGTCGTCGAAATCCATCACCACGGCCACAAAGCTACGCCTCTATATGTCAGTGGTCATCCCTACAGCGACCTACGCCTATGAGACGCGAACGAAGACAGCCAGCATCACCAACAAGTTGGATGTCTTCCATTGACAGTGCCTCAGATCCATCCTAAAGATGTCATAGAGAGACCACATCACCAATGAAGAGGTGATGAGAAGGGCAGGTGTAACACCCTTGTCTGACATCGTCTCTGACAGGAGAAAGAGAATGACCAGACATGTACTCCGACTGCCAAGAGAGAGACCGGCAAGTGTGGCAATAGACTGGATGCCAGAGGGGGAAAAGAGAAGGAGAGGGAGGCCAAAGAAGACATGGAGACAAACAGCCAAGGAAGTCCTGAGCGAGATGGGAGTCAGCTGGCATGGAGCAAGAAGGGTTGTTAGGGACCGGAGCAAATGGAGGGGACTCGTTGCCCAATGTTCCAATAGGAACGGGAGGAACTAAGTCTAAGTAAGTAAGTAAGTAAAAATAAAGAAAAACATTTTAGTTCTGCTGCTGATGTAGGCCTGATTCTTACTGCTGATATGTCAAAGCTCTGCTACTGTTATGTGTCTCCTGCTGTGCAACATGCACTGAGCATTCAAAACACAGGTAGTTGTGGGGCAAAACAATGTTGCAAAAAAGGACACATCCTTCAGGAGCAGAGAAAAGAAAGAGGAAGAGAAAAATCGCTGAGATAAAAGTATGTTTGCATGTCATGGTATGTTAAAGAGATTTGTGAAAGTGTGTGAATGATCAACAATCAATATTATTGGCAGAAATAGAGGGCCCCAAAATCAAATTTTGCTTAGGGCCCCATTGAGGCTTGGGCCGGCCCTGCATCTGTGTGAACCTGTGCACCACATTCATGCTATTCGTAGAGCTCCGCATGTATTTGCAATAACCCTTTAATCAGGTCTCTCCATGAGCCCACAGGTGTTTTCAGTCTCTATGCAGTACAGCACAGTCATCCTGTAATACTTGCAGCTAGAATATATGCAGATGTACACCATATGACCAAAGTATCGGAGGGAATAATGAGTGTATCAAAGATTTTTAATCAGCAATTTACAGAGGCTGACATTGACAACCTGTCAATAACTATGTATTCTTCACAAAAAATACAAGCCTTACATCAAAAGAATGAATAGTCCCTCTAGAGAAAAAAAGTCTGAGATTAAGACTGAAATCTAAGAATATAAAATAAAAGTTTACATGTTATCTGCACAGATTAGCAATACTTGATGCAAGTCATCACTTGTAAATACAGTTTAGTCGTGACGTGAACAGATATTTTTTTACACTGACAATATAAATTTCTGAAAAAAAGTACCACATTCAGTACTTGAGTGTTTACATCATATTTCAGGCATTAGGGTTTCTTAAAACAAATGCTGCTATTAAACTAGTTCATAAGTTGTACTGTCGACTTCAGCTCCTCAGGTGCATCTTACTGTTATGTAATAATGATGCAAAAGATGTCACACAGTTTGAGAAGTAAGGGCTTTATATATCGTTTCCACATTTATTTTATTAGAAAGTGTTACATACATGTCTGCCAACATCTGTCCACTGCATCCCAACACTGATTATAAACTGAGGTGGAAAGTAACAAAACATATTCCTCAAGAGTCTTGTAGTAAGGAAATGTCAATTATCACTTTTTTTTTCACACAACAAAAGGCCTTGCAATACGCTACTGACCATTTCTAACAATCTGTAAAGAAAATCTGTACATTTATCTTAGAGACCTACATTATTTACACTTAGGATCAGGATTTACCATAACAGATGTTATGTGAGTGCTTTTACAACAAAAGTCTAAAAAAAGTCCACGCTTGATTTGTGCACTGTTGAAGCTCAATTTTTATCTCTATGCTGAGTTCTTTCATTCTTTAGTTTGGCAACTTAAAAAAACAGCAAAACTTAATACTATTAATTTGGAAGAGAAAGAAAACACTGATATACAGCTTGTGAAGATTAAAAGTAATTCATTGTAGCTATGTTTAAAAGGTGCTAAGCGAAACTAACTCCCGAGAAGCAGTTTGCTGTTAGTCTCTGTTGGGAAGAGGTCAGGCAGAGTGGTGGTGCACACAGGTCTCTCCAGAACCACCACAGGTCTGAGGTACTGAAGCTGCTTAATGGCCAGGTCCCCACACCCAGCCAGGGCTTTGTCCAAGATGGACTTCAAGTTTTGGATTGATGTGAAGTCTCCAGTCATACTGTGGGGCTTCAGCAGTGGGGAATGAGTGCGTCTGCTGCGGTTGTGAGAGATCCCGAGCTGGTTGTTCTCCTTCACGGAACAATGGCGTTTAAAAGAGTCTCGCCGTTTTAGTATCTCCTCAGTTTTTTCCTTTGGGGCTGTCTCTTGTATGAACCTCAGGAAAGAGGACTCAAAGCCTATGGGCTTGTAAGCGTTGATGTCAAAAGGACGTGGAGAGGGGCTGCGAGGCAGGGCATCTTTCAAGTTTGAAGGCTGTTCGGACAGTTCGTTTTTCCTCTTAAGCGGTTGGCGGACAGGAAGTGTGGGTGATGGAGCTGATCCGTTTAACTTTTTACCGCCGTCCTTGGTGCCAGATAAGTCCTGGAAACCTTCCTCGGCAGTATAGCGCAGTGAGCACTGTGGTGAGAGATCAACAGTCAAAGGTCGGAGAAAAGGTTTGATTTGATCCAAGCTTAATCTGTTCTCCTGTTTTTGAATGTTTGGTGTGACTGTAGGAGGGTCCTCAGATTCCTGCTCGGTGCTCGGTTCACCGTAAAGTACCTCATCTGCGCCCACAAGGACACCATTTCTCTCAACAGGTAGCGGCTCCTCATCTCCCCCCTCCGGGACTTCATGTGGATCAGGTTTTTTTTCCTCCTCCTGAGTCTCTGTCTCGATGGAGTGTAAGCTCATCAGCTCTGGCTGCACCCCTGAGTTTTCAGGCTCTGTCTGATTTGTCTGATACTCCATTTTGTGAACCCCATTAGGGACACACTCTTCTGTCACTGTTGGCTTGGCTGACTTCCTCTGAATCAGCTCCTCCAGCTGCTCAGCATTAAAAACCAGCTTATTCGCGTTCTTCATGATATCACCTTGACGCATGCGGTGAACCTTACGGTAGTGGCGGTGTAAGCTTCCTATGTACACGACCACGGAGTCACAGTCCTGAACCATACATGGGTAGGCCACACGCATGCATCGGTCCTGGCACATCTGAAGAGCTTCTTCAGGAGATCTGTAGACAAAACACTCAAAGGTATTTCGCTTCCTGTCTTTCTCAGGTTTTCTCACCTCAGGACTCCCTTCACTGTCTTCCGTGGAGTGGACGGTATCTTCAGGCTTTGGACTCGACGTCTCTGCCTGTGTGGTCGCTGAACCAGGCTCTTCTTTCTGAGGACTCTGTGGAGTGACGATAAGCTTCTTTTGGCATCCAGTAATAGACTTTTTGTGAGTGCTCTGGAGGCGTACCACCAGGGAATCGTAGTACTCGCAGTGACTATAAAGCGTATGTTTTTTAAGTGCATTGTCATGGGTGAACACTTTCGTACAGCCCTCATACTTACACCTTATCAGCTCTGACGGGTGCGTGTGGCTATCACGGGTATGGCGCACTAGGCTGCTCTTAAGGTGATAGGAAGCGCTACAGTTGGGGAAGTGGCATTTGTATTGGGGTTGAGGTTCATCCAAGTTCGGGACAGACCTCTTCTTGGCCGGCTCTTTCCTCACCTCTGGACTGTCATGCGCATCGACATCTTTCTCCAACAACAGCTGAGAACGGTTGTAGCGATGTACCAACTGAAGATGGCGCACCAGGCCTCCCTGGGTGGAAAACGCTGCGTCACAGTTTTTTGCAACACAATGAAAAGGCTTGCTGAATTTGTCCAATATATAGCACAGGTTACTTTTGGCGACCAATCGTCTTGTAGATCTGACTTGCTGGGTCCTGTCCTCGCTATCGTCTTTCTGCTGATCCCCTTCCTCTCTACTCTCTGTGTCATCCTCTCCTTCCTCTTCAGAGGGGGATTGATTGTCAGTATTTTGTCCATTTTCCCTCATCATTGTTGAATTTTTTGGCTCTTGTTGGGGCTGCAACTTCAGCATCTCTCTTTTTTTCTCTTTTAAACCAGTGCTAGTCGAGTGCTGAGCCATTTGCTTTGTGGGTTCTTTGTTTTCCTCGCTCTGAACAGTTGTACCGCTTATTTTGTTCAGAAAAGCCTCGCTCAGGTTGTGTACGTTAACATAGTGGGCCCTCAAAACATGTTTCTCTCTGTGACCCTTGGAGCAAAGGTGACAAGTGTAAGGCTTAAAAGATGTGGTTTTTAAAGAAGTTAACCTTTTGGCCTGTTCCACAGTGCGGCCATGTCTGGTGTTATAGTGCCGCAGCAAGCTGTAACTCTGAGCTGTCCTAAAGCCACAGCTTTTCACCTCACAGACGTACGGCTTTGCATTGGCTAACGATTCAGCCAAGGCTTGCTCATCAGGAGAGAGTTGTTCGGTTTTGACTTGTACCTTCTGAAGCAAGGCCATTGTGGGCTTGGCCATGATCGCCTGATGAAGAGCGATTTGTGCTGCATCAGGTTCTGGTGTCGACTGAGGGGAATCGCTTTGATCACTGTGAGGGGATGATGCGTTTAGGTCCAGTTTACTGAGGCCAATGAGGATTTCTTTCAGGGCATCATTTTTTGTTTGAAGGCTTGACGATTTTGTTTCATTGTTTTTGTGATGACTGGGGGCTTTCCTTTCTTTGCTGTCCTCCACATGTTGAGACGGGGCTGGTGGCTCGTTTTTGTCTCTTTCCTCACTGTCCGGTTCAGTTTCGGTCTTTATCCCTTTAGGTTTTGAGCCCCGGTCTTTGTCGTGTTTGTGTTCTCTGTTCTCGAGTTTAAGGTGCTCTGGATGGGCACATCTCAGATGCCTCTGGACATCTCTGGCTCTGGAGAAAGTCATGCCGCACTTCTCAAAACCGCATGTGAACTTACTTCCATCAAAACACACAGCCACCAAGGTCATTGTTGCGTTTGGCTCCTTGGTCTCCGTGGCTTGTGAGGAGGAGGAAGAGGAGGAGGAGGAGGAGGAGGAGGCACATCCTACAGATGGAGAGCTCTTGACACTCTCATTTACAATCGCCACAGTATCATTTGACTTATTGACGTTGACTGTCGCTTCAACGGCCCTCTTCTGCTTTAGAAGTTTTCGCCTGGCCTTCCTCTCAGCTTCGAAGTCCTCCTCAGAGAAGGTGATGTTGTGTGTCGATAGATGCTTTATGAACTCCTTCTTGGACAGATAGTATTTTCGACATTCTGAGTGGACACAGGTAAATGCAGCATCTCTGAAATGCTGCGCCTCATGGTGATAGATCTGTCCCAAGTCAGAGTAAGTTACGAAACAGCCATTGAGCTCGCACTGGTAGTTCAGGTGGTAGCCGTGAGTCTGTTTGTGCATGACGAGTTCATTGGAAGTGCTAAACTTTGCGCCACAGCCTATAACCACACATGTGTAGGGCTGCTCCCCGTAGTGAACTCTTCGATGTTTGCGGTGATGGTAAGCAGAGACGAAATGGCGTCTACAAAAAACACACTTCTCCCTCTTGTCTCTCATCTGGTGGAAAAATTTCACATTTTCATCGCCTTTGTGCTCTGACTTTAAATGGACATATAAGTACTTGGAATGTTTGAAGACACGAGAGCAGCCGGTTCCTGGGCACTGGTACTCGTCTCGGTTCTGCAGATTGAAGTGTTGCTCGATGTAGCTGAAGGTGACGTGCTCGTCATCGTCCACTGGCTTCTCTTTCACAGTTTTTGCTTGCTCCACTATGTGGTGCAGCACATCTGGATCATGTGTGGACTTGTAATACAGAATTAGAGAGGGGTCGATGGTGATCTCGCCTGGTTCAATGTCATCCTCCTCCTCCATCTGTTTCTGCTCATCCTCTTTCTTGATGTTGTTCTTGTCTGGATGTGTTTTACTCTGAATGTGTTGTTTCATGTGAGGTACGAGATCCTTTCTGCTCTTGAACTTTTCCAAGCACACCGGGCAGGGGTGGCAGCTCTCTGCGGTGTGTCTCTTGGAGTGGTGAATGATCTGGGTGTCAGTGACTGACCTCTTACAAATCTGACAGCGGAACTTGAATTTCTTTGCCTCTGGTTCTCCTGGTTTTCTTTCGGGTGAATTGCAACACTGCTTTTTCTCCTGCGGCTCATGGCCATCAAGACTCCCGTTAATCTTTTGATGATGTGGTTCAACTTTCACAGCGACTCCCTGCAGCTCCAGTTGTTTACTTTTCTCTTGTTTGTCCACAGCCTCCTCCTCTTCTCCTTCTGACTCTGGTGTCAACCCCAAAAGGGAGATGCAGTGATACTTCAAAGTTTTCCAGTCCCAGAATTCAGGGTCAAAAGGCCAGTATGCTTTAAGTGCTAGCAGCAGCTCGCAGCGCAGCGAGTTCGGAATAACTTCGCTCTCCTCATCATACTTTTGGTCAGGACGTAAGTAAAGCTCCTCAAGGCACCCAAAGGCCCCCTGGCTCGGGCCCAGAAGGAACTCTGTGAGCTGACAGGCACGCAACACTTCAAGGTCATCAGAAAGGAGGCCGGACACCATCTTGCAGACGGAGATCCTTGTTTCGGAGTCTTCCTGCTTTGGAAGTTGAAGAGCTTTGACACACAGTTCAACTGAGGCAGGTACTCCCATTTCCTCCGCCTGAAAAAGAACACAATGAACACCATAAATTCAAACACACCGAATCCACTCACTCTACAAGCATTTCATTTTCAGGACCGTTCAAAAGGTTTGCTTTCCAGCAGTCAAAATATCAGTTATATTTTGTGTTAAACTTCTTTTGATATGACTGAGTTGGTTATTTAAATGAACAGGCTGAGACTCTAAACTTGAGAACTCTGTGATATAAAGCTGAACAGATGGGCCATATTGTCTGCGTTTTTTCCTGCCATCTGCTGCTCCATATTATTCTTTTTTCTCCCATCCTACTTCCTGATGGAAAAAAAAGGCTAACACTCACTCATCTTCTCTCAATGTGAAGAGCTGAAAATGCTTCAGGGGTAAGGCTTTCTGACAAACCAGAAAACTACCAGGTTTGTTTTGCTTCAAGTCCCTCATGAACTTCAGCCTCAGGCTTTCTTTATTCAAACAATGAGTGAAAGAAAAAAAGAGAAACTCTCAGACCAACAAAAGCACCACAGGCTAAAATTTCTTGGATATTAGGGATAAAAGGTTTAGCGCGGTCCATAACGGTCTGAGTACGCTATGAAGCACTTTTTTTTTTAAACAGCAGCGCCTCTCTGGTTTCAAGCCTCTATTTTCAGATCAGCCCGTATCCTTTATTGTTATCACTTGTACACCTTAGTCACACAACACAATGACTCTGTTCTTGTTTACTCTTGTATCAAAATTCTGTCTTTTGAAAATGTGGAGATTTTAACCAGTCATCAGGCCCAAGAAGTTCGTATTGATTCAAGTGTGTTTAAAAAGCAAACAGGAAACATTAAGTAAAAAAACTTTAAGGTCCTTACACACCGGGCGAGAATTCGCCAAGGGAATTATTCGCCTTTTTTTAAAACAGCATAAAGTCAATGCAAACTTCCACACCGGCGGCGATTTTTCCGCGGGGCGAAAAGCCGCTTTTATTTTTTCGCTCCTGTGTCGAATTTTTCGGATAATATCTGGACCTGCTAGACCTCTGGCCAATCAAAAGTCATGTTGTTGATGACGTCACAGACCCATACGGCTGGAGGAGAGGGAGAAGTTTGAGATGATGAAAACGCAGAGAAAGACAGCTGAGGTGCATCCAAAACTCTTTCGAATTACTAATGAAGTAGTTTTCTCACAAGATGACACTCTCTTGTCTTCCTAAGGAGACAGATGTCATGTGTCATGTCCGTGCCGCAAAGCGACTTTATTAATTCGCTTTGCAAAAAATATTCGCATATTCGCTTCGCGGCCGGTGTGTATAGGCGAAAGCGATTTTTCGGACCGGCGAATATTCGCAATTTTCGTCTCGCTTTTTCACTTCGCTCCGCACATTCGCCGGTGTGTAAGGACCTTTAGTCTTTGAGTTTGGTCCTTGTGTTTTCTCATCACTTGGTGCTAAATGTTTCCAAAGGAAGCTCATATCACCAACTTAAATAAAAGTGAAACACATGGCTGTTAAACTCACCTCTGTCTGAATGACGCGAACCAGGTAAAGCAAATGCGAGACCGTTTTGGCAATGGCACCTAGTTGAAGGCATCGTTCCAAGAGAGACATCAACGAGGGGTCAATCCTCTTCTGAAGTTTACTCCACAACAGAGTTAAATCCCTTTGAACCAAAAAAAGATAATCATGTCATTATCTACTCCTCCTTGGACTCGCTGCTCTCTGGTGCTTATAGCAATGACAGAGGAACACAGAAAGCAGATTCAATTGATAGGACCAATAATACTTCCCATATCGTGAATATGAAATGCAGAATATATACAGTCCATGCAGGGACTACTCACCAAGAGCAGTAAAGACTCTGCTGCTGAAGCTGCTGTGTCAGGAAAGTTGTGCACAAGATGAATGCTGTGTTCTCCTCCCCCTCCGTCTCCAGGTTACATGTAATCTCCAGTACATCCTTACAGTCAAGTCTGGATATCTGTTCAGAGAGGAAACCCAATGCTGGGGGCTTAAAACGCGGCACGACAGGCGTCACATCGATGACTCTCAATAAGAAATCAAATGGGTACTGCAGTTAAAATACATCAGGTCTATTCATCTATTCATAAGTGTTAGGATTAGGGTTGGGATTAAATAAACTGAAAAACTGATTCCTCTCATAATTGTCAGTTACAGATAAATTACTGTCCTTGAGATCAGAGAAAGCATAAGAAGAACAACATAAGACACCATAACTGTAATGCATTCAAATCTAAAACACATACCGCCTTTCAATCAATTTGGACTGGCTGAGACAAAAATAATCATAATATGTGGCCATAGGATTGAATAATTCAGAGCAAGTCATACTGAGTCCCTAAAGGTTCTTCAAACTGAATGTCAAGAAGCTCAATCAGCATCTGAATTTCAGACTCTACTTTAAGGGATACTCAATATTAACTCTTCAATATTTATTTAGAAGCATTTCACCTGCAAAAAAAATCCATATTTTATCCTGCCGTTTAATAATTATACATAAGAAGGAGATGTTGCTGTGAGCGTGTGTATGTGTGCGAGACTGAGAGGAGAAACAGCAGAAACCTCATCAGCCTGCTCGATGTAACTGCCAATAACAAAGCTCCTTCAACAATTTAGTCGCTGAACTTTTTCTCTTTTTTTTGCTAAATTTCTGGACCATTTAAAAAGCTGTGCATAAATTTAACTTACCATTTACATCGACTGACTTTCTGAACCTCTCTGCTCTTGTAATTTTTTGGCAAACTTGGTGAGCAGAGTCTTTACCGGATCCAGCCGTACTCTTGTTTTATAGTTTCTCAATGCCACATGATAACTTGGGTACGAGACAAAGCTTCATCATATGAAAAATCCTCTTACATATATAAAAGTTAAACCTGTTTCTATCACTGTCTGCTAATCTCAGTGACCGATATGCATAAAAACATCCAATCCTTAAACTGTATTATTCCAACAACTTACCGTCAAGTGCATATTTTTATACAAACAAACACAAAGTGTTTCAATACCTCCATGATGGCTTCCTCGTTGGGCAGCAGGTGACACAGCAGGGAGACATACGTTTGACGAAAGGTTGCTTGATTGGAGATGAAGCTGCACTCAGTGCAAGCTTTAGCCAGCACCACTGCCTTGGCGACTTCTCCCATCTTCTCCAAGTGCTTCACCCGCATCTCCATAAAGCCTTCACCCTCCAAGCTGATGTATGCATCAACTGGTGACAGAACGTAGAAAAGGAGAGTGTCACAAGAAGAACCAAAAGGGTGAATTTGTGTCCAAATTAATCTGTGACTTTGAGTCAGACCTTCTTCTGTGTTGGTAGGCTGGCCGGTGAGGAGGGCTGTGAGGACGGCGTTGCTCCACGCTCCTCCTTCTCCTGTGATCTGCAGTAAAGCCTGGAGGTCTGTGCTGCCATACTGTAACAAGTTATCATGGGCGATCTGGGGTAAACACAAAAACCTCACATTAGATGGAAACTCAGACGAATCAGAAATGTTTTGCACCTTCCCTTAAGAGTCAGCAGCAGCAGCGCAGCTCAACTGTCACAGCATATTTCTTTTTTCTGATTCAACAACTGATCAAGTCTAAACAAAGAAAGCACACGTCTTTTGAAACTTAATCAGAGCTCAGCTTAAGCTGCGGATGTTTTAAAAGCACATTTCCTTTGTTGTCAACAGCGCTGACAAAAATTTCAGATTTTCTTAATAATAACATCAAACAGCTCTATATTTGTCAAGGAGAGAGATGAAAAATATCACACATTTTGCTCTGTGAGATTCAGATTGAGAGCTGAACACAATCTAAAAGCAGAGAAACTGACAGTACCTCATGAAAAGAGAATTAAAAACAGCATGAGGATGAGAGTAACAGCTGTCTACAGTTACTGGGTGTCATTCTTAAGCAATCATACTAATTATACAGTCTCCTAGTTGTCACTTTTGCCCTATTAATCAAAGATAAATACAATTGCATGTGTTGAATTATCTTTTTGTTGCTTTGAGGTACAAAACTGACGATCAATGACAGGACACAGTGCAGAATATAAACATCAGTATTTGTGGCACTTTTTTTCTCAGGCTTTTGTAGCACAGAAGTGACTTTGCACAGTCTGAGTCTGCAAACGAAGTACTGAAACAACCTTTACCTGAACAGAGTGGTGGAACTGAACCCAGGCTTCATAGGGGATTTCATTCTCAGGCACTGACAGCAACAGCTCAAAGCAGCTCCTGAAAATAAATTCACAGCGAGATCTGTGTATGACTATGATGAAGTACAGCAGACAGAATAAACTGTGATGGGACGTTTTCAAGAAACCACATATACTCTCACATTTACCAATAGATAAATGTGGCTTTTATAAAGGTGTCTATTAAAAGCTCCTCCATGTGAGACTTTTTATGCAGCTGACCTAATTTCAGTCACACCAGAAAATCTTCAGTTAATTCCCTCAGACGAGCCGTCATTTGCAGCATGAACCCTTCTTAAAGCGAACCATGAATCACATTTAATGCAAAGTAACAAGCCATCTCTGTCAATTAGTTTGTTTTTGTTTCTTTCATTTAGTACCTTATACACAGGAGGAGGTTTGGTTGAGTTTGACAGCATTGATACAGATTACAGAGGGATGATTTAGACATGTAGTTCACTTATGTCATGGATGTGGTAAATGCATAGCCAAGAGAGAAACTGTAGGCTTGTGACACACTGAGTGAAAAGTGGAATCAAGTGAAGGTACAAAGCTCCACCATGCAAAATGCTTGATTTGCAGACAAGATGCACACGTTTGGTTGATTGGTTGACCATTCAACAAGATTTTTGTCGCAATACTCACAAAGCTAGTCTCTTCAAAACAAGGGCCACTCTATCAGACTCAGCAGTGAGGTGGGATCGGGCCGCAGCAAAACAGTTTATGGACAGGCAGTAGACCTCCAATAAAGGTAGACCATGTTCCATGGAGTTCCTGCTCCCAGCATAATGCATCAGTGCCTGTAAAACACAAACACACAGAAATATAAAGAATTATTCCAGGCATAAGGTACAGAAAAGTAACAAAGAAAGGATAATCAGAGGAGGGCATCATGGGAGACACAAAGTCTAGATAAACAGAGTTGCTACCTGGGGGAGATCCTCATCTGTACCTGATTGATCCCCGCTGACAATCTGTCTAGTGTGAGAAGCTCTTGATTGGGTCTGAGGGGAATTGACTGTACAACATATGACACCCCTGAACCCTCAAAAAGGAGCAAACATACAGCATGACGAAAGACTGAAGGAGGGCCAAGAAAAGTTATGTAGACCTTTTCTGTTTTTCAGAGATCTTTATTGACTGCAAAGATGAAGCTTTCATGGACATCTGCCTATGGCAGGATTCGAGAACTTTGATTTATCACCTGTATGTAACTCCACACATGCCCTCTCTGAATTCCCATTTTGCTTGTGTCCCATTTAGACACAAGCAACAACCTTTGTGGTTGTTGCTTGTGTCTAAAGAGGCACTGAATTAATTCCCATCAGTCTAAATATACGGCAAGCTCTCAGAGGGAGCCAGAATACGCTTTCAGCCCCCAGTGACACATTTCAGAGTGCTAATAACATCCTGAGTGCTTCTGAGTCAAACACACACACACACAAGGTAGTTTTTTTAATTTTATTTTTGTGAATAACAAACTAAAAAAAACTGCAGGTTGGGCATTTAAGGACAACTTAGCGTTCTTTTTTTTGTGGTCAGTTTACATGCGTGTATCACTTTGCGCTAGCACAAGTTCATCCTTAAGCAGGAGTCTGGACATCATTTTTACCAGGATGAGACATTACTTTCACTGATAAACTTTATACACATTATTGTTAACCAATACAGCATAAATCCTGATACTACTCCTGAAACTGATGATGAAACGACTGCTCAATACCAGTCATGGCAGTCAAACATTAGTAACATTAATGCTGAAAAGGCAGGTTTCAGACAGACTCAGAAATGACATTGTAATTTAATAGTTTGGAGGATTTTTGGCACTGCTACATAGAAATTGAAGAAAAAAAACACTTTGTCTTTTAACTGTAAATCCTTTCTGTGGAAAAAAAATTACCAAAAGCCCAATCCTTTATCACATGACTGATGGGATGACTGGCAGCAGAATAACAAAACATTGACAAATCAGTGGTCTTATGAGCTTCTGTAGTCTAGATGCATCAGCATTAGTGTTAGACTGTTTCATCACCTCCTGAAAACCATTCACAGCAATAAAAATCACCCCTTAAGGGGAAATTAGAGGGGAAATCCCCCCCAGTATGAAAAATGAAAGTCAGGCCCTGTGATTGTTATCTCCTGTATATGATGTTGATTGAAATTTTGTAAAAGGCATTCAAGCAAAGTTTCATGTTGGAGTTTGTAATAGTCTAAATGTAAACATAAAGTTTTTTTCATTTTAAATCAATGCATAACAGTTCAAGTATTGGATATCATTCCCACAAACTACGAATCAGTATCAGAGCTGGCCCTGAAAAAACATTACCATTATTATACTCATTTATATGCATGGTACTGGCATTGGCATTGTCAGCTCATTTGTGCACAGGTTTGTATAAACATTGATGCCGCCCCGCCCCACACACATGCAAATCTGTATAATGTGCAAACTAATACAATGTTAAATGCATGCAAATACATGTCAGGGTCACTGTTTGGACTCTACACTTTAAAATAAGACGAAGCTGATTGTTTCTTATGAGTATCACGATGGCCAGCTTCAACCTGAAACACTTGTCCACCACTGTAACGTTACAGAATCATTATCCTAAGTACAGCTAGATGGTTCAAGATTTACATTACGTGCATTCGCACATACGAGCAACAATATCCATAGTGCAATTTCTCCCTGGTTGCACACCAATCCTAAACTTGGTCATGAGGACATCGGGCTAGCAGCCGTCAAAGACAGGCGATCTTACGGGCTGCGAGAAAACAACCCTAAGTGAGCTAACGCTGGGCTAATATTAGCTCCGATGTTGCATGTACACATTACCTGACAGAAGTTGTCGCAATACTCCGTGGAAGATGCTGTGGATATTTCTTGTTGCCTGAGCACGTCTTCAAAAGCTCTCAATGTGGCCAGCAAGGTTTCCATCGCAACCAGGGTGTCCTCAGCCGTGTCCAGGGCCCGGCCGCTCCATTCGTGCTCTGGTTCGACATTATTCTCCGCCATCTTCCCTCTCCGCCACGGCGCGTATGCAGTGCAGTCTGACGCTGCCTTCAAGGACCGTCGGAATATTTAAATACGTCAGTTGAACTTCACTCTAACACGACAGTAGAATAAGGATGGAACGGCCTTTATAGCAGATTATGTTGAGTAGCACTTATTGGGACTAGTAGGAAATTGTTTTCACGTTAATACGCCTACCAGCTTCAACATTCCTGTTGAGTAATGTAACGCAACCCAATACAACAACTTAACCGTAAAAGCATCTTTTCTCTTTATTTTTGTGGAGTTAATAGACGATATTTTTCCTTTAAAGTAACTGTTTTACTTATAATGGATGTTGGTGGTCTGCTGGGGTGCATTCATAGACTGTATATAGAAATGAAATGGGTTTTAATATTCTGCTTCAAACCTTTTTTAATGAAGTACACAAAATATAAGGAACGTCACACAAAACAGTAGTCAACCAACACTCATTACGCCTTCGATTAGAAATAATAGTAATTGATGTAAAAAAATAACAATAATAATAATAATCATCGATATATCTAATGTATTTCAGGAAATATCTTAATTATTTGGGAGTTGCTATGGCGCTATCAAGCTATGGGTTTGACACACTATCTTTACCAGAAAACTCAATAGCTAAAGAAACTAAAGAAAAAAAAAGTTCTCAATTATCACATACATTTTACAGACAAGTGTGGCACAGCAAAATGTGCTATATATATATATATATATATATATATATATATATATATATATATATTTATATATATATATACATATATATATATCATCAAAGGTTGAAAGAAAAGTAAGGCTCAAAGTGTGCCCGATATACATAATAGATGTAGACCTGTGGTAATATTATGATATGTAAATTCTATACATGACTGCTGACTCAGGAGTTACCTGTTATTGTTTACGTATTGTTGTATTGTGTATATTGTGCATATTGTTGTATTATGTAAAGTATGTATTTTGTGTTCATTTTATGTATTATTATTTTTATTTTTTATTTTTATTTATTTTACATGGAGCGTATTATATGTGAGATATTTGCATTGATATATTGTAAGTTGGCTTAAGGACCTCAGGAAGAATAGCTTAGGCTTGGCCACGGCTTATGGGGATCCCAAATAAATCCAATTAAATCAAATGGTTTAATTAAAAAAAAAATGTTGCACCAAAATCGAGTTTGGCATTTAATAACTAATGAGACTAATAAGACTGGAGGTCACATAAAGACGACAAGCCTGTCCAATACATTTCTGTGATTCCTGGTGTGACCCTTTCCACTCATTTGGTTTGTTTTTCTTGTTGCCTGGATAGGACATTTTCAGTTTTTTGGGCTAAATATTTGGCGCCCCCTACTGGTGGGCATTTACCCTAACGTTTCCTGACCCGGAAGTTAAATCCATCAGTGAGCCACACGTGTGAAAGGTAAGCGACAAAATTGATCACCCGATGTGTTTTTGAAGGAGATATGTTTATCACTTTCACCCGAGATTTAACCATAAGATCTGATTTGTTCGCACGTAAGAGCAGTTTATACTGTAACCCTCTAGATTTGTTAGAATCAGGATTTTCTGTTCTCCTTATACTCCACAGGCAACAACAAAATAATCCGCAGTTTTTGTTTACACCTGCCCTCTGACAGGTTTTGTTTCATCCATAACTGTAGGATTCATCATGGGAAAGTCTAAACAAACAGGAAACCACAAGAGTGACAAGAAAAAGCACATTTCCAAAACATGGAAGACAAAGCGCAGGACCAAAGACCTGGACCAGATTCACACAGACATGAAGCCCGAGACCGCTTCCAAGCTGCTGCATCAGGACGTGGACTATGATGTGACAGGATGTGCGCAACACTACTGCTTACACTGCGCGTAAGTCTAATAGTCATTAAAAAGTTTAAACACCTGATGAACTTATATGATTTCTTATAAGCCATTGGGCTGGAAAATAGAGCTTTATGTATGAACCATCTTTTACTTCCACTGTCAGAAAATCCTAAACAAACATACCAGTGAACATGAACAGTGTTTTAAATGAGGTTTGACTTCTTATTAACTGTTATTACCGTCTAATGACATAGCAGATCTAATATATCCGCAGATGATGTATAATAAAACAGTAAAATATACTAAATAAAAAGGATAAACAGCAACTTAAACATTTTTTAACTGTATAGATAGAGCATCATGGATAAAATAAGGTTTTTGGATAGGAATATGTCTTAGAAATGTCCCCTGGTCAGTTCTTCCACAGCAGAGCGGCTATTATCAGAACAGCGAACACTAGTTCTCCTGTAGAGTTGACATTCAATGTGGGAACAATAAGGTTCCTGCATTAAGATCTAAGGCTGAGCACAGATTGATAAAAGCAAAAGAGGTTTAAAACTGTATTAAACAGGAGTAATATTGCCTCTTTTTTGTTGTTGTTTTTGTTATTAACAATCTTGTTGCTGATTTTTGCGCTAATAATGAATTGATTCAGATTTAACCTCCCTTTAAAGTCCATTACAGTAATCAAATCAGGGGGTTAAAATATAGACAGCTGTGTGTTTGGTTATAATGGTCAATAATAGTCTCGGACCAATCACCGAACTTGGGGGGACAGAGCCTTCTCAGTTGCCATCCCCACCCTCTGGAATTTACTCCCCAAACCCATCCGAGGCTGTACTGACCCCCACACTTTTAGATCCCTCTTAAAAACTAACCTTTATAAATTGGCTTTTAACCTGTGAATCTGTTCTTTTATTGTGTGTTTTTTAACCTTTTACATCATTGATTTTATTTGTCATAATTTTTCTGTATTTTAAATTGTTTGTTTTTTTTAATTTATTTTCTTCGTTTTCTTTGTAAGGCATCTTTGAGCACCTGTAAAAGTGCGTTATGAATAAAATTTATTATTATTATTATTATTATTAATGGTGATCTTATCTTGGCAGTATATTAACAACATCTGGGTGAATTATCATTTTTGTGTAAGTTAGCCTTTAATGTGTTTCACTTGATGTTTTGCAGGAGATATTTTGTGGACATGCAAGCCTTAAAAGAGCATTTTAAAACCAAAGTGCACAAAAAACGGTAAGATAACCAGCTTGTTCACTCATATTTCTAGTCTGAAAATGAATACCCCAAACTCTGTGTTACCAAGCAGAAATATGTGCCCAGAGTGCTTTTGAGTGTATGTCTTTTTCTACTCTCCAGCTTGAAGCAGCTCAGAGAGGAGCCGTACACTCAGGCAGAGGCAGAGAGAGCCGCGGGCATGGGCTCCTACATCCCTCCAAAAGTAGTTGAAGTGAAGACTCAGCCTGTGGAGGAGGACATGGACTGAGAGAAGCACACTTAAACCCAACAGACTGTTAAACTCAGTAGCAGAGGCAGTCACAAAACAGACACTGCTCCTGTTGTTTGGTGCTGAATCACATGTTGAATGAATTCTTCCCCCGCTGGCCTGTCAGACCTGTGCCTATTACCAGAATCAGGGTAAATCTAACCTGATACTGTTGTAATATGATGCAATATTTTCTGTGTAAATATTAAGTGTATGTGGAAGGCTAATAAACTCAAAGATACAATGGAGTCAGCCACATTGGTATTTGTTTTAGCCTTTCTCAATCTGTGATAAATCTGTTTACATCTCTGAATACTTTTGTAATGGTTGGTTTCCTCCTTTGGAAATCTTCAAACTATCTTGAGGACAGAATTTGTTTTTTTTTTTCTGCCATGTTTCTTTTTATTATTTTCTTTAAGAATTAAGAAATATTTAAATACTGTTTAAATCAAGTTAAGATAATGTGCTGATAAGGTTAAAACAAGGATCCATTGTTAAAAAGTTAAATTGATCTAATCTCAAGAGTATTAAGCAGAAAAAACTTGACCTCCACCAGAACTCGTGATTTTATAAAAAATGTAATGACAGCCTCTGTTGGCAGACGACCCTGTAATTGAAGAGTGGAGCAGACATTCCTGGGTTGAAGTAGAAGGGGACCCTGCCCCTTTAAATTTGGCTGCCGTGCCATTTATAAAGTAAAAAAAATGATATGAGCTAATTTCCGGTCTTCACTTTCAAAATAATGGCTCCTATGGTTGATTCGATATTAGTCATGATTCTGATATTGAACAACCCACGAGAAACCATAGTTTGGCAACAGAAGGTTACATCTTATTTTGTGTTTATTCATGGAAAATAACTAAATCATTTAGCTAAACTTCGTCCACAATCTTACTTTTCCAGTCAGTAGTGGTCATGTGTAGGGGAGACTGGGGTAAGATGAGCCATGTGTCATATTTTGGATCACTACATCAAGTCAATCATAGTTTTGTCTCTAACTAGTGTATCTTTATATATTTCAAGATTTTGTGCACCCCTGCAAACCAACAGTATGAGTGTAAACATAACTGTCTTGATAATATAGCATGACAAAAAAGTGGTCTCCTGTGGTTAGCTTACCCCGTGTATGGGGTAAGTACTCTCCACCCCAGCCCTCCCTCACCTTCTCTCTCCCTAAATAACAGTCACTTCTTCACATTCATGTGTATTTTTATCTATTATACACTATTCAACTGGTACAATAATTATTTTTATTGTTATTGCACTGATAAAAAGCTGTTTTGTAAAAAGTCACTTTAACATGAGAATGTCTTAAAGTGATTCAGAACATCCACAACTGTATTTTTCAAAAGAAAAAGTAACACATTTCAACAATCTGAACTGAAACTCTGATCCTCTCATCAGACTCCTTTACTTTCTCAGTTGAGCCACTGACTCAACTTACCCCAGAACTACTATTATGACTTTATTAGTCCTCTAAGCTAAAATGGTGGACTTCTATGCTCGTTTTCTGACCTGATGTTGTAGCTCACAGATATATGGATGTATAAAACAAATTGGAAATTTTCTTTTTAAGTCTGAACACAATTCTAATAAAACTTATGACAGACTAAATTCACTTTCAAGAGTGAAAAATGTTTTTTTTAAATAAATGTCTAACCTTTTCACCCACATGCTTCTAACCTTCAAAGACTCCATGAATTGATGCCCATCGCCTAAATATTTGGTCACGTGATCAATTTCTTTTACCATTTCCAAGCAACAGGAGGTGGCTCAACTTACCCTTTGGCTCAACTTACCCCACTCTCCCCTACTAGTGGAATAAAGAGAGCTTAGCTGCTTTCAGGTAATTGTTATAATTTGGAAATAAAGTCAATAAATGTGTGGATGCAGGTCTGTTGTAGATTTCTTTATATTTTGCTATATAAAGTTTTAAAATCAAGACATGCATCTTATGTTGGCACGTGCTTTTATTTTGTACCCTGCAAAAATCTAAACTTCCGGTTATCTCACGGCTTCTCCTTCATGACTTGACGGAGTTGAACCACATCCATATGTCTCCAGATTAGATGTGGGAAATAAGAAATCTGTGCTGTTAGCCTACAGCTGTTGTCAGTGAGTCCACGGCCGCCAAATACGCGCTGTGTCCGGCTACAGGATAAGAGAGCTGCCGGTCGGTCCTCCACTCTACGATTCAAGCTTTTACATCTGCCGACCACTGCTGAGGGATTTTCTGCTTGTTTTCGACCACCTATGTCCGCGTCCAAATAACCGAGGTGGAGGTCGAGGATGGCCGCAGACGTGGATAAAACACCTCCCGGGGATGAGAGCAACATTTCGGCGCGGAGTGGGCAGCAGAAATCGGGCTCTGGATCGTGGATCTCAAAGGCGCTTTGGACTCTGGTTATAGTCGGTGCTGTCCCCGTTGTTGCTTTTGGGATCAAGTATTACCAGGACACCCAGCTCATCAAACGTCATGTGAGATCCACATCTGCGCGCACACACCTCATGATGTTACGTTTATCTGAATTTAATGGTCTTAAGATATCTAAAGACACCTGGAGTCAGAAAACACACAAAGTTTGGACTGATCTTTCATGCACACATTAATACCTTTAAATACAAGAGCAAGTCTATTGTCATCCTTCAGTAATAGTCTCCTTAAAAGCTACATACATGTACAAAAACATACATCTGCTTAAGTGATTATTTGTCAGACATCTGTCTCCACAAAACACCACCTCTGCAGTTTGTTCACCTCTTGGTGTTTTATTAGAGGGGTGGGTCTGCTCCACAGCTGGTAAAACTCAACGTCTTGTTAAACTCCCCTCTTGTTTGGCTGCAAAGGGTTTCCTAAGTTGTTGCTGTATTTCCCTCCCCCCTTCTCCCTCCATTGTACAGGCACTGGTAGGCACGCATCTGTCTGAGGAAGGGTGGTCTGATTTAACACATGCGGGGAATTTGTGGCCTCTGGGCTGATGTTATCCAAACAGTTCCACTGAGAATTAGTGGAAGTTGTGACACACGAGACCAAACCCATGACATTTTCTATCTAAAATGCAGGATCATGCGTGTTTGATTCCTGAATTTTAGTGTCTTTGCTGTCTCTAAAAAAGGTTCAGTCTAACAGCATGTACCCCCCAAACAGGAGGACAGTGTCCGAACGCTGGGTGCCGAGGGGCTTTTCCTCTTCTCCTCCTTGGATACAAATCACGACCTCTATCTAAGTCCAGAGGAGTTCAAGCCTATTGCGGAGAAACTCACAGGTGCGTCACATCCCTTATTCAACCTGACGTCCTCTCTCACTTCAATATTTTTTCATCTCTGTAGTCAAGAATTATAACCTCACACTGAATGTGATTTCTGTGGGTTGCTCGCAGGAATTTCTCCCCCAGCGGATTATGAAGAGGAAGTGATCCATGACCCTAATGGAGAGACTTTAACCCTGGGGGCAAAAATGCAGCCGCTTCTGCTCGACTCCATGACAAAAAGCAAAGATGGCTTTCTTGGGGTAAGCACCGTCATTGCCATTAAGATCTGACTTCCATTAAGGACTGGATGGCTCATAACTTTCTGCAGCTAAACCCTGACAAGACTGAGATCCTCATTGTCGGGTTAGATACCATAGCTCACAAGGTTGTTCAGTGTATTGGTTCCCTCTCTTCTGCTGTCCAGTCCAAAGTTAAAAATCTCAGTTATTTTCGATCACTGCATGAACTTCAATGCTGTCCCGGTCATGCTTCTTCCATCTATGTAACATTGCTAAAATTAAGTCTGTTGTGTCACATTCTGAACTTGAAATGATCATTCATGCTTTTGTTTCTTCCTGCCTGGACTACTGTAAGTCACTTTTCACCTGTCTTAGTAAGTCCTCCCTCCATCTCCTGCAATTAGTCCAAAATGCTGCTGCAAGACTGTTAACCAATTCCAGCCGGACAACTCACATCACCCCGATTCTGTGTTCCCTTCATTGGTCATTCAGGATTAACTTCAAGGTTCTTGTTTTTGTATATCGAGCTCTACACGGTCAGGCCCCAGAATATATTGCTGACATGCTTCACCCCTATATTCCGCATAGATCCCTCGGACTCATCGAAAAACAAGAGGTGACACCATTTTTGAAGTGGTGGCTCCAACACTGTGGAACAATTTACCTGCTGATATTCGTTCAGCTGTTTCCACTGTGACTTTTAAAAAGCTTTTAAAGACTCACTTATTTAAACAGGCCTTTAATCCCCCCCCCCCCCCCCACGGTTTAAACTCATGCTCTGTTTATGCCATTTTTTTATTAAAGTTCTTTGATTTTACTTGATGTTTATGATTGTATTTTAAATTTTTTACTGTGAAGCACTTTGTGAATCTTTTCTACAAAAGCTGCTTTATGAAATTAGATTAGATTTTACTTACTTGAAGACGTGGTAAAGGCCTATTGTGATATAAGACACACAAAAGCCTTAAACACTGTGATTACATTATGAATGACTACGCAGCTCCTCACTCTTCTCTGTTTTTTGTTTTGAGACCTACTTTTACACATTTAGAAGTGGGACATTGATTCGATATCACCCCTGCAGGTGTCTCACAGCTCTCTGAGTGGGCTGCGCTCATGGAGGAGCCCAGCAGTGCCTTCCTCTTCTTTCTCCGCCAGCCAGTTTAGAGTTTTCCTTCCCCCGAAAAATAAAGTGGAAGTTGGAGACACATGGTGGATGATCCCCAGTGAGCTCAACATCTTCACCGGGTACCTACCCAACAATCGCTACCACCCTCCCACACCGAAGGGCAAAGAGGTATCCCAGAGTTTCAGTGCTGATTGGGTCAACAGTTGTCATAATAATACAGTTTATTAATGGCTGTTTTTTTTTTTTGTTTTGCTTCTACAGGTTCTTATTCACTCCTTGCTGAGTATGTTCCACCCTCGCCCCTTCGTCAAGTCACGTTTTGCTCCTCAGGGCGCTGTCGCCTGCATCCGTGCCAGCAGCGACTTTTATTACGACATCGTCTTCAGGTGAGAAGACATAAAAGACTGGAGCGGTGCCCTTTTCTCCTTTCAGCCCATTAACTGTTAAATTATGCATACTTTACATTAGTGCTGACAAGTATACAGCACATACTATGAATGTTAATGAGGAGGCCCTTCCTGGCAGGCAGCCATTGGTTTCAGTTTTAAAGCTGCCTTGCATATATTGTATTTCCAGCGTACGGTGTGTGCAGCACTTGCACTTCCTCTGAGGGAGTTGGAGACTGACTTTCAAAGGCTAAACCCAGACTGACCTGGAAATGACAGAAACGTTCTGAGCGCAGCTTTCTTTCTTTCTTTCTGTTTGCCTCTGCAGGATTCACGCAGAGTTTCAGCTCAACGATGTCCCAGACTTCCCCTTCTGGTTCACCCCGGGCCAGTTCACTGGAAACGTTATTCTGTCGAAAGATGCATCTCATGTCCGACACTTTCACCTCTATGTCCCCAATGACAGGTACAGCTTTTATCCCCTCTGCAGTTTGTGTAGTATCAAATCGCCGATACTGCAGCTCAAGTGTGATGTGTCCTGATGTGTTCTAGGTCTCTGAACGTGGACATGGAGTGGCTTTACGGGGCAAGTGAGAGCAGCAACATGGAGGTGGACATTGGATATCTGCCCCAGGTACAGCTGGAGAGATGTTGGTTGTAGGAGGATGAATGGATTAGGCAAACTAGAGCACACTCTGGGTGTTGACTCTTACTTTTTTGCTGTCCCTGTTTCAATAAATCTTTTCATCACAGTTGGAGCTGCAGTCCACAGGCCCCTCCACACCCTCTGTCATCATGGACGAGGAGGGCAACATCATCGACAGGAGAGACGGCAGCAGCGAACCCATCCAGTTCGTCTTTGAGGAAATTCACTGGACCTCAGAGATCAGCCGGCAAGAAGCCGCTCGACGCCTCGATGTCACTCTCTACCCCTTCAAGAAGGTAATCATCCCGGCGTTTTCTTGTCACACCGTTAGCTTTAACTCAACCACGTCACTGCTCTCAATGCTTTGCCTCCCAGGTATCCTACCTGCCGTTTTCTGAGGCCTTTGAGCGAGCTGAAGCAGAGAAGAAACTGGTGCATTCAATTCTGCTTTGGGGAGCGTTAGATGACCAGTCCTGCTGAGGTGAGATCAGTAATGTACTTTATTACTTTATTGTGTACAAAAGACTGAGTTTCCTCTTTGTAATTGTAGCCACAGTCAAAAACTTGTACTTTATGAGGTCTCATGAAGAGAGACAACAAAGCAAGCTGCATGGGTTCAGTGCCCGCCCTTGGCCCTTTACAGCATGTCTCATTCTCTCTGTTGTTTCCTACTCCACTATCCGAACCTCTCAATAAAGGTGTAACAGCCAAGAAATGTGTCCTAAAAATTCTCTGTTTTATTTTATCTGAACATCCAAATCTAACTTCTAAACAAGGAAGCAAATGATTTTTATGGGTCAAATTTTAAGCCAAAAAATGGAGCTACTGTTGTTTGTACTTGTTATGATAAGACCAGTATCTGCTGCAGATTCTGGTCATCATTTAGTTCTCAATGTACTTTTTTTGGTGCGTCTTTGAAATACTTATGAAACTGCTGTCCCCCTTCTTTCTCAAACCACTCTAGGTTCGGGGCGAACTCTCCGGGAGACAGTCCTGGAAAGTTCGCCCGTCCTGGCCCTGCTCAACCAGAGTTTCATCAGCAGCTGGTCTCTGGTCAGAGAGCTTGAGACCATGCAGGTGAGCAGTCAGATGTGCAGTAAATTTCTTTTTCGAATCGTTTTTCGTTGCTTGTCTTTTGTTTTCTTGTTTGTTCATGTTTTCATTTGTCTTTTTAATTTTTCTTATGTTTCTGTCTTGTTTAGGCTGATGAGCAGAACACTGCGTTGAGTCAAAAGGCCAAATTACACCTGGAGAAGTACAACTTCCCTGTGGAGATGATGGTGGCATTACCCAATGGAACTATTGTAACTACACTACTTTTATCAGCCCATAAATAAGCTTGGAAAATGTTTGTGTGGGAAATAGAAATAAACTCAGCCTAAAATCAATACCATACTTCTTGTGCATCTCTTTAGGTCCACCACATCAACGCCAACTTCTTTCTTGACCAGACAGCCATGAAACCAGAAGAGGAAGGAGCAACTTTCAGCTTCTCTGGAGGCTTTGAGGACCCCTCCACATCCACTTACATCAGCTTCCTCAAAGAGGGGCTGGAGAGAGCCAATGAGTACCTTGCTCAGTAATTTGTGTGTCCAGGAAATGTTGATCATTCCTCTGGGTTATGATCCAAGATAAGAAAAACCCTCCAACAATGGTGGAGGGAAGATTTCTCATCAGTGTTGGCAGCTGAAAAAAATGTTTTGCCTTCTATCCTCTTTGTTCCTATTTATTTAGGTATCTGTCTTGGTCAGAGAGTTTTCTAAACAGTGTTTGTATTCTCACAAACAGCACAGGGAAATATTTAAACCTTATGTTACTGTCAGTATATTTTCATGACATACAAAAGCCTTGCACACAGTTAAACCTGCTGCCTCTGCTTCTAGCTGTGAAATAGTGCCAATTTAAAATGTAGGCAGGGCAGCTTTTTACATAAATCATACATGTGCCATAGCACACTGAACAGACGACATTTATGTTTTTCTGGTGTTGCATGTGTAATATTCAATAACAGGATGAGTTTTTGTGCTGCTGAATGTCCCCAGAGACAGGACAGGAGCAGTTGTTGCCTCCAGCTGTGTTTCAGCAGTTTGTGAAGACTTTGCCTGAAAGCTCTGTCCGGGCGAGGCACTGTCTGATGTTATTGCTGAGGCTGCTGGAGGGAACACCCTCCTCTGACTCAGGGGACAAAAGCAGCTGTACAAAACTTGGATGGACTGTAGCACATTGAGGAGGTCATTCTGTTCTTTATTTTTTTGTGCGTTTGAAACCAAATGTTTAATATTGTGCTGATTTTCTCTGTTACCACGCCAAAGAACATCTGTTGTGCGCAGTAGCAGGTGCCAATAGTTGCTTACCTCTCGGTTCATATTTCTGTTCATCGACAGAATCAAACAGAAATGTGCGGTTTGATTCCTGAACTGGGAGGTGATGTGTACTTTTGTTATCCTCTTTTAGGCTCCTGTTCAAACAGTTTTTTCATTTGTGTTTTCAGCTGGAAAAGAGGAAATCCGTAGTCCTATTATTCCTCGCCATTTTTCAGTCATACAAAAAGACGCTCATTATTGATGTTGTATGTGTGAGTTTCAAGCACACCAGCGTCAAACATGATTGTTTTGAAGTTGTGAAAGGTAAATTATGGAAGCCCTCAGAGGTAAAAAAAAAATATCAAGAAGTTTGATTTTAATTTTTTTTTTCTTTACTGTGTTGATAGCTTAGATGCAGGGAAACAAATTTTGCCTAAACAGTCTTTCAAATTTTTTCCTACCTGTGAAAACCAAAATATTGCCTTATTTTGGAAAACCTCACTAAATTTTCCTGGTAACAAAGCTGAAATTTTTTTTTTCCCAGTTAAAAGAGAAGGAATTAAAAAAGGTATTCTCACAAACCATGTTTTCACAACGAAAAAAAAAAGATAAAGTTCCCCCAGCGGAAAAATAAAAGTTCAATTCAAGCTATTTTTAAGGCTGAAAAAAAAAAGAGGAACTGTGAAAGGATATCTGGTCACAAGCAGTTGATTCGCATGTTCTTTAGTCAAAAGTAATGAAGAGAAATGAATTCAGAACAAACACTGAAATAAATCAACAATTTTTGTTTTCTGTTTGGCCTCGCTGGGCTTCCGTAGAACTCCATAAATAACAAGAATGAATGTGACTTTGTCATTCATGGTCCACTGCATGTGAAATATCATACTGTTTGGAGTCTTAAAGGTGAAAACACTGTTATTCTGCAACCTGTGTGCGCCATTTTTCTCAGAGATGAAATAAAATTGTTTTTTTTTTTCATGTGAACTGTCTTTTTAACAAAATCAAACAAACTGTAAGGTTTGACTATTAATCAAACAAATGTGTTTTAATGTTCATATTGCCAGTTTGTGCTGATTTTTATTAGCTTATCCACATTAGTGCGCCACAAAAGCAAAGTAGAGCCAACTTTTGGAGCAAGAGCTCTGTTACTATGGTTACTAATTTGATACAGATATTTCAGAAACCATGATGGTGAATGAGTCAGCACTGAAAATAAAAGTTCAGAGTATTCATGAATGAGACTCTAAGGGCTACAGAAAGTACAGATGGTCTTTAACAAAGACGCTTTTCACAAAGAGATAAACATGGTATCATTTCTGTTTCGTGTGACAGTAAGTGATGGAAATCTTGAAATTTAAATGCCGTCTAATGAAGGAGATTTTTGAAACTGTGAAGCTCAGAAATGTGATCTGAAGACTAGTTTGTGTGTCAAACATAGAATTAAATGATCACAGTTAAATGAAAGGGTACATGCATTACCTCAGAGGACAGTGTTTCTTCATGTTCACATTAAAAATGACGAGTTATCATGAACTTACTGATTCACATTAAGTATTAGGTGCAGTCTCTGAGGCTCGTAACCGACTCCATTCAAAAAGCAAGTATTCAAGGAATCCTGTTTCATAACAGTTGGGCTCCAGTCGGCTCAGCAGAACCCAGTCTGGTTTTCAAACCCACAGGAATGAGTCATCCATGAAACAGTCCATTATTAAACCCCCCCACCCCACCCCAGCACCCTGAGCCTTGTTCTGTTCATCACAGCTCACTTATATCTGCAGCGCTGAATCACACAAATCCTGCAGTTTGGGTTTGATATCTTTTTACATGGGTGTTGCCATGGCATGAATGAGCTGTGTTTGGGTTTGCTCAGTGATAAATGCGGACAAAGTGAGTCAGAGAGTTTTCACTCTTGTCTCTTCAGCTGAACGTCCACACCTCCAGCTCCATGATTCGGAAGTCGTCGGTTTCTGCGAGGCAGCAGTTATTAAAGGTGTAGCAAGGGCTGCTGCGACCCAAGTACAAGTTCTCATCCACCCACAGACCAAAGTGACCACTGAGGGAAACAGAGAGCGTAGAGAGGTGAACAGAAGGACAAAGAGGCTGTTATTTTTCCACATATGGAGAACTGATTATATTCTGAATAGAGAGGATAAACTTTAAAGATGACCAAGTGTTTAAAAAGTATTACCTGCCTCCACCAATAGAGAATGAGTCCAAGTCTCCTTTTATAAAAAAGGAGTTCTCTCCAGTCCATCTGAAACACTGAAGAGAAAAAGGCAGATTCAGTTTCGTGCCACTTCATAAATCGCAGATGTCTCCATTTCAAGTCCTGTCCATATTTAACATGCAGCCAACAACACCCCTGTCATTTCAAGGTGGTCATCCAGGGGCTTTTTCTCAGAAATGTCTTGTAAGTATCACAGCAGCACAATTCTGGGCTGGTTTACCTTGAAGCGAGGATGCAACATGAAGAGGAAGGTTTCTCCTGTACCATAGAAGGTCTCACTGGGCTTCAGAGGGTGAGAGAGGAAGGCCCCAAATATCTGATAGAGATTGCAACAATCAATAAAAAATAACATAAAACACCATGAATCAGTCATAAATTTTGTAAGAGATGTATGGTGTTTTTTACCTCATCCAGCGCATCCTTTATGACGATTAGCACAGGGGAGTCTGTGGAACTGAGTTTTCTGTAGAGGGATTTGAGACTGGCGCCATGACGGGATGTACTGTACGCCAGCTGCCAGCTGTGGCCTATTGTCCTGGGGGGAAGCTCCTTACACAGCTGTGAGAAGACATGAGGAGAGGAGGAGTATTTAAGGTCAATGTCATAGAAATGAACAGAAATCAGACTCTGGATGTCTGTTAGAGTGCCCTGTTCCCTACATACAAACATGGCTGCACCACAAATCCCAGTTCTCACATGCAGAGAAGTTAAACATTAACATCTCCTCCAGTAGCAGGTGCAGCTAACAAGTCAATAGATGAATGAACTTACTGAGGTGCTAATCTTTAAGCTGTATAAGTGAACAAGCGTAACAGGCCACTAGTACTGAACAAGTAAACTCAGTTATATTTCATGAATAACAAAGGGGGGTTTACAATTTGTACTGCATTCTCTCTGTCTTTAAACTCACCACTCTGACAAGTTCACCCATAACAATGATAAAAAAAACAAAAAACTTGTGTCTCAGAAATCAGTCACAAAAAAGTGTCAAATATAAATTTCCATAACTGGTTTAATAAAACATTGTCATGCCAAGGACTTTCACTTTAATAGAACAATTAAAACACACAAAAATGGCTTAAACAATGAAAATAAAAATAATAATTTCCACGCCAAAAATAAAATTTGCTGTGTAATTTAAAATTTTATTCATTTACTTATTTAAAAGATTGTCTTTATTTATAACAGCTGGTGAGGTTACTCTTGTTTTAGAGGTTGTTTGGCTCTGAATGGCAAGAGGAGTTTCCTAGCAGCCTCTTCATTTATAAATGAAGTCTCAACATCTGCAGGGCAGTCATAATAAGCTGTTCTTTTTACAGCTAAAAAGATTGTGAACATGACTCTAAAATTTATAATTAAAGTTATAAATCATTTAATCTTAGAAACTATAGGAAAACAAACATTTTTTGTGTGTGTAAGCCTCATTTTAAACTAACAAACAGTAAGTACTAGCAGTAATATGTGGTTTAGAAAAACAGTTGTAGTGTGTAAACAGTGTGTAATGTGTCACTCACCTCTCTGACATGTGAAGCCTCTAAAATGTCGCTGCTCTCTACAATATTAACAAGTCCTTCAGGGTCCCTGTCGATGACCAGGGTGGACTTGTCCCCGCTCTCTTCCATTAACACCATCTGCAGATGAAAAATTCACACATGAGAAACAAAACGCACAAATCCAGATTGTTCGCAAACATACCGAAGCACAAGACCCTGTTTTTATTTGAACAAGCAGCAAAGTTCATTTTCATCCATTTTTGTTGTGAGACTCGCCTCCCAGTCGTCCCCTGTGCCGCGGTGCCTCTGAAACACCTCCTCCTCGTCCTCATCATCCTCCTCTTCTTCCCCTTCTTCCTCTTTGTCCTCAATTAGCACAAACTCCTCTTCGTCGCGGTCTGCCTCCCCACCCTCCTCTCCCTCCTCCAGTATGCACAGGTCTGGTCGACAGTGTGTTAGGTAGGAGTATAGCTCGTCAGCACTGCAGGGGGAGAGAAATGACAAACAAAACTCAACAGCTGCGTCAACATGGAGAGAAAAGACAAAAGAGACAATGTCGGGGGAGGACCTGGAGAGCTGAACACGTGCTTTAGTAAGTATTTTTCTCTCACCTGAGGTTCTATTTTAGCCGCTTCAGACCTTTTGATGGAGTGTTTTTATCATGGAAAGGTAAGAATTGCAATAGAGCAAAGTCAATATTTTGTTGGTTATTGCTTTTGGTCGCCAGGTCTGACCTAATCAGAATTCTTATTTGCATCTGTTGAAAAGTGTTTAGCATCGTCCATGTCTCTTTAACAGTTTAATACATACCTCACAACTTATTTCTAAAAGATCTACCTTTGAACCTCTCTCTCTCTCTCTCTCTCTCTCTCCCAGTTGGCTGATGTTTTCGTTTCTAAAACACTCACTGAATGAGCGGACTTAGGGGGGAGGCAGAGATTGAATATTCCACCAGAGAGACCTGTTTGTGTAATAACTACAGGACACCCGTCTGAATAAGTCAACAATGGTCTGATTTGGACATGAAGTTCAGCCCAGTGCTTCACAGACTATGAAAATGATGAAATTCTGTTTGACAAATTGTCCTGATGATAGCTACCATGAGTTAGCAGAGGGATTCTGGCCTAGGTTTTAGACTTTGAATCTTTTATGGAGAAATTATCATAAAACTGGTTTTGATTGAAGGAGATCTTTTGGTACAGTCAGACAAAACATTTTGCTGAGGTGCATTTTGAGAAATTTTGGATTTTATGTCAGACCACAAATTGTTTGATTCTCAGTCTACATTGACACATTTCTGCTTCCAGTTTAAATATGCAGAAAATCTCAGGCCTGTGATGTTCAGACTGAACCTCTTTGAATTCCCAGTGCAGGTACATTACTCTAACAGCACTCACTGTACCTTTCCTGTGATAGGGCAAGCCAGGCCTCCCTTCTGGATGAAGTTCTAGCTGCTCCAAGATGAAGGCCTCCTGCAGCCTTTTTCTTCCCTGCAGTCGGCTGAACCCGCAGCCGCACAAACATCAAACTCCCGGGACTCCCTGCTGATAACCTGCGAGGCACTGGCGGGACAAACAGGGGCAGGGGTGACTTTTTTTGAGTAATAAAACCCTTAAATAAACTGTATTTCAGTTAGAACACATTATACCTGCAGTCTGACTCTCTACAGATGATTTCTCTGTTTTAACAGTGCCCAGCGTCTCCGCCTTCATTCTACCCTCCACCTCCTGACCTCCACAGCAGAAGGTGGCAGCACTGCTGAGGACGGCCACACCAAGAACGCCTGCAGGCTCCTCCAATCGTCCCCTCTGTGAGCTGCTATCCAGCTCTCCCTCAGCCTCTGCCATGTCTCTGCTCTCTGCTTCCTCCTCTGCCTCCTCCTCCTCTACAGAAACCTCTTTGGTCAGGCTCAGAGCCAGAGTGGACAAATCTGATGGAGCCACAGATACTGTAGCAGGGATCAATTCCCCCTTTTGGTTTGGGAGGCTGCCTGCTTGCCTTCTTGTGGATTTCATCTTCTGGAAAAATTTCTTTCCTCTTCTCCTATCGAAAAAAACAACATCCAAGAACTTTTGTATCGACTCTCATGTATCAGATTCTGTGTGTTTGTGTTTGCATCTTTGCTGACCTCTGCTGGGACTTGCTGAAGTGAACATGTGAGATGTCAGAGAAGAAGGAGACAGACGACAGGTTGTCAACAGAGCAGGACAGGAGGTATTCTTCACAGCCGTGCTCCTTCACCAGCGGATGTGTCTTACATGGGTCGAAGAAAATTTTGTTTGAAGTCACCAGCAGGATACCTGAAACCACGCCCTGGAAAAAGTAGGAAGTTTTAGCGTAGGGAGATGAGAATAAAACGGAGATCAGACTTGAGGTGCCACCCACCTTGCGGTCTGTGATGTAGCGGCAGAACAGTTTGAGGTACTGCATGGTCTCTGGTCCCTCCCCTTGACAGCACTCTGGTGGAAGAGCCAATAAGCAGAGCTGTCCATCAGGCATTGGCACCGCCTCCACATCCTGTGAGTGTCACATTTTATGTTAGCGTAAACATCAAGAAGCTGAAACTAAAATATGGTAGATATTTTTAATTATTATTATTATTTTAATCTAATCTAAACTTCTGTAACGACTGCACGATAGCAATACACAGCGGAGGAACCATAAAAAAACCTCAACCAAAAAGCCACTCTATAGCCACAAATAATGCTCAGAACAGCACCTAACTTCATCAACAGTACCTATAGGGTCCCAGCCATAGCACTAACCACCAAACATCTTTTTAACTTTGCCTCATTTCTTTAGCAAAGAGACTAAACACAACTCACCTACTCTCTATCAGCAGCTGCTTGTTTGTAGGTAGACCTCGGACAAGTCCATTACAGACTGCTGCGGGGTGTCGCAGCTCAAGGAAGAACATTTATGATAATTTCTTTATCATATCCTTGAAGTAATAATCACCATATTAATCATTTTGCACTGCAGACGTGGTAGTAGTCTGCAGTGTAGTCCATAATGGACTGGCCCAAGGTCTTGCTACAAACAATCGGCTGCTGGAAGAGAGTAGGTTAATTGTGTTTAGTCTCTTTGCTAAAGAAATCAGGCAAAGCTAAAAAGATATTTGGTGGCTAGTGCTGTGGCTAGGACTCTATATGTACTGTTGATGAAGTTAGGGGCTGTTCTTAGCATTATTTGTGGCTATAGAGTGGCTTTTTGGTTGAGGTTTGTGTGTGGCTCCATAGACCGCTGTGTATTGCTATTGTGGGGTCGTTACTAAAGTTGGTATAACTAGAGAAGCAAGTGGGCGGCAACATTCATCTCTCGAGGGGGTGTCTAACTCTGTGTTAGGGTGTGTTTTTAATTAATTTAATTAATGTGTTTTAATTAATTTTACACCAGAATATCCCTTTAAATCACAGAAATGTGCACAGTAATCACAGAACATTAAATAAATTCCAGTTTTGGATGAATTAATTATCAGTTAGATTAAAAACCTTCAGAGTTATGGGTTTCTCTTCTATGCACTGTACATAAACTCACTCTGTACCCAGAACTGTGATGTTTTGATGAATATGACTTGATTTAGTGCTCGTTTCCAAGGCAACATGTTCCATTCATTTGATCCATTATGAAGTCTTCTCAGCTCATTTGTCATCCACTACAGTTAATTACTGTCTAATAGCTGTGATAAATCTACAGTGATCTCAGAAAGAAGAGCAGACACTTCTGAAAATGGGATACTTTTGGTTCAGCTGTTGCCAAGCAGAACACAATCCTCCTCATAATACCATAGGATTAAAAATAATTTCACATTTTAACTGAGCTGAAAACAAGAGGGAATTTTGATGAGGATGCATATCTCACTGTCAAAATCGATGATAGGCTTCAGCATCATTTTCAGGCTTTGTTCAGTGTAGTTCAAGTTCTGTTTGTTAAAGCTGATCTCTGACCCGTTTTTTTGAATGTATTTATGTTATGTAACTCAAAAACCATGAGAATGAGGAAATAAGTACTGTAGTCACATTACAAGTAAGTATACTAGATTGACAATCCTGCTTTATTTAAAGTATTTAATGCAGGAATAAACTTCAACAATTAAGTAAAATGGCTTATTCTCAGCAAAATGTAGGATGTGATTCATGATTATATTTGACATTATTAGCACAATTTTATCGTGATGGCAGGAACTAGTTTGTACTTTTTATACACAGGCTGTTTTTCAGTCTTCAGGTATCCCAATTAAAGGTTAAGACCTTTAAATGGTCCCATGAGTGGTACTTGGGGTCTAATTTCATTCAACATAACCTTTTACAACTGATGAGTAACTAAAGTTTTCTGCACTAACAGGGTGATCATCATTACAGCCACCTGACACCTGCATGAAAAAGTTTTCCAAATACACTTTGCAAATGTTCATGAATGGAGAAAAGACACTTGCACTTTTGCCATTTGCTGATATAAACTTAAACTGAACTGTGTAGGTCCTCTCTTCCTAACTCCACTCACTCAAACACAGAAGTCACGGTGAAAGCAGGAACAACAATCATGCAGTGAAAGCCCCAAAAATGCAGAGCGGGTGTACAAGGGCATACAATTCTGAAAAATATAACTTTAAAGCGATATGAACATATTGTTTTAAAGTTAGAGGCATTGTTGTTTATTGTGCCTTAAAATGCACGGTAGGAATCACGACTCGGTGAAAGATGTAGAGGAGTTGGATAAATATCTCTTTCTTTTCTGGCTTATTTGTGAACTGAACTGAACCTCCACATCCACTGCACCCCTGGTTGCTTTATAGTCATTTTGGATGTTAGAAAACACTTCCATAGGTTGGGTGTGAGGCAAATGTTTTAACTACAAGCAGCCTTGTTTTACATTTTCACATCTAAGATTTTCAATAAGTGAAAGATGTCGCTGTTAAAAATTTGCAGGATCAAACTTTTTTTTTAAAGATCACTTAAAAACATGCAGAGATACAAATCAGCTGATTATAACTACATCTCCCACAAGTTAAAAAAAATATATCCATACATGTTGTATCATTATAAATGTAAGAAATGTATCCCTCAATATTGAACAAACCACAATATCAAACGGTCAAACGGTTCCAGTCAATAGACAAGGACATTATTTCCCCATGAGGGCAACCCCGTATTACACATGCACATTGTATTTTCTGCTTACCAGGAGTTTGTCATATTCTGCCTCTGGTGAGGGGGACTGAGGCTGAGCAGAGAGAATCTCTGAAGACTCCGGATCCCCATCCACATCACACTTGGGGAGAGGTTCAGGGTGCAAGTCCGGTTCTGGTTGAGACAATCCTCCACTGTTCAGCGTGATTTTTCCCTTCGACACAACCAGCTGCTTCAGAATGGAAGCCATGCTAAGATTAGCTCTGACATTGAAACAGACACCAGTGACTGAAGTGACTACTTCCTCTTTCTGCTGGCCTGCATTTCCCCTCTTTTCTTTGTTTATGGTCACACCTCAGCTCCATGTGACACATGAGGGTGGACATGACAGATGCAATTTACCAACTGATGCCAATAACATGACTTAAGAGTACATTTTGTCATCTATCCGGCTGTGCTCACAACAATAAGTTTCAGGGGGAGGCATTGCTTGCCTGAAAGGGTTAAAAAGTGAGCAACAATCTGACTGCCTTAATCTGGATGCATGCAGCATGAGGCCAGCAGAGGACAGGTGTTGCTTTGCATGTCAAATACTGAAATGCAGGAGCAGACAAATTTTCATTCTTGACCACCTGCGATTGACACAATTCATAAAACAGACGCCATCAGCTGCTTACAGTTGACTCTTACCTCTCTGGGGATGAGTGTAGCAGAAAAGGAGATTATATTTGAAGAGGAACTGTGACCCATTTTACTGTCTGCTGTTGAAGATGTGCTGTTTGTGTCGAACTGAGATGAGACGCTGAAGACAGTGTCCCCAGGGGGACCCTAAAACACAGACCAAAACAGATTTTCAGGAAACATCTGAATCTGAATGTAAAGACAACATAGTTCTTTTTGGTACATATGCAAGAAAATAGGGAAAAAAATGATGCAAGTGTACAACACATGAAAATGGTGATTCTGAAGAGGATCTCTCTTCATTTTAAGGGAAGGAAACCACAATCTTTATCGCTGGATTATTTTTACCCTGAATGTATTTAAATCTCTGTAGAAATTCACTCAACCTACTGTGTGTACTTACTTTTGTGTTACTAAAACTACTGTGTCTGTTGTTTCTATTTTTGACCAGGTCTCTCTGGTAAAAGAGGCCTCCAACTTAAACAGAACAAAGCCTATTAATGCAAGGTTAACTGAACAAAATCCAAAACCTCCTCTAACAAGTTTAGCTCAACCTAAATAGCTGCAGACTTGAAAACTAAGTTAGCTGTGGTGCATGACTCCACTCTAAATTTGCACATCAGATCGGACTAATGTACATAAAATACTTTTAAGTTAGAATGTAAGATCAAGCAACCGCAAAGTAGTGACTTTAAGTAACAGCAACACAAATCGCAATCTGCTGGCAGATAGATTCATTGAATTGAATCGATTTTGTGGCCCCTGGCAGATTTAATACCACAGAATAACAATGTGTATTGATTGTTAATGAATGTGTGTGCATCTGCATGTGTGTATGCATCATTATTTTTATTTTTCTTCCACAAAAATGGACCAAAATGTCCTATTATCTACAAAACTCCAGCCTGAAAGGTGTTTCTTATATTTCATCTGTCCTAAAATTGCACACACGGGCTCACCTCTCACAGTGGCACAATACAATTCAACAGCAGAGCATATTTTAAAGCACCCATGAGGAGTTTTTTTTCTCATGGATGAAACAGACTGAAATTCACATGGATGACTTTTCATGACCAAAAGCAAACAATACCACCAGGAACAAGTCTGCATACTGTTTTTGTTGTAAGCTTAGTATATATTATAAACTGCTGCACATGAACAGATGTTTCTCCTGTTCAGCTCACTTGTTTCTAATAGAAGCAAAGTCAGCTTCCATTTTGACGTAAAGACAGTTTGTCAAGCAAAGACTAACAAATCAGTCCAGGACACTTTGTAATGAGCACTTTCTCTCCTTTCAGATTTTTAATAATACAAAGACACACACCTCGGCACTGCCGTCAAAAATCAAGCAAACACTACCTTTGAATATGCGTCTGAATATACATTCCTCCTGCTGTATTTGTTGTACAAGCTCTGAAAAAGACTCTGCTTTCCCATGGCGCCTGGAAACACCTCTGACAGCTCATCTCACCCTTGGACACTCTTTATCAAACTCTCTCAAGACCATAAATTGAGACACCAATCACTCTCAACACATTCTGTTCACTCTTACATAATCATGATGATATAGAGACACAGCAATAAATCCCTTTCCAGTTTCTCTCTTACCTGCTGTTCCCACGGCTGGTTTCTACAGCGCACTCAACAAGCAAAATAAAGTCAGGAAAGTCACAAACATATGACTCACCCTGCTGCCCGTGCTGTCATCTGACGGTCCAGCCATGTGCTCCTGCTTCACTGTGGCATTGTTTAGATCCAGAGAAGTCCCTGTGTGGGGAGAAAAGATCATCTCTGTCATGCTTAACAACAAAAAAAAAACATTGTGAGGAGAGCACAAGAGTGAAGAAGCATCTCCACTTCCTGGCAGCATTAATCCACTGCAGCCAGCCCTCTCTGTATGGAAATAACTTCATGCAAAGACATGAAAATGTCAGGTCTGCAGCTTCACCTTGCAGGTAGTACTGTCGCAGTTTGGGGTTTCTGATGTGTGGGATGTGGTTGAGCGGCCGGACCAGGAGGGGCTGATGTTGAAGCTGGCTCCTGGCTGCGGGCTCCTGCATCAGACGGACCTGAGGCTTAGTCTCCCAGGGCCGCTTTGTGTACTGTGGAGGCTGAGAGATGCTGGGAGGGAGCTTTGTGAATTGTGGCGGCTGGGAGACGCCGAGAGGGAGCTTAGAACCCAGCCTGAGAGTGAGAGCAGACACAACAAATACAAGCTGAGTTATATTCCATCGTGCTTTATCAACATCACATTTCCACACACAGACACACATAAAAAACAGTATACAAGCTCTTCTCATAGCACCTTCTCCAAAGTACCTTTATCCTGTGTGCTATATTCACCCATTCACACCAAACTTGTACTCTGATAGTGAGGGATGCTATGCAAATAGCCCATCAGTATGATCTATTCCTATTTATACACATTTAGACACTGCTGGATATGAAGGCAGGAACAATGTAGGACTCAGTGTCTTGTCCAAGGACACTTTGGTATGTGGACTGGAGGAGCTAGGATCAAAGTGTCAATCTACCAATGAGGAGACAACCTGAGCCACACTCGTCCCTCAAACATGGTCTGAATTTATTCTAAAAAAAAAAAAAGAAAAAAAAAAATCATAGTCTGGGTGTAGTTTTAGCTGATTATAAGACTCTGGCTGTTCTATCTCTATCTTTCTCTCCCTAACTTTGGAAATCATCTCACTGCAAAAGCGGAAAATTGAGGTTATGTGAGACAATGATTTTAGAGACAAATGTATTAAATACCACTCAATTCTAGCAAGTTCAATTCATGATTGAAGGAATACTAATAACATAAACATGCCATGAATTTATTAATATTTATTATTTATGGGACATTATCCTTATTCTTTTTATCAAGCTGATCATGTAAAGCACTGGAGGAAATGTACAGCGTACTGCAGCACTGTTTCTTTTACAGCATTTATAGCAATTTGCCTTATTTCTGACATGTCATATGATTAATCCTATTGATTAAGTGTGATTTCTTCCAGCACATTTTAAAATATTTTTTAAAGCCACTTCAAGATGTCTAAGAATTATTTGCCTGTGCAAAGATGTATGTAAACTGCCTCTGCACTCTTTATGTAAAGCAGCTCTGTGTTTTTTTCGCTTCATTTATTTTACTGTACATTAGCAAGGCATCTTCCTTTTTGTCTAGAACACTAATGAAAAGTTCTGTAGCTTTTCAAATAGGTGTCATTGTCCTTTAGTTTAACTTAGTTTTAGGAGTTCCTGAAAACATCAGGTCACTTTCTTACATGATGGTGTGCAACGATAAAGATGTGTATTTATGAACTGTATTTGCCCTTTTCTTTTCTTTTCGTTCCTTTTTCATTCTTTTCCTTCTTCTGAAAATCTTATTTGTCATTAAAAGGCTACTGCTCTTGTATTTTTTTCCCTTTGTTTGCTATAATTCATAATTTATTCTCCTCTGCTGTATTAATTCTACATCTGTATATCTGTATTCTACCTTAGCTGCTGGAGAACTTTGTAAAGTTTTGTTTTTAAAGGAGCTGTATAAACAAAGTTATCATTATTATAAAAAAATACTATATGTATTGTTGTCTGGCAGGACACATGCCAGTAATCTGGACATGTCACCTGTAATAATGAAAGACTAAATTGTGATTGTGCTTTAATCTGAGAGGTGAATGTTGGCCAGAATCGTCACATGTTTGGCAAGAGCTTTGTTTTATTTCCACTAATCCATGTGTTTACAGGCCTGACCTGGTCTTGACATTGCCGAAGTAGCTGGTCCTGGTCTTGTCCCTCTGAGGCTCGTGGTCCATGTGTCCGAGAGTCTCAGGCCTCCTCACAGACTGAGCCATTTTCAATCTTTCTTTACTCTGAAGCGTGCGGCAGTGACAGAGGGATGACAGGATCAGATGGCAGCCTTCTTCCTACGTTTAGACCCCATTCTGTACTTTTTCCCCTGATCACAGCACCTGCACAAGAAAGAGAGTTGTAAAATGTGGCCTGATTTTAAATAGAGGAAATAAAAACTTATACCTGCAACCAAATGAGCTCATAAAGAAGTCAGCTAGATATTTTATAGTCATGGAGCAAGGTTCTCAAAAACAATCAAGCTGACATCTTCCCAAAAAATGTGCATAAGTAAGGAGAATACTGGCCAGAGACTGGTTTGCTCTTTATAAATTACAACAGGTTTGCTTCATAGTAGACTAAAATTAGTATTTATCAATATCAAGCTTCTGGCATAAATAGATACTGTATTTCGAGGGTAAAGCATTGCATAGCCGCATATGGGTAACCTAACACTTCTCCTTTCTTGCCACAGGAATGCATTAGCTACATCCTGCAAAAGCCTCATTTCCCCCCAATGGGAGGTGATCATTGTCATCTCCGAATTAGATGCTGCAACAGGATTAGCCTTGCTTCGGCATGCATTGCTAATAAGATTTCCAATATCTAAGTCATATCGTTAAAAAAATCATTTATGATGTAGTACCCGATGATGCTAGGGGTGCAACAATTACTGTGGAGGAAGTCAGCATTTTGACGACATTACGGAATGATCGAGACTGATGCTTTGGTGGACAAAAATACAACCCCAGCAGGTAAACAAAGATGAGGTCACGGCCGCATGAAATAAACTAAGCAGGGTCTTTACTGACCTGTGTCTATTCCCGAGATGAAGAGGAGTGGCGGTCACATACGCGCGTCTTCATATTGCAGTGTTATGATATCACTGCAGACAACGGTAACAAGTTCAATATTCAAGCTCCGCCCACTGCTGGAAGAGACGTCCTCTCAAGATGGTTCCCTGAAAAAGCCGGAAATAAAAACAAACGAAGGCGGAAGTAGAAGACTGTTGGTCCTCGTCAATTTCAAGACAACTTTACAGTTTTTCTCAGTTGCTTTGGTGCATTTCTCACATCAGAATGAAAGTTCTCACAACTATTAGTTCAACCTCCACAACACTGAGTCATTTGTGTAATGACATGATTGTTTTTTCCCAATCATTGTTTATTTCACTGCTCTTATCATTGAGGATGGTAGTGGCACTACTGCGCTACTGTCTTGTATATAAAAATTAAACGCCTAGTTTTAGCTTGAACATACTGAGTATTTTTTTGTAACATTTCATGTTTATTGTCTGTAATACCTAGTAGGCAAAGTTCACTGGAGTCAAATCCATTTGACACATACCAATAAAGCCGATTCTGATTTTGATTCTGAGGCGCTGTTCACTTCTAACTGTAGGGGGCGCTCGTTGATTAATTCTAATCAGGAAGCTCTTGGGGCTTCAGCAGCCAATCAGATTACAGCAACGGGTGGAACAGGTTTCCGGCCTAACAAACGACAACACAGCCCCGGCCTGAAAGACAAGAGAAAAGAAGCTGCTGAATATAACGGGTTACCTCCCGACGACACGGCTGATATCTATCGTAAGTTTTGCTCTTGCAAAGTTAGTTACCTTATACTAAGACACGTTTTATTCTTTCTAAAATGAGAGCGTTGGAGTACAGTTGGGGGTCAACCAGGGGGTCGTTGGTGCTGCTAAAGCTAACCGATGTGTCTTTCATATGCGCAGCTACCGGCTATTAGCACGCTGAGCACAGAAGCAGCTGTGTTATCAATTTTGTTTGTTTTTTTTCTCGCTAATTTAACTGTTATATGTAGAGGGTTATTTTTCTGAATGTTAGCTGTTAGCAGTGCTAGCCTCGCTGGTTTCCTCGCTCCTTCGTGTGTTCATGCAGTCACGATGGGATGACAGAAAGTTGAATGTTACAAGTCATCGCTGCATGTTCATAAACCTGGGGCGCAGAGTTTTTAATATGACACTTTTGTCAATTGCATTATTTGTTGAATGCTGATTTGTAGTTATTTTTAATTTTTGATGAGTTTCTGATGCTTTTAGGAGTAATGGTATCTCGTGAGTCTGACTGGCTGGCTATTGTGCAGCCTCAGATAGTTGTTTATAAAAGTAATCATTTTTTAAATAATAAATATTAATCAAATATAACACTGCAAATGGTCCAAAGGAGTATAATTGAACTTATTGTGATATCGAATACAGGCGTCTTTATTCATGGAGCATACTTTAACAAGCAAGGATGTTTACCAAAGTGCTGCACAGTGACCTTAAAGACACAGATAGAGATATGTCAAACGATATAAGAAACTTTTTCATGTTCTCAGCAGAAATAATCCCAGGTTGATCTTCCTTTCCCTCAACAGATGCTCTAACTAATCACTACTAAACATCCCAAGTATCAGCGGTTCTACTGATATGGCATCTGTTTACTGAACTGCTGCATCTTCAGTCAGAGTAATCACCAAGTGCTGGTGTGTAATTGCCAAGTGAATGAGACTGACCCTCTGTCACCATGGAAGCAGAAACAGTGAGTTTGCTCTCAGGCTGTTAATGATGTCCTTATTTCACACTGTGTCACTTAAAAGTGAATTTCTTCTTCATAATTGTGGGGGAATTCAAAAGATCTGCCTGTTACAAAGTAGAATATTTTAATGTTAAGACTTTTTAATCTGTGTTTTACAGGAGGTTATTCCTATCTGGCAAAATAAGCCTCATGGATCCACCCGCAGTGTTGTGAGAAGAATAGGTTCAACCCTTCCTCTCAGACCTCCACAGAGGGCATGTTTTCAGGTCAGTTCAAACTCTCCAAGTCTGCCATGTCTTTTGAGCTAAAAGTTATTTTTATGTAACTGAGAAACTCTAAATAAATTTGTCTTGATGTAAATTAGGAACTGCCAGGCCTCCCTTCTCTTCGACCTATGGATGGTCCTATGGTTCCTACCTTGGCAGACATAGCCTGGATTGTTGCAGATGAAGAGGAGACATATGCCAGAGTGCGGTAAGTACTCATCAGGCACTTTAAGACTGCCGGTATAGTTACGAAGTGGTGCCAAGTCTCCACTTGACAACTGCAGTATCCCAGACTCTGACTTTAGTCACACTTGCATGAGGAATAGAAATTATTTCATTGGCCTTTAAACAAATGTGTTGATAAGTTCTGGTGCAGAAGGTTGTTGTGCATTGTGTTGTTGCATGGTAGCATCACGACAGGCTTTTGAAGGGATGCCACAGTCTCCTTGGTGTCCAGGTTGATCATTTTGAGTGTTTGAAATATATCTCATAATATCAGGTTTGAAACTACCTTTGCGTTATTTCTAATAAAAAAAAACTCATTTTCTGGGTTATTTTTGCTAACCCAAGACTTGAAGATTATTCTACATAAAATCTTTACATCCTAAAAACAAGTGAGCTTGCAGTCTCACTTAGATCTGTGAGATTCCAGTGTATCTAATATGTAATTATGGCTTGATGAAATTCAGCACAAGCTTATATTGGCTTGTTTTTGGATGATATTGTGTCAGGGGAGCCATTTAACGAATTAAGCGCTCTCAGGTCGAACTTTACCTGTTTCATACTCACAGCACTGACAAGAAATTTTGTGAAACTAACATCACATGATCTGACGTAGCAACTGCATAATCTTGACTCTACTCCTGGATGGTTTGATCCTTTAGGGGTGATGGCTCAGCAATAGTGATTTTCCACTCTTTATTTTTCAGGAGTGACAGTCGTCCTCTGAAACATGAGTGGCGGCCCACTCCTCTCCTAGTGCTCCACAGGAACTCATCTGTGCCCAACTTCCGCCGTGAGGGTAAAAGGGTTGAAGGGCTCAGGAAACCCGGAGTGACGGCGCTGAACCGTACTACCGCCCTGCAGGACGAGCTCAGCAGGCTACGTGCACAGATTGCCAAGATTGTGGCAAGTGATTCTGGTAAGCTAATTCGGCAAGAACTGTAGTGTTCAAACTTTTATGCTGTCCACTGTAGATGTGAATAATGGAGGAAAAATGTTTAATATTTAACTCTCTCAACAACCTGCTCATTTTTCTTTCGAACTATGATACCTTAAGATACTTGGAGCATTGTAAATCTCTGAAAGCTTTACGAGTCTTTGGAATTACAACTGTGTTACTATCTTCACGGGACCGTGCTCCTTGATGCCAACTCGGCTGCCCTGATTCTTCTAAAGCTGTCGAGTATTAAGATGTCTTGGCACCAGTTTGTAGGTCAGTGACAAAGGATAATCTCTGTGGTTCAGTGGCAGTTTGGTGTCTTGTTCAAAATTTTATGGAGTTAAAGGAACAGGGCGTGTATTCACAGCAGTATTTTGAAACTGTTTTCTTTCTTTTTTTTAACTATGCCTAAAGATAAACACAAAACCTTAGCGGATAAGATAAATGCACAGTTCTCAACGAAGCCTGTTCCTGCAAGTTTCTCTTGAACAGGCAAAGTACTTAATGAGCAGCTACATTTCTTGCTGTTATCGAATTCTGTTGCAGTTCCCTACAATTTTTATGGTCTGGAATGACATTTCCTGGATTAATTTAATGTTTTCCACCTGTGTGAATCATGTAAATATAAATTTACTGCCTATAAATGGGGTTTTCAATATTGTCCGACCGATTTATCGGTGAGCCGATTAAATCGGCCAATTTTAGCATGTTTGAGACTAATCGGTAACCAGCTGAAACTCGCCGATATTTTCAGAAATAAAATGCAGAAAATAAGATTCGGTTTCTCTTTGAAAATATTCCGCCATTTGAAAAGGTCCCCCGACTTATCCTGTAGATGGCGCAGCGACCTCATGACAATCTTCATCCACTAACTACCTCACAGCACAGCAGAGTGACAGATCTGAAGCAGTCAGCTCAGGGACGCACGGAGGAGAGTCGTCCGCCTCAACAGTAATTAAATTAGTTTGTGAAATACGCAATAAGTCAACAAGTTTTAGTTCAACCCACTTCACGATGTTCCCCACTGTGCTGGTCTCGGTCACGCAGAGTTAATGGTGAAGCACCATGTAATATGCAAGTTAAAGTTAGAGTTAGCCATCTGCTATTAGCCTTGCTACACTGTTAGCCGTGCCAGTAAAGGTAGAATAAACAACAGTACACATTACGTGATCGAGCTACTTCTCTTACTGAGGCAGCTGCATGTCTTCAGATGAGACCGGACCGGAAATGAGTAACATGAGTTACTCTGGTAATCTGGTCTCAGTTTGATTCATGATAATACGTAGAATATTACTGAGATGATCAATCAGTCTTCCTGTCAGTGTGAAGAGCAGTAGCCTACAGTATATCTACAGTATATACAGTAAAGATCTACAGTATATAGTAGTATACTGTAGATATCTACAGTTTATCTACAGATATTTTTTTATCACTTCATAAAAAAATTGTAAAAATTCGGCGGATTAATTGGTAATTGGATTCCCCATCGGCATCGGCCCCAAAAAATCCATATCGGTCAGGCCCTAGTTTTCAGTGGAAACTGTTAGAACACGTGGACTTGTGTTCATACTGATTTATTGTGTTCCACTGCTTTATTTCTTTTCCTGCCTTGTTTTTATTTGGAAGCCACATGTCCAAAAAGTGCCCTAGGGGAGAGCAGCTGATAACAACAATGACATACCCATGTGCAAACTTCAAACAGCAGCTCAAAATAGAGTTGGCATTTCAACTCTGTGCTTTTGATGTCTTCAGCGGCCCGTGTGTCTCCCTCTAATGTCAGGCTCCACATAAGAAAACTTCTTCTTCTGCTCCTTTCTTCCAGGCTCCAACCCTCTAACCCCCGACCTTCTCTCCCCTGATGACACAAGTATGAGCTTTTCCATGGCGCCCTTTGAGACGGTGCCATACCAGCCAGCCGCCACAGCTGCTGCCTCCTTTGTCATTAGTGATGTCACAGAGGAGGAGGAAGAAGAGGAGGAGGAGGAGGAAGATGAAAAAGATGTGGTCTCCGTGGTGTCAGAGCTTATCCCCGACCCTTTGCCGCCTGTTTCCATGACAGCATCAGCAACCTTTGACCTTGACAGACCGAGCATGGACTTCCGGGAGGCAGAGGAGGATACAGTGTCACTATCAAAGTCCACCAGCTTTGCCGATGTCATGGATATTCTGAAGGATATGAATCGTATGAAGATGAGCAAAGACAGGTAAGAGTTTTTAACAGGCCAAAACCACAAAGGGTTTATTTTTTTTAATTAGTTGAACAGGATTTGGAGAAAATGAAGCACAACCCTCCACATTCAGGAGAAAGTGTGCCACAAAATCATAACATATCATCTATTATCAAACTATAAGTCTGTAGGTAAATGTTTAAACTTGAACCCTTATGGACTGAGCTTTGTTTTTACCTCCACCTCCAGTCCTTGCGCTGAGCTAATCTTCCCTGCTCTTGCTTTTGAATCTAATTTACAATACAGAGATGACAGAAATATCAGTGGACGTCTCAAACACTCAATGAGAAAGTTAATGCATTCTTTCACCAAACTTTCACTCTACTTATAAAAACAAAAATCTCAATCCACAAGTTTTCATTCCTGTATAAATATCATGATATATAAATATTTGTTGGTTGTTTTGCAGATACAACAGAGGCTGTACGTCCCTCAGGGAGGAGGACTCTGCCTCTCTGATTTCTGAAGCTCTGAGAAAAAAATTTGTACTGAAGGAAGAAGATTCTGCTGCTGTGAAACGGAAGTGATCACGTGTTTCTCACTAGTACCAATCCTGCTGCTCCATGTAAGCCAGGACAGAAGATTAGATGGTGTCTTTTTTTTTTTTTTTAATATTTTGTATAATCAACCACTTGAGGCATGTAGGAGGCTTTCAGTATTCAGTGGCAGAATATTTTAGCCCTTTTGTTGATTCTTAGTTGTTGTTTTTCTCTCCTCATCGTTTTAGGCCTATGCCTGTGGAATATGTACCCATGGATCCACAACCCTTGCTCCTCGGACCCGAGGCAAAAGCTGTTTGCCAGAGTTAGAACAAAAAGAACACTTAATGCCCGACATGACGTGAACTCCACAGTGCTGATGGGTTTTGAGGGGGGAACAGCCAAGACTCTAAGAAGTTATCAGATTCAGCACTGCATTGTATATTGCATCCAGTCCGTCTCTCTCTGCAAAGAGGCATTTATGTTTTACTTTATGTTGATTGAGGATTAAACAGACTTTTATGCTGTTCGGACACTTACTCTGTGTGCAGGCCATTTTGGTTTCAATATATTTGTACAATGTTATTCTGACACATTAAGAAGCTCTTGACATCCTAATAATCCATGCAGTTTCTGGACTTAAATTGAGGAATGTCCCTTTAAACAGCCTTCTACCTATCTTGCAATTGAAAAGAGCCATTTTTTTTTTCATTTTGAGTATCTCAGAGGCAATGGAAATAATCCTTTTTATCATTTTGTTTTTAAGATGTGTAAAGAACTCCTCTAACATACTTGAAAATGTGTACAAATGAGACAGATCGAGTGTACATGCAGAGATGTACTGTATCTTATCATATTGTGCGTGTGTGTGTGTGTGTGGGAGGTGGGGATTGTGTGTATGCTGGAAAAATAACTTACACTTTCTGTTGCTTGCTCCACTGCACCTCTTCTGCCTGGCCTCTTGTTTGTGATTGATATCTTGATAGACAGCGACTGACATAAGACACTCATTTTGCAACACAAATAGTCCATGGATTTTTTTTATTAATGGATAGTGGTCAAAATCTGCATCCCTCACTGGTGCAGATGTTTGTGGCACACACACACAAACAAGCTTGTACAGTTCTGTGAGAAGAAAAAATTCCAAGCGTGCTGATTGGTAGATGAAACTAACTTTTTTGCTGTTTCTAGATGCTGATTCGGGCTGGTAAAACCTCGCTATGTGTGGGAGTGTTTTTCTATATCATTCTGCATGCAGTTTTGACGAGTCATGGGTAAACTGCTTGTCAATCATAATAGTAACTATCATTTAAATTTACGCCTTATCACAGATCTGATGCCTGCTTCAATGCCTGGTTTGTTCCCAAATTGGTTCAAGTGCCATGTGTTTGTTTTTCTCCCGTCTAGTAAGATTCTTAATTCTTGTCCCTACAGGATACAGTGAATAGCAATGTTAATTGGTTTCAGAGTGTTAAAAATAGTCCCCCACTAAAGACTGTTGCTGTCTTGTCACTCTTGTCCATTAATATCACTCCTACTGGTTTTAACTTGTCATGTTCATGTCTACATCATTGGGAGTCTTGTAGTGTAGTCTTGCAGTGTGATAAGTCCCTGCGTGGTTTTCAGTTTTGATTGAATAGGACTGTGCCCATTTGTGTGTCTGTGTCAACCAAGTCGGTGTGTTAAGTTTAGCTAGATCTTGCTGGTTCATTTCCCCGCTAGTCAAAAGGATGAAGTCAAAAGCCAGTTTGTGAAAAAAGTACTGTGTGCAAGTTTGAATATCTTCATTTTATGTTTATGCTTGAGACGTTACACAGCAAAGTCTGCCAACTGCAACACTAGTTGTGAGTTCAAGATTTCGAGGGAATCGTAGTCATTTCACTAACCTTATTTTCCCCGATTTAATACCTCCTTTTTTTCTTGCAGTTTTGTGTCTCCTGGTTGAGCCCTCAAACATCACTTTTTTTGCGTTATGATGGTAAATGTAAATAAAGATTTGCTGACGTTTTGAATCCGTTTGTCTTTATGTGTTGAAATGCATGATGCAGAGTCATTTATTACCAGATGGGGGCAGTGCAGGCAAAATCAAATGCATGTTTTATGTTCTGCTATTTGTAGTATGAGGAAATTGTATTTTCTCAACAAAACTCACAAAAATAAGTCTACATAGTCTAAACAGTTCACTTAGGTCTTGTACTGGTGGGTAATATACTCTGTACCAATGAATATTACTCTTTAGAATCATTTAGTAATGTGAAACTTATAAATACCATCAATAATCCCATACTCTGAATTCAAGCTGGAGGTTGATGCATAAAAATCTTCATAGTTTAATGTTTGATCATACGCGTTGCTCTGATTTAAGAGCCTTAATAAAATTGTAAAGTATTAAGAAGTGAAAATACACCATGTCATATTTTAGAGCTCTATGAAACCTGAGTCATACCAGTCTGAAAGTGAGGTATCTCCTCACTTTGATAAACCACATGAGACCTGTACTCATATGCCTTTGATACCTGCAATCATTGGTAACCCACATCCTCTCCATTTCTTGTTCTTTCCCAAGATGTTCCAGTCCCTCAGTGAGCCACAGTCTATTTTCTGTGAGAGTCCTTGGCCTACTTTGTCCCTCCTCACCTCCGCATTGGACTTTTTACCAATTTTAGATACAGGGAGATGTCTGTGGAGAGCTCAATTAATAGGGCTCAGTGTCAAAATGAGGCTCTGCTAAACCTATAAATACAGGCCTTCAGTACAAAGTGACATTGACACATTTTCTTCACCATGAGACTTGTGAGAGGAACTTCAGAAGCTGGATCAAGCACAAGTGGCTGCCGGAGGTTCCCGGAAGTTGTTGAAAAGCCTCCAGGCAGCTGTAGTGTGTGAGTGTGTGTTTTTTTTCCTTTTTTTCAGTAGAACATGAGCAAATTGCTTGATGTGTAAAAGTGGGAGTGTCAGTTTGACCTGAGCCACATATCAAACGACCTCAGACCAATTGTGAATGCTGGTGAGAGGGACAAGAGTACAAAGAAGCGACATGCTAAATATTTAGCCCAAGAATCTACTTAAGAGAAAAGCAGTTTTAACAATAATGTACTGTGGGACATTTTCTACATGCTAGGAAGTTTATTTCTCTACTGTCTTGCTTTCATTAGATGCATTTTTATGTTTACAGGATATGTTCAACAGTTGTATCCTGATAAGGAATATTTTGAAGACCCAGTTTTAGCTGTTTACATTGTTCGCCATCATGGTTTGAGTGTTAGTATGCTAACCTTAGTTTATACAAACAAGTGCGCAGGTGAAGATGAGACTTAGTGCCAGCATAACTGCTATCATTTATCATCAAGTTTTACTGAGCTTGAAAATGGTAAAACTTTCATTCAAGGGGAAAAAAGAAAGTGGTTAAAGTTTTGATTTGCCATGACTCATCAGTTTTTCAGACTAACTTTGTGACATTCAGGATAAAAACTCCAGATGAGCCTCCTCAGTAGGACCACTTAAGTTTGCCAAATTCCAAAACCACATGAGGTGACGCTTCAGCCAAGTTCCCGCTCTGTGGTGAGGTGCAGTAAAGCAGGAAACACACCACCAGGTAAAGGACCTGTCAAATTGACTGGACCACAGAGTCCCAGAGCGTTTCTTGTTTTTGTTTTTTTTAATCTCCGTCTGCTGCTTGAAGCAGTACAAAGCAAAAAGTCACTTTTGCTTTCCTTTCTTAGGAGAAGAAAGGTCTTGAACAGTGAAAAAGGACAAAGCTGAAATCTTATCTTTCAGTTAAAGTTTGTGTTTTGCAGTCGAAGAGCGGCAATTGTGCAAAGTTTTATTCCCAAAATTCAGATATGTGTCATGGTCCAGGGTTAAACAAAATAAAAGGACCCAAATGCAGAACAAAAGATTTAATTAAAATAACTAAATGAAAAAGGTAACATAAAGAAAAAAAATCAAAAGGCAAAATCACAAAGAGGAACTGGGGACACAAGCATATGCACACAGACATACAACGAACCAAGCGGGACAGAGGGGAAGACAGGGACTATATACACACTGGGAAACGAGCAACAGGTGGGGTAAACGAGCAACAGGTGAGGCTAACGAGACACAGGTGAGACTCATGGGTGATTAATGAAGGAGGGAAATAAAACCAGACTAGAAACAAAAGGAATCAACTACTACAAAACAAAACAAAACAGGAAACACTGGAAACTGATCTAAAGAATAACACGGAGAGCATGAGGGAAACAGGGTCAAGCATGAACTGAAAACTCACAAGACAGAATCACAGGAACAATAGAGAACAGAAACACAAGGAAGAAACACAAAGAAAAATACACTCAAAGAACAAAATCAGGGAAAAACCAGATTAACAGAACATATCATGACAATATGTTTCCCAAAGATAAAACATCAAGAGATAGGAAAATAAAGTTGAAACAAAAACACAAGGCACAAACAGCTGATCACAGTTGCTAAACTAACTAATAACAAGGATCCTTATATCATTAAACTGATGCAAGCTAGTTGAGACAATAGTCCACTGATAGAATACCAGCTTTGTTTGTCTGTACATCATCCTTGTAGGTTAGACACCTTGTTTATTTTCTGTTGTTTTTGTCAAAGTTGATTTTCAACCACGTAGCACTCGAACTCAAGTGAGCTCAGGGGCACTTTTCCTCTGTCTGGTTATGTAATTGTTATTTTTCCACAGTTGTTTTCATAGTCTTCTTAACTGGATGGCCCTTAAATTTGGAAATGCCGAGGGAAATACCAGAGGTTTCAATTCATGATGTCTAAAACCGTTCACAACATCTTTTTGTTCTTTTTTCACAAAAAGCTGAGGCCCTAACTAACCAAATACTGTCTATATTTTATAATCCAGGAAAATGTGTGGGTCTAAACATGCCAAACATTGTCAACTCTTCATTCGCAGCTGTGCGTTCATTGCTCATGGTTTAACGGCCTTGTTTAACTCCTGACCAGCCGGATGTGGGCAATGTGTTCCAGAAATAGAGAAGATTTCCCTGAATTTGCAAGAACATAACAGCTTTTTGTGCATTTGTTTGCATGTTTGGTTCGAGTGTCATCTCCTGTGTTGTATCGTAGCAACGACGAGCTGAATGAGGCCGAGACTGGGTGGATGACAAGGGTCTGGGGAACACAAGCATTGTATCTACTGCTCCCACACGCCCACCCTCCCCCAGTGTCACCCACGCATTCACCAGCGTCATCAAGACACAAAACTAACACTTATGACTCACGACAGGAAAGGCTCCACATGAGCGTCTTTAGTTGAATTGAATTCACGCTGTTGTTTCTATTTTGGGGTCTTTGTAGTGTTTCTGCCTTATTAGTGGGTTTGCCCTCTGAGCATGATTGCTTTGTGATGCAAAGTAAATTGCGTCCGTAAGAGCATCTGTTGACATCACTTAAACATGTTGCTGCACTCCCTCTCACTTTAACATTGTGGCCTGTTGCTACCTTTTCAGAGTGGCGTTAAAACCCAGCAGATGAAAACCTGCTATTCTACGGATCACAAAACTAAAATTCTCAATTTTGCTGGCTTTGCTTTTCTCCAGAATAACCAATCCACCTACCAGCACTTTAAAACTCAAATACAGATTTTTGATTCATCTGGTTTAATCCCATATATCCCATCACATACATAGGTGTACTTCTCATGAAGTTCAGTGAGTATCCAGAAATGTCAGCATAGTTAACACATTTTGGCTTTCAAAAAGGGCAAGTGAGTGAGAGGACGTGATAAATGGAAAAGCAGAGGTGAAGGGAAAAGGAGATAATATGATGAGAAAGGAATAATGACAGGTAAGACTGATGAAATCATTTGTAGGAGAGCACAGAGCATAGTTATTTTGGCTGAGTTCATATCCATCATTTTGCACCGTTAATTAGGACAAGTCATCATCATGGCCTTGTTTCAGTCTGCACTCTCCTCATTTGTGACAGCTCCTTTGGTAAGAATAACACCTCTGGAGAGTGTTGAAAATGCTATGCTCAGTCATGGTCTTAAGAGGCCTTCAGGAAAAATTGTTTATAGGCAGAAGTTGTGACTCAAGTTTATTTCTCAACCCAATTCAAGTAAAAAAAAAAGTTAATCAAGGCGTGCCAGATGTATGATTTTGAACTAATTCACGGTCTTTGCCCTTAGCTCAGAGTGCAGTTTTGTTAAGAAGTGGATAGGCTGTTCATGAGTCCCAGATGGTACCCCAGTATTCTGGCCTATGAGGCAGCCATTCATAAATGTTGCATATTCTCAAAGCTGACACTATGTCCTCCACATTAAAAAAAACACATTTCAATACCCAGTATATCACCGCCGATTCAGAAACACTGATAGTCTCAGTGAAAATCTGAGATTTCTGATTGTGTTTGAACTCCTGATTATGGTGAACAAACAAAAGCCGCCCTGTTACAAATTCTCATGTACTGTAATGGAATCCTTTACGTTTAACTGGCTGTGCTCATAAATTCTGTAACACCTGTCCTCAAATATATGACTAGTATCTTTAGATCAGAGTAAAAACATATGAATTAAACACAAGTCTTTAAACAGGAAGACCGCTAACTAGCTCCCCTGATAACAGGGGGATTGGCATGGCGATCTTATGAAGCCTTATCATGATGTGATTAACATCACAGCTGGAACCAGTCTTTAATAAATCATCTCCTGGCTGAACTGACCCATGGTATAAATAAAATATTCTTTACTTCAGGCCAACTCTGTAAAGTAAAAATGTGATCCTACAGTTGACGTACGCTTTATTACGCAAGCAATAGAGGTCAAATCCTGGTGTCAGTGCAACAGTCAGGTGGTGGCTTTAAGCAAAGCCTTCCTCGTGTGCAGGGAGTACAAAGGAGTTCTTGATATTCTCAAAACCGCAAAAACCTCCATATCCCTCTCAAGTTTCCTGTTTTTTAACTTCATGTTCTCAGTGGGGATGGGGATTTGTGCCAGAATCAGAAAAGGTAGAACTAGAATAACATTAACCATACTCACTGAGTTAGAGTCATGTATTTTGATTCTTTAACTCTTGTTAATGTTAATTGTATTTTCTGGTGCTTTAGTCATGCTCTTAGTTGTTTGCTAATATTAATGGTGTTTTGGAGAACAACTAATTAACTCTAAATCAAATCATTGGTTTTACTGTGAAAACTCATCTCTCGAGGTATTTTGGCTGATTGTACAAGTAAATTGTGGTTGAAAACAAATACCAACCAGCCTGAAACACGCCTATAAAGACAGGAAAGAGGTCATGTAAAATTTATAGTGTGTTCAAACCAGGAAAGGAAGACCACATAGACTGTATATGGTATATACAGTCTATGGAAGCTCCCTTGTCAGAGTGACACAGTAGGATGAACCTTCTCTCACAGCGATGTGATGTGAGGATCAGCTGGTGTTCAGAGCTGTTTTTAGCCTCCACTGTCTCATTTGCCATGACTGGCACACACTGAGACTTAAAAATGACCAGCTGGAGACCAGCTACACAGACACGGGGGGCCGCTAGTGCGTCACCGGGTCAAATACAGCGGTAAAAGGGAGAAACATATTCCAGCAGCAGCAGCAGCGCTCTCATTTCAGTCCAGATAAAAAAGGTGCTATAGTTAATGGATCACTAGATATCCAGCAGTCAGGATTAAAGAAATGATGCTAATCTGAGAAAATCTCTCTCCTATATATCCTCAGATCCTCCTCTGATGAGAGGATCAATGCCGCTGTCATTAATTGAGTCTTTCTGTCATTGAGGGTTTGCCGAACAATCAGCAGAGTCTCTAGGATATATAACATACTATTGTGATCAGTGATGCCAAGCCGGAAACCCCTGTCTTCCTTTTTCTTTTTTCATGCACAGCTGAGCCAATTACCTGATGATCTAGTCAGTGGCATCCTTAAATTAGATATACTTTATTTCAACAAAAGCTAGTCCAAAAATCTCAGTTTATTACATTTGTGTTATTTCACTTCCAAGCCCCCTCCTCCAGAACGTGGTCCTTATGTTGTGTAATATCTCGGAGAGAAACTTTGCTTTCCTTAAAGGTCAAACCATGACAACAACAAAAACAAAAAACAAAAAAAAAACACAAAATCAATGTGAAACTATAATAAGTGACTCATTGCAATCAAGAGTAAATAGGTCAGAAAAGGTTTGCAGTCATTTCTTGATTAAAAAGTCAAACTACATAAGAATTCGTCATTTTGTTGTCATTTCTTTGTAACTTTGAAAGTGATACATAAAAAATTTACATAAAACATGGGCATAAAATAGTGAGTATGACTGAGAACAATCAGCATCTATCCTATGTGATAAGAAGGCTGGATAGTTTGATCTACAGTGTTTGTGGGTCTGAGTTTCCAGCACTTTATGATTTGTAATTTGACTTTTTACAATAGGGAAGGATCAGTTTTGTCATTATCATTACACCAAGTTAATTCAGAAAGAAAAGTTTCTAACACACACACACACACACACACACACACACACAGATACACATATACATACACATACACATACATATCCTCCTGCCTCTCATTACCTTGTTGCCAACCTGCAGGGACTATTCCTGGGATGGCTCATAATAAGGTGGGCTAATTAGCCTTGGTTCTAAGGGAATCAATTTTCCCATTACTGTTACACATGCTGGGATTTATCTGCAGGTGTGTGTGTGTGTGTGTGTGTGTGTGTGTGCGTGTGTGTGTGTGTGTGTGTGTGTGTGTGTGTGTGTGTGTGTGTGTGTGTAATGTCAGGGTTGGTCACTGGTAATTGCTAACATTTTCATTTTTTCTTTGAGCTGAGGACAAAGAGAATAAATTACTAGTGTACACTTTTAGATGGCAGCCATTAAAAGGCCACTTCAGCCATTTGATATTTTATTCTTTTAATGTGATCAAATTAAAACCTGTTTTATCATTCCCCACACATTTCCTTTTTTTCTGAAATTATTCAGCTTACATACCTTAAAGAAATCGTTTTCAAGGTTTTATGACCTATAAAAATCAAGAGCTGCTTTGGTGTTAAAGTGGGAAGCATTCATGGCGAAAGAGCTCTTCTAGTACATTGGTAATTATAACCTTTCTTCCAAACTTTCTCCTGCAACAACTTGAAAAGTCATTGTTGGGTCTTTTATTTCAAGCTGATCACCATTTCTAATAGCTACAGCCACGCATTCTCAATATCTGGCCTTTATTCCTACCGTGGAAATGATAAAACTGATGACATGTTTCATCACCTCTTGCTTTTCTTGGCACCATGCAAACACCATCATGTGTGCATGAGCAGTAAACTGATCTCCAAGAATAGCCCTCTGACATGTTGAGTCCCCAGGCGTATCTGAGAAGCGACCAGAAATAGGCAAAAATGTGGAGTTTGGCGCTTACATGTGTGACAAAGCCAGAGGGTGAGATTTCATAACCTCATGGTGCCCCAGACACACTAAGAAGAAAATAGCAAAGATAGATCAATTTTTATGAGTGTTTGGAAGAGAAAGCCATCTTTTCAAAATGTTCATATACTTCGGCTACGATATAATTCCCATAAAAAAGTCCCATCAGCTTTGTATTAAGGTAGAAAATGAGAAAGGGGACACGCAGGCAGTCAACCTGAGCTACATTGACATGTTTCATCCTCCTCAATCACCTAACATAATCTCCTGGTTGATGAAGGCTGCAAAATGTCTGGTCTCTTCTATGCTTTACCACTGAGAGCATCAGCCTGCACCAACTGCGTTCCAGCATCCACCTTCAGGACTGCGCATGAACCAAGCAAACAAGAGTCTACTGCTATAATGCTTTAAGAATTCAGTTCACAGACCCTCAGAAACAGGCTAAACTGCTAGCACGGCTAAAGGAGCTTTGTATGGAAATAGTTGGATATCATGTTCTGATCAAATCCTCAAATTTTGACATGGTGTGTTTGCACTACTTTTAATCTTACAGTCTTATAAAGCTGCCAACTTGCATGTAGAGCAGGGATGGGCAATTTTTTTTTACATGGGGTTACATGAGAAACCTGAACTGTGCTGGAGGGCTGAACCAACAATAACTTACAATAACAATAACTACTTGTTAAAAACAAGCCCCAGAAAAGTGCACCCGCGGCTCATGAGTTTTACAAGCGACTTCAGAGAGAAACAAGCTTAAAGTCTTTTATAATAGGCGGACTTGGCAACTCTATGGCATCTACGAATATTTTGTCAATGTTTTAACTTGTCTCCGTTCATGAATTTAGGTTTAGGATGTACGCACATGCGTTCAAACAGAAATAAAACAACGGCTGGGTTTTCAAAATAAAAGCAACACACTTTCATAGCATGTTGATGAGATTGACGGACCTCACGAAGGGTATATCCAAGGGGACGTAAAATGCCCTGGTCTGATGTAGAGGATTTGCGAACATTTTTTAGCCACAAAACATTTCTTTCTTTACTTTTTTATTTTTTTTTTTACCCTGACTTAACCTCTTGTATGTGCTTAGAAATTATGGAAATGGTCATCTTGCTCTGCTGCCTGCTGTGATATGTTAACTCCTCTTAATTAAGTTCAGTAAACTATATGTCAGCCAGATTCAGCAGTTTCTAATCTCCCAAAGGCCTAAACTGTGCTGAGGTGTTATCTCAACTCATAACACATGAACATGTGAAATCATTCTATATGCAGTGATGTAGCCACTGAAACAGTATATCAACCATTTGCAGCTCTGACACCTGCAGACAGTCGATAACCTTGATTTTCCAGCATTATTCACACAAAGACACACATATTTCAGCACATCCCAAAATACACACATTCATCATTGTGTCGTCATACACACACGTATCATGCTGTCAAAGTCATGAAGGAGGCAACATGGTTCAAGTTCTTAATGAACATGTTTGTTATATTGATGTATACAGTTAGCTCATCCTCATCTGCAGCAGTCAGACTTCATATTTAAAGCTGAAGAAGAGAGATCTGCAGAGAAACTGATTTATTTACACCTTTATTTTTCATGTTCGTACAGTAAGATGTTGATCTAAATGAGGAAACTATAACCTTCTCATTCTGTCTCCCACTCTTATCTCTGTCTGGTTTCATTTGGGTTTTTCTGCTGACATGATTCACACTATCACACAGCACATGATGGTCATATATAAACCACTCCAACATTGATTCATTCTGTGGTTGTCTGGCTCCCTGACTTACATGACGTTGATTGTTTTATGTACTAGGCTACTGTCCAGCTGCTCCAATATTGTTTTTTTGTTTTTTTTTTACTTTAAAAAGCTAAAAGTATGACTGTTTTAATTTGGCGGTCCATTATGTTGGGAACCAACAGGTGGAGGGTGGGTGTCAGACAAACTGATGACATGCAAACATACAAGATTTCTGATATTTGGGTATCAAAGTAAAGCAAGAAGAAATTTTTAAATGGGAAAAACAACTTTTTTTACATAATGGACAAAATCAGCAATGGCTACTTTGTCCACTGGGGGCACCCAAATCATCAGGAGCCCAAAATTTCTTACAGGAGCTTTAATTGAACTAATAATAGACTGGAGTTTGCAGTTTGCCTTGTTCTGTTTTCTAGTTTTTACAAGGGTGTATGAATTTCTTACATGTTGAATTGATTTTAAATGTGATAAATTATCAGTTCGGTGCAAACATGAGATAAACTGTTTCCCTTCCCTGTCACTAACTGTGCTCAGTCATTCTTTCCACTTTGTGTCTTCGTATGTGGACTTACTCTTGGGGTTTGTTTTGGTGTTGGATTCCTTTCAGAGTGAGGAGGCTGCAGTCTGGTGCCTGCTTACTTGGTTCTGCTGTTACAGCCTCAAGGACATCACGTGCAGAGGAGCCTGAAGGGAAGCAAAGTCGTGCATCACAACAGCGAGTGTCCCATCTGAGTTGAGTGAAATGCCTCATACTTCACTTCAAATGTTGTTTGTTTCCTAAATAATGGGTTATTGATTTGTAAATCTTTATCAGTGACAGTGTTACTGCATCTTTGGGCAAATATTTGCTTTGAATCAGCCAGAGAGTGAAGACTTCTAAGTTCCCATACCTAAGTGCAAACGTTTGTTAGTATTTTTATCTAAGAGAGGGAGGGCATCATGACAAGCTGAAATTGTGCGAATTATAACATTGTCTGTCTTCTCTTTGATTGTTTTGTCATAAACTTTTAAAACTGCTTGTGGATGACCTCTCTGACCCCACCCAAGGTCAAAACCTGACACTGTGGGGATGTTGTAACCTCACACTGGTTACATTGGTGCCACTTCCTCATGTTAGTTTGACACCATGACCTGATTTTGGCTTCATGTCATACGCTGGTGTCATTGGTGTCATTTAGTCTTGTTAGGATGACCTAAAAACCTTAATGACCTGAGGCTGTTTTGACAACATATGCTGACACTGGTTTGAAGTCAATACCTGATGTGCCAATGTCATATGCTGAACTTAGTGTAACATCATAATTAAATGTTTGGTGAGGCATCAGCTCCGGGGATGATGTTAAAACTTACATTGGTGAGATGTAATGAGCTGATGTTGGTTTTGAAATTAAAATCTGACATTGGTTTGATGTTAAAATCCAACATCAGAACCTGTCATTGGTTACATTTAAAACTCCAAACTGGTTTGAGGTCAAATCTGATGTAAGGGTGATTTCAGGACCTCACACTGGGAGAACTTCATGACCTGACATCATTTTTGATTACCTAATTAACCCTCTGATTAGATGGCCTGACGTAAGGTCCATGTCATCATCTGACAGTAGTTTGGCGTCATAATGTGATGTTTGGTGGACCTTAGAACCTGGTAATGGGCAAGTGTTAGTATTAAGCACTTGGATGAAGTCATTAGCTGCACCTGCTGCTGTATTTTTTAATTATTTTTTCTGGGATTTTAGTTTCTTGATTTGTTTTCTGAGTTCTTTTGTGTTTCATTTTCCACCTTTTCTTCTTGTGCACATTTTTGCTTGTATGTTGAAACGCTTCATAAACTCAAGTTCTTACAGGCGTTAGGTTCTTACATTATTGTTGATATTAATATTGATATTATTGTCAGAGTTGAATGTTAATTTATTATGTTTATTTATTATGATACTTATGAAGTAGTATAAGTAGTATGATTGTTGTTGTTGTTGTAGTTGATTTTGGTAGTATCATTGTTACTATTGTCATTAAATTATCATTTTATTATGTTATGATGATGATGATGATGATGATGATGATTATTATTATTATTATTGTTGTTGTTGTTATCGGTTATTATGACTATTATTATTATTATTATTATTATTATTGTTGTTGTTTTTGTTTTTGTTGTTGTTGATATCGGTTATTATTATTATTATTATTATTATTATTATTATTATTATTATTATGTTCAGAGCAGGGGCGGAAATCTCAGACCCTCTTATTCAGAACTAATTTGTGTTAATTCTGGAGTGATCTTTCTGGTTTAAGCCGAATAAGCCAATTCAATTAAGAGGACTCTAGTAAAGACTAATAAAGACTTCAGGACAAATCCAATTAATCAAGTGGATTTGTCCTGGAAATGAGGAAACTGTCTATTGGATGTCCTTTAACATCGTTTCTTTTACCACTAAGGGGTTTTCTGATAAATGTGTAGTAAATCTGAGTTAGGACGCAGTCGCACATGTCATCTACTCCTTCTCCATCCTCTCTCTCTCTCTCCCTCCCTCGGTCTCTTACAGCTCTCCGCCCCTCGGCGTATTGGCAGTGGTTGGCGCGCGGCACACGGCGTGGACTTGGAGATGTCTTGGCAGTATTACGCACGACGAGACGACTATTGCGAAAGCCTCCATTAGAAGAACAGGACACTTAATCGCCGAACCGGACTGACTCCCAACTTTTGATTTCGTGATCACTCCTTTCAGTGCCTCCAGAAATCATTTTCCTCTCATCATTTTTTTCTGCTCGCATGTGAAAGTCAGTCTCCCTGACCGCAGCAGCAGCGTTCCTGGGTCTGGATGACTTTTCCTCCTCGTGTCCTCTAGGCTCGGTGGCTATAAAGGAACAGAGAGGATGTAAACAGCGTGGGGAGGGAACAAACTCTACGAAGCAACAGTTTTTTTTTTATTTGGAGATCCCAATAAACGAGAGGATGATCCCGCCAGCCAACACGGTACAGGACGAAAGTGGGGGCAAAGAGGACGAACAGGAGCAGAATGAGACACCAAAATCCCCGACGGCGAACTCCAGTCAGCAGGAAACCAAGGTAAGACTGTCCTGTAATGATTAACTCTTTACTCTCACTTTAATCTTAACTTGTGGATCGCACTGTATATCAGCCAAACTCCTGTTAATACAAAAGAGTAAAAAGGGGGAATGGAAATGTCAATAATTATCACTCAGCAAGGATCTGTTCCTCAACACTCATTGAAATACTTAAATTACCTGAAAGTAATCTGCATTTTAAACACATATAAAACCCCAATTTGGCATTTATAGGTTTTGTTTGGGTTGTAAAATACCTGTTACACAGATATTTGAGAATACATTAAGGACACATAGGACAGAGAACCCCAACCCAACATGTTTTTAGTGACCTGGAACTCACATTAGGTGAAACAGATCACATTTATATACCATTTCAATGACATTTTTATATTTCAGCATGTATGAAAGCTTCTCTCAGCTCACTCTTGCTTGTCACTAAATCTTGTGTGACATTAAGATCAGACCTGAAATGCATTATTTTGAACTCTGAATCAGATACTATTCCTTATCCGAGCTCAACTAGTAAGGATTTGGAGTCTAAATCAGTGGTTGCTTTTTTAAGCATTAGTGAAAAGACTATCTGATCAGAGCTCTTGTAAAAGCAGCTGCATGGTAAGTGGAGTAATATGGTGTAAGTGATGTGTTTTAATAAAGAAGTGGCATGTGGGTTGTACTTTTTGCTTGTTGCTGCTATGGGAAAGTAGGTTGTGTGATAGAGATCTGCAGCTGCCTCCGGCATGTTGCCATCTATGGGGGCCACATGTCGCCCAGACTACTACAATTAGCTGTAAAATATTGGACTAGTCATCATGGTGGTGACTCGCTGCAGCAGCTCTTCTTTCCTGTCCTCAAAAAACTCCACAGAGCAGAAAAAAGCCACACACTTTTGAACGCCCGTAATCTTGTTTTTTTTCTGAGTGACACTTTGTGAAGCATTTAGCATTTCTACACCTTGTCCTCTGACAGATGATCTGCTCTTTTGTATTGTGTTTTTTTTAAAGAATCAAGAGTTTGATCTCTCACTTTGGCACATTTGGTCACTAGGAGTTTACGGTGACTCCTGGCTGACTCCTCACATTCACATACTGTCTGAGCTTCTGCCAAATGATCATTCTCACTTCCAATGTTGGATATTGAACACTTCAAAAAGACAAGTAAAAGTGGTTTCAAAAGTGTTTACCAACTCAAACATAAATTACTCAGGAGGCTCAACGAGTTTTCAACAACTAAGTCAAGCTGTCTTTGTGTCTTTATTCCTTCTTGAAGAATACTGTGAGGCCTGAACATCAAAAGCGCAAGGTGAGCCTCCACTTTTGTGCAGACTGTAGCATATACACTGCTGATTTTAGTCCATCATAACATAAAATCATACCTGCATGTAAAGACAAAAGGTTAAGATTGCAATTTCAACTGCTTTCAGTGTCAGTCACTTAGTGGAGTTAATGCAGCAGAAGAATCGATTCATCATCACTCATGTTTGCAGAGGGCACGCTTTGGTTACGAGAGTCAGTGGATGTTTTTACTCATTAAGATCTGTTATGGCTTTTTCAGTTTGTTTTGCATCACCTTTATCACCCTTCATTAACCCTTTCTGCTTTATGACAGCACAATGTTCCTTTAGGTTTGGTTTCATTAAACTCAGCATGAGCTCCTCAGTGCATGCACACACTTCCTCATTCTGATTCTCAAGGGGGAATCCCACTTTATGTAGACTGATTTCTTTAAAATGTACATGAAACTCGCCTAGGAAGTGGAAGGAGTTATAACAATTGCGAATAGTGAATACATTTGATATGTCAAATATACTGAAAAAAATACGTCCCATACTGTTATGGGAAAACCCAAGTGGTTTCAGAGTAATACTTGAGTGCACTGTGAAGGTTATGTGTGAATGTGTGATCGGCACAGACATGCTCCAAATTGATTGTTCCCAAAGTGACATGAAGAATTGATTTATCTGCACCACACCACAGCTACAGAGATAAGCTCCACTCACTTTGCACAGGCATGTTAGCCAAAAACATCAACAGCTAACACTGCATGTACAGCATAATACATTGTGCATAACAACAAATCTAACTTTAGAAGAAGATGAGTAAAGTTGAAGCACTCAGCAGATTAACATGAACTCCTCCCACTTTTATTTTGACTTAGTCATAGTTGTAAATCAGTGCTAGGATGTATTGGATCATTAGGAGTCCCCCCGTTCCCATCAATCACTTACAACATAATTTATTTCTTCAATCAGAAGCCTGCAGCCACACACACAAGCCAGAAAGCAGAGCCATAAAATCACATTATAGCTGCTCAGAGAGTCTTTATTGCGTGTTTGAGCTCAGGATTAAGTGGGTTTCACTGAAGAGGAAATACACACTGAGAGGTTAAATGAGGAGTTGTCAGTGTGAAGTGTTATGAATAGTGTTACTGTACTAGATGAGCCTAATGAGATTGATATGAGCCGCGGCCAGAAACGGCAGCACAGTGTGTGAGAAATAGTGTTGATGTGATACATTGCCTTTACCAGAAAACCACATTACCTGCCAGGTAGGGGACCTCGAAGCTTTTCCACTGAGCAGTAATACTTTATCCCTGAGCAGTGGTCTTTTCATCAGCTGTGGGACACTAGGACATCTGCCTGAAGGTTCAAGGCACTAAATTTGTCATTTGTTGAGGTTATTACAGACATTGATTTACTACACATCAGTTTTTCTCTCTCCTCTGCCACTCTTTGTGTATTCTCAAATGAGATTTCTGTCTTTTTATCTCCCTCAGTCCATTCTCTTCAACTATTTCTCCCTCCTTCCAGCTGCAGAGACTCAAGCGCTCCCTATCCTTCAAGACCAAGAGCATCCGCAGCAAGAGCGCAGATAACTTCTTCCGAACGAGCAACGACAACAAGACAGAGTTGCTGTCAGATGTGAGCAGCAGCACTGGCCATCTCTGCAACATCGGGATGGCCCCGCCACACACCACTAACCTCCCCATCCCTCCAGTCCCACCGGCGATCCCCTCCGCCCCTCCTCCGACATCACGCTCCCAGATACGCAACCCAATGCAGGTTGACTCAGCAGGACACTGCTTCATGGAGCACATCTTTAAGAAACCCACGTTCTGTGATGTCTGCAACCACATGATCGTAGGTATGGTTACTGTCCTCCTTCCTCTCAAAAAGGAAAAAAGTAAAAGGAAACCATCCTCATTGAATTTTCATTGTTACTCAGTGAAATTGTGACTGACACTTTTGGTCACTGTGCTTAATAACACAATAGTGATAAACATGCAAAAAAGAAGCCTGTCCTTATTTGCATTCACTGTTGTTGATATTTTTTACTGTCTTTATAAAGTGATTTTAAACCATAAATTCTATCCGCTGGTAATAGTGTGGAGTCAGTGATCGCAGGGTTTATTTCTGAGACAGATTACATATCGACACCAGCTTTCTTCTTCTTTACCCGGTGAGCATTTTGACCCATTAGTGTGCTCAAAGTTTGCCCTGACAAATTTGCAGTCTGTCTCAGAAAACTACTGAGTAAGTTAGAAATTGAACATTTGCATGATTTTGGGCAGAGCATGATTGTGTGAGCAGTCAGATGGATTACTTATAGTGGCCTCTACTTTGTTTACTACTTACTAAGGATGGCACATCTGTCCAGATCAGGACCACGATCCATATCATATCATATCATATTGTCCTGTATCACATGGGATCATATCCCTAGTCTGTCTGTTGTGTCCTTGGGCAAGACACTTAGCCCACCTTGCTCCCAGTGTGTGTCCTCCACTGGTGTATGATTGTGAGTGTTGTGTGGTGATGGTCAGAGAGGCCGTTGGCGCAAACTGGCAGCCACGTTTCCATCAGTCTGCCCCAGGGCAGCTGTGACTACTAAGGTAGTTTACCACCACCAGGGTGTGACTGTGTGAGCGAATGAATGATGTATCCAATGTAAAGTGCTTTGCACCTGAAGCTGTAAACTGAATAGATAATGCCAGGCCATGTACCTTTTCTTTCACCAGTTGATCTTTGCTCATTGGCTCGGCTTTTCCTTTTCAACAGGCAAATATTAAAACTTGACCTCTGTTCAACCTTTTTAATAACAATGGCCTCCTGTACAGTCTGCCCAACAAGCCCCTGATATAGCCCCTGGTGGTAGGTACAAAATGTTGGATTCGTGGAACAGATATTTTTAAATATGTGCCCGTAAAAACACAGATGTTATTGTTCTCTGAAGGCTGGTATCATCAACAACACTCTTTGTTTCATTTAAAGACCTCAGTTTTGCTCTGTGTACTCATAAGTCATGGATGAACTTAACAGTGACAGGACATATACGCTGTGAACCCACACGACTCGTCACGATATGACTAAAGCTCAGTCTCTACACAGTCAACTCTCGACTTTTAAAGACCTTTAATGTTGACTTTAACCACCGTAGGTCTGATCAACACAGAACATCCTGAGCTAGTACTCTTATAATGACTATATGTCGAATAAAAAAAAGTCGTTTTGCTCAGCGATAAACCCACGTATTATTTAGTTTTCACTGAACATGGTGAAGTCGTACAAAGTGACATAAATCAAGTCCAAATTTCATGGCATGAACATGACGGCATTACATTAAGACGAATATTCAAATACAGTTGCCTTAAATGACTCTCAGTTTATTTATTCTGGTCTGATTTGTGAGTCATGGCCGGCGAGGTCTGTCAAGCGTCCGAAACTTTAAATGACTCTCTGGTGGTGTGTTGATGATGACAGTGTGCTCCTTGGCCAGCCACTGAGAGGTGCTTTGCCCTCTGGTGCACTTCTGAAAAGGATGCTGCCCTCGTCTTCATTTGTCCTGCTTTAATGAGAACATAGTGTAGTCTGCAGCTGAGAGAAAGTGGAGGACTTTTTTTTCTACTGTGTAAGTGTGCATGCAATAAGCTGGGAATAGGGGAAATAAGGTGACAGCAACAGCACTCTGAGATTCACATTTAGTGATATTTAGCATCAAAATGCATTTATATCTCAAACAATATTTAGTCTTTCTATTAATTTATATCATAATCCTCAGTTATACATTGGTTTAAAAACTGTATATTGCAACATGCAGCAAGACACCCACCTTCTCCCCTAATTAGGATCCTTTATAATACAAGAGGGTCTGAAAAAGAGATGCGTCATACATAAAAGAAAAGCTGAATTATTTTATAGCTCCATGACTCATTCATTAATGTCACAGAATGACGGGAGAGAAAACTACATTGGTAAGCATTTGACAGAGCAATAAACATTTTCCGTGGGCTTTGATTTGTGTGCTGCATATCAGAGCTTGTCCACAGTTTTCAGTAACTATGATTTGACAGAAGGATGGTTAGAAAGAATCTGAATACTGTAAAGATGCAGCATAACTTGTTTAAAACTTGTTTATTCCCCTAATAGCTGAAAAGACATGAGCCTTTAAAAAGAAAAAGATTGACAAATTAGTTTTAGAATAAACCATCTATTTTTAGGTTACTGCCATGTCTTTATCCTCTACATTAACCTCCTCATTATGGTCTAAATGCCTCGCACAGTGTTGATCTTTTGTCCAAATAAAGCAAACGTCCTCGCTGTGCGTCTCACAGTGTGAGTTTCACCGGTACATTAAAATGTCCTGATCGAAAACAGGCTGATGCTGAGATATTGATTGCAAGTTCCTGCACAAATAGCTCATTAAATAAACGTCTACATGAGTGAAAAGGAGCATTATTTGTGGTTGACAGAGGGGGAAATGTAATTTATTGCACAGGCTCTGTAAAATTAAATATTCACCGCTTGTTGGTTGCGAAAGTATGCAATAAGTTTCACACAATGAGCCACCTGGATTTCAATTTGTAAAAACATTTTTTACAGCGTTTGCATCATTTTCTCAAGGACGAAGAGGAGTTTTGGAGGGTGAATGCAGGAACTTATTTAACTGAACTTGTACTATCAGACAAACACGTAGCACAGACTGCTCCTCAAAACAACATTAAGTAACAGTCCAAACAGTTGAAAGTAGTAGTCGTAGAGTAGTGACAAACTAATGAAATAACTGTGATTTACACTGAAAGACGAAGGCGATACATCCATGTGTCTGCTGAGATCTTAATATTTGAATCCCAACTTCAACTTTTAAGTCATCCTAATTCCCGAATCAATGAATGAGACAGGCTGACATTCATGAGACTGTAATCTGAGAGTACATTAATTTGCACTAATCTGTGCTGTTAATCCAAGAAACGCTCATTACAGGCTTCGTCAGAGAGAAATGAATATGAGTGTCAGAAGACTGGGGTGCTAATAGAGGTTTTATTGCATCACTGTGTAATAATTGTTTACAAGCAGGTGTCAGTCATAGTTTCTTTCCTTTTGCCAGACATGAAACAACAGATCTGCTGCCATGTTGATTTCTTACTCATGATATAGAATTGAATAGTTGTAAAGGCTGACGGTCAGGGAAAGGGACATTTTGGAGATACAGCAAGTTTGTACTATGATTAGGGCTGGGCGATAAAATGATAACGATATATATATAGAAAGTTAATTTCCCTATATATCAATATAAAACATGGTCAATATGCTTTTTAATAGTCAGCGTTCCGCCATGTTTTGGTAGACTATACAAATAGCCAATGAAAAGGGGAGTTTCTCTGGGTCCGCTTCACGCTGAACCAATCATGTGCTGAATTAGAACCAAGTAGCAAACAAATGCGTCAGCTGCAGCTACACGCAACCATAGCACTTTAACACATGAAGCCGACAGCACTGTCAGTGAGCGAAAAAGAAAATGAGTGCAACCCCCCACAGATGATGACATCGCTGACAACGATGATAACCTTTTCCTATATCGCCCGGCCCTAACTATAATTAAAAAAAATTAAAACCAGTTGAGCGACAATTCTGAGGACAGTCACCGTAAACCCCATAGAGCAGAGGGAAAAGGTGAAAACAAATGTATTGAGCATTTAATACTCTGTTCCCACAATTCTACAGAGAAATTATTTTAGTGGTACAAAATAATCTAATGGCTGTGAGAGAAACTTATTAAATTCTGCAAACAAACCAAAGAATGAACACCTGTGTCACTGTTTTGGACGAGCTTAAGAAGAAAAGGAGGTGGGGGTTTTCTCATCAAGATGAAGGTTATTTGCACAGGAAATCAGGAGGCGTTAAGCTAAGAACGATGGCTTAATGGATCAATGTGCTGCTGTTGTAAGGAGAGTTCAGTGTGAAGGAGATACTGTAGGGAAGAACAATGGGATATTGTTAGAGAAGGATATTGTGGGGAAAAAACAAGACTGAAAAGAAGAAAATATGAACATCTAGCCGGAGCTCTGTCTTTTACTGAACAGAGAATGGCACATAGACGCTGTAAAACAAGACGGTGTAGCTGCTATGACCTTATCTGTTGTTTTTGAAGAGGAGGGCGGCTCTGGAAGTGACATGCCCATCACAGGGAGCCAAGCCTGACCCTGCTGCTCTTGTGTGGTTTTAGATTTTAGGAGTCTGTGTATTACTCAGCTTTCCTACTGATTTAGCTGTGCCATATTGTTGATTTTGTTTCATCTTGTCTTTAAGGGTATTTACTTTGGCCGTTTTTTGCCATTGTGCTTCCAGTGCAGCTGGAGATGTAGACAATAAGTCACTGTGGAGCGCAGAAGTGAACCTGAGATCTGCTACGGCGTCAAGAGTTGTAGCGTCTGTAAATAGGACATGCACTTTAACCACTGAGTAAAACAAATGCTCCAAAACACCCCTATTGTAAAGACGACTAGTTGCTTGAAATGAGACCATAAACTCTTTAGAAAAGTTTTAGCTGATTCAAATTAAATGTAAGATAACTATACAACCTGGAGATCGGTTTCAAAAAGGATTGGGCACTAAAAGCAGAACAGCAATTAGAGAGCGAATGAAAAAGACAGACTCTGCTACGATCAAGGAGAAACAACAGCGAAGAAAAAAGAAAAACGTACCTCTTTGTATCAACCTGGTTAAACATCCTTGTTTTTTTGTACAAGTAAACAAGGTTACATGCCATTATTTCTCCCCTGCTTGGTTACAGAGGCTGACAAGTGGTTAAGTAGAGTCTTTAGAGCCGCTGTAGAATATTTATTTGCTGAAAAACCCAGGGATGCTCATTAAACAACATCGACCTGATTCAGGGTGACCTAAAATGTGCTGCAAGAAGTTTGTGTTCATCTCCTCTGCTTATATGCTGATGTGTTGTTGATGCTGTTGTTGTTGTTGTTGCGGACTTGATGATCTGTGGCTGACTGATGAGGCCTGGCTCACATTCCTCTCAGTTTCTGTCTCAGGTTAACTAAGTGTGCCAGTTCTGTGTCAGCGGGGCTCAGCCAAGCAGCACCAGAGCTTTAAACGGGGAAAACAAATCTAGCTTTTCCAACCAACCGCTACGGAGTTTCAAGTGTCTGTCGCTGCACACAGGCTTGTGTTACAGCACGTGAGGAGCAGACTGATTTTTTTCCCCCTGCAAACATACACAGACCTTATACAAGGATCAGATGTCACATTCACGTTGCCGGGTCACCTCTGCTTGTTGACCCTATTTTCCCATTGAACCAGACATGACACGCCGCAGACAGCACGTCCATTCACAGGGTGAAAAGCAAAGTGCACAAATTGTCAACAAACTTCACAATCTCTCAGTGATGAAACTTTTTCTCTCACTTGTTCTCGACACCCATTAAAGATCGATTAATTCTCGGTACGTCTGTTCTTTCACACGCAGAGTGTGGGCCAGAGCGGGGCACGTGCTTATTGATTAATCAATAAAGAGCCAGAAGTGCACTGCTGCTAGACTACAGCTAATAAAAGCACTGGGACTGTGCAACACTGTCCTGTCTGTTAATGAGGAAAGACTGACGGATGTAACAGAGGCGCTGTCTAAACAGTTACTGTCATGGAAGTCACTGTCTCATTAAATTTAGATTTTATATTGTGTCCTCTAGCCCTTAAATGCCTGAAACCACAAATTATGGCCAGAAAATTCAAATTTTCTTGGATCTGAAATGTTTATTTCACTTACTACCGAAAAACCAGAAAAACCAAAACATCCTTCAATTTTACAAATATATTTATTTATCTTGTTTGATTCATTAGATGTTTTTGGAAACTGATTTATTGGACTGTATTCAGGTGTTTTTTTTAGTAATTTGTTCATCATATTGATTTGATAGAAGTATCATAAAAGTATGTATCAAATATGATACAAAAGGCATTAAAGGGCTAGTTGTCTCAAGGTTATAGGCGTCCAGTTGCAGCTCGCTCTGTGCTTCATTTCTCATACGAAGTTTGACATAACATATCATTGTTTGAATTCAGGGTATTTACAGGGGTGTAAATCTACATTCACAGTCCTTGTACAAGCTTGTAAAGTGGTGATAGCATTTCACCAGGGAGCAACTCAGTCTCAGCTCTCGGGGACATGTGGAAAGATATACGATTGACATTTTTAACCCCAGTATTCAGATTTTTTTCCTCTGCCCTGAGCAACAATCTCATCAGATGCTTCGGGGTGTGGACAGTAATATCGAGATCGTTTTAATCTTTTAAAGGGAGGAAACTTTTTGACAGATAGGTAGAGCCTGAGGTATTCAGTCAAGGAAACTTCACACCACTGTCTCGATTATTCATCCATCCTTTAATCCATCCCTCTATCTTTCATAAATTCATCTTTATAGCTAATGTGGACCCTGATTAGTCCAGACCAAGCGGCAACTTCTGGTGTTAAAAATGAGGAAAATAGGTTACTGAAGTATCCGTTGAAGCTGGCGGCAAGGGAATTCGATTCTCGCTGTTCACACCTTTGTTACGGTTCTTATTTTACTTATTCTAGCATCCTCCTTTCGCTGTCTCCACCCTGAACAAGACCATCTTTCTCCATTTCAGTCCTCATCCATTTGAATTTATTTGCTGCTCTGCGCACTGAAGGAAAAGTTTGCAAAAGTCTCATTAATCTTCATGTGTTTTGGTAATCATGGGACCTGTAATAATTAGTGTAGATGATCTGCACTCAGGCATCAGTTTGAAACAGTCAGAAATGATGAAGACAGCACAAGCTCATCTAAAGTCAGTTTGTTGAAAAATGGTTTTGCAGAAGTGAACATCATGTGTCACATTTGCTTAATTTTGTCCTTGTTAAATTGTCCACATGGTCGCTTCACAGGTTTTTCCCAATGCATGCTGGGAAAGCCTCCAGAAGCTCTGGCTAGGAATAAGTGTGTTAAAACAATGAATAAATAAATGAGATGACATTCTGATTTTTTTTTCTCTTCATGAGTAATCCTCTGTTCACTGCGGAGCACGATACGAGTCCATGTCCTGACATGACAGACCTGAACCACTTGGCTCTTTCTTGTCTGTGTGTATCAGGTACGACAGCCAAACATGTGGTATTTCTGGCGGGAAACACGGCAAAGCATGGCCTTCGCTGCAAAGCCTGCAAGATGAGCCTGCACCATAAATGTGAGAATGGAGTGGGACAGCAGCGCTGCATGGGCAAACTGGTGAGACCCGTCATGCAGAATAACACAGACGTGAAATGGATGGTACATTTGTCTCTGTGCCATCAACAGTGTGGGAAATTCATGAATATAATTACTGATGTCATTAACAACCAAAACAGTCAGATCAGGATTGGCAGGGCGAGCGGTCCCCAGCAGAATGTGCTTATTCAGAAATCACACTTGATGTGTTAGTGTGCTGGTACATCTGTGATCACCATCCATCCTCGTCATCGTTCTCATCACCGTTATATCATCACTCTGTGTGTCTGTGTGTCTGTGTGTGTGTGTGTGTGTGTGTGTGTGTGTGTGTGTGTGTGTTATGTAACAGGAGTGTAAAAAAACGTCTCATCATCAGCAGAAAGTCTTTAATCAGGTTCGATAGAGTCACCCTGAGGCAGCTCCATACACACCGTGGAAGATGTGACATCACTTTAATGATGTGGTATCAGGCCTAAAGTCTGCCTTTGAAATTTTAGGTCAAGTCTTGTTTCCCTGAGAAATGTAGACTTAATTAATTATCACATATTTGATTTTTAACTAGTGGCACAGTGGTTAGCACTGTCGCCTCACAACAAGAAGGTCCTGGGTTCGGAGCTGGGTAAGGGCGTTTCTGCGTGGAGTTTGCATGTTCTCCCTGTGTCTGTGTGGGTTTACTCCCGGTACTCCGGTTTCCTCCCACATCCCAAAAACATGCAGAAGTGGGGTTAGGTTAATTGGCCACTTTCAAATTGCCCAGATGTGTGAATGTGGGTGTGGATGGTTGTTCATCTCTATATGTCAGCTCTGCGATGAACTGGCGACCTGTCCAGGGTGTCCCCTGCCTTTGCCCGAAGATGCTGGGATAGGCTCCAGCGTGACCCCCAATGGGTAAAAGGTGTAGAAAATGAATGGATGATTTTTAACTTGTGTTAAAATTTTATCATAGGAAACTAGATCATAAAAGCTACAATATCATAAACAATTGCAAGGGACATTTATCATTCTTAGTGATTATGATTATTTTATTATTTATAATAATAATAATAGTAAAATAATATTAATAATAATAATTAGACCCAATACACCAGCATTGTGTCCTGTTTGTTGCTATTTACCCTGTTTCCATTTGGTCAAGAGAAGCAATCAATATTTTTGAATATGGATAAACTTTGATTAAACTTGATATAGTTGAGCTTCTGAACCCCTAAAAGTTGAGAAAACTCTTAAACTTTTTTATTCCCATCCAAAGTCTCAATAAAATATATATTCAACCAAAAAATTTCTTAATTTGAAAAAAAAAAAAAGGTATTTATAACTGAGGGGAATCGTTTTCAATATTTAAAGCTCCTGTGAGCAACTTTTGGTTTATGTTTATTTTGCCGCCCCCTTTTGCCTTGTCCTCCAAATATTAATACAGTGTCTTTTGCAAAAAAAAAAAAAAAGCTTATTTTGCTTAAATTTGCTAGTCAAATGTACTGTATCATTCAATGTTAATATTTTATGTAGTAATGATAAAAAACGCTGCTTGGCTGACACCTACCCCAGCAAAATGGTTTCGGATATTAAAACGACGATTTAGAAAACGTCGTTATTCTTCCTGATTGTCTTGTTTGCTTTTGGATACCATAAAGATGCATCAGTATGAATTTCAACCTTTGTGATAAACATTATAAACTTCCTATAAAGTAATAATCTGTTCTTTTGAGTGGAGTTGAATGAGGTGTCTGTGAACAGTCAGCTGTGCCCCTTTGTTGAGAAATAAACTTGAGAAAAAAACAGGAAAGTAGGCCACAAACCGCTCCAGATGGGGTCAGTTTTTGTTTGTCAAACTTACTTCAGATTAGCCAAATGATGCGGTGGAGTGACCCTGTCTACAGCGAATGATAGCCATGCTTCATGCTAGCTCCAAATAGAGGCCGCAACAGTGTAATACCAGAGCAAGTTACTGGTTCACATTAAATCTGTCGACATGACAAAAATATGGAGTAAAAAATCTTCCCTGAGTGGGCGATAGGTTTGATCTTCAGTTTTATTACCAAACAAGTCAAAGCGACTGATCCTGTGCTGCAATAAGCCCCGCAAACATAAGCAGCATCATAGATTTCGAGGTCATGTTTTGTTATCATTACTGGCTATCACTTCAAAGCCTCAATCACTAAACAGCGAGCTGAGATCAGGGACCGCAGAGTGATTCACAGTCAAAATCCCCTGTTGTAATCTGCAGTCCTGCATTTTGATAAGACCGCTTAGTTAAGGGGTCCAGGTGTACTGATGGGTTTTATCGGGGGAGGATTCGGTCACTCTATGCCAGCAAATGTTCATCACTTTCAGTCTTAATACCTGGCAGTGAGGAGCTGAAGCGGGACTCTTTAGTCATTCACACACATCCCACACTGAAGCACTGTCAGGTCATATTATGTGTGATTTTCTACCTTTTCTAGTGTCTTCCTGCACATCATTTAACAGAGAAAAATTGACTTTAATTATTTGACTTGGTGGAAATGATGGAGAATAAATGCAATAAGAAGTGATATGAAAGCATGGACCCCATCCTTTCCCCTCTGAGATGTCTTTTCACTGGAGGCCTGTGGGATGAGGCCTGCAGATATGATCGCTCTCAGGAGTGGAAAATGAGGTTGAGAGGTCAGGATTAAAAAAGGAAGTTTCCCCAGCAGAGTTCAGCTCTAACTTCAACTTGCTCTAAACTTGGCCACTTGTGCAGCCATGCTTGTTGCTCTTGGCTAGACATCCTTTTACTAAAGGACTCAAATTACCTCATGCTCTCTGTCTTTTTGGGCAATTAGGCCAGCAAAAAGAAAACTTACTGAAAAAGTTAAGTAAACGAAGGTTGATCACTGACACGTAACTGTGAATCTCTTGACCCAACTTTATGCACAAACTGAGTCTTTACAGCTTCATTGCACACTTCTAGTTCTTATCACATGCACAAACAAAAAGCAAAGCAAACCCACTTTATTATACAGAACACTTAAAATTTAAAGAGCATGTGTGTCAAAGAGGAGAAAATGAAACATCCTTAATATAGGAGAACGTTTTATGTCTCATGATGACAAATGCAGAAGGAGTGGAACTAAAAGCAGCCTGCAAACAGAGCTGGTTCAGTGCAAATGATTTATTAACAAAAAGGGAGAACTAAGACTTGGACCAAAGTATTGGAAGAAGCCAGGAAACAGTCCAAGGCAGCCAAACAAATCAGGAAGGACTTTTGAAAGGAGCTGACAACGAGCAAGGTCCAAGAGAACCCTGGTCCAAAACCTCTGGGGATAAATGTTTGGAAATACTGAATTTCTGGCACTTTGTACAGCACCGGAAAGATTAAATTAATCAGCCACAGGTGTGAACAATTTGGGTGGGGCAAATTATCACACAGAAACACACAATAATGAGAATAAAGATTTAGAAACAAGAGGAAAGGGTGTGTAATGAAAAAGAAACCCGGAGACGCTCTAAACGTAAGAGGGAAAATTCAAGTGCAGCAAAGAGAACATCAAATTGTCCTGTAGAGACCCACAAAAGTCGGCTCCTCCGGGTCACCAGGTTCATGTTCACACATTCAGATTTTTCCTCTCAATCTTTTTGTGTTTTGTTGTTGCCTTGTGAGCACAACAAAGTTTGCAGAAACTTGCAGAAAGCAGCTGCTGAAGTCAGATTCGACTCCAGGTCCAATATTCTGTGCCAGTATTTAACAGTGTAGGTACAATGCAAAATAAAAAATCTATAATACACTAAATACAAAGTCAATAAATGAATATTCACTTCTCTGCTAGTTCTGATTGAATCATCAAAATTATAGATCCAGAGGAGGACAGCTGTCTCCTTCAGTTATTCACCCATGCACTCTCTGAAACAGCAGAAAAAGATGACACTCTTCTTATTTTGGGCCTTACTTTTTAACTCTTGCAGACTTGATATGAAATACTGACATTTCAGTTTTTCCAGCTAAATTAAATGATGTCCTTTGTATGTAGCCAAATAAAGCAGATGGGCATTTGAATCTGGCGTTTCAGGTCTTGTGATGGGCGTAGGAAGCTTAAGGTTACTTATTTTGCTCGTCTAAAAAGTGTCAAATGAAGAACTAATCAGGACTGATTAGGGATGCAGATTTCACCACCTGTCACTTGAATATAAACAGGGTACACAAACAGGGAAAAGGCAAATCTTGTCTTTGCAGAAAGCATTAATCTCATCAGAAATACAGTATTTTAAGATGCAATGTGTGAATTTATCAAGAACTTCCCACAGAAATGTCTAATTTTTAAATAAATCATAATTCATTTCTTCAGATTGATCCTCTGCAGATCTTCTTTCTCTTCCTCAAGGACTCAGAGCTGATAGGAGAGTATTGATTGGATAGGAGGCAGGGAGGTAATGAAAACATAAATGATAAATGTTCGAGGGCCTCTTTGAGACAGGAGGAGAACATGACAGGCGGGTCAATCAGGACTCGAAGTGCACTTTTCCTCACCAGCGAACAACCTCCATGGTCAAAGTGTTATAGCTACACTTGGGAAATTTTTACATCAAGTAGTTTTTTTTCTCTATGAAGGACAAGCGTGACATGATATTTTTCATCAGAATAGAAGTGCGCTAAGTGGAACTAATATTACACCTCATTTGTGAGGTTGTGCGGTATTGAGTGTGAACTGAGTCTTACATCATTTTGTAAACAGCGATAGTCCCTTCAGCATCTGTGTCCCACTCCACCCACTGTCCCCCTCAGGGTTTCTACAGCTATTGCGACAGAGTTTCAAAGCATGGTACATGACAGGGTTTCTCTACGCTTTACTTTTTTAAAAATAGTTTTATTTTAAATGAAATGATCAAAATTTATGCTTGAATTAGTAACTGCATACCCTACTTTTCAACACAAAAGTCAGACTCCACAGGGTAGTTTGCAGTGTTTTAGCGTCAGGCTCTGAGGATGAATATCTATTTGCCTCTAATGTCTTTCATTTCTCTCTTTCTCTCCTCAGCCAAAAGGCTTTCGGCGGTATTACAGCTCTCCATTACTGATCCAGGAACAGTATGGCTGCATCAAAGAAGTCATGCCCATTGGTGAGCAGCTTGAATGTTCATAATAACCCCAGTTCTTTGAAGACTAAAAACTCTGCCTCTCACTGCCAGAACCACTTTTCCACATGGGCTCTTTTACAAGATTTACCTGCTCGGGTTTATGCCATTGTTAATCAACATGTGGCTGTTTTCAAAGCTTTACTCTTGTTTTCCATTAAGTTTGATTATGACTTAATTTGTTTTTCAAGCCTGTGGGAATAAGGTTGACCCCGTCTATGAGGCTTTGAGGTTCGGGACATCACTTGCACAGAAGGCAAAGAGGGCCAGCGGCTCCGAGTCTCCGCACAGAAACTCGGTAAGAAAAGGAAAATTTATTGGATGTGTTTGTTTTTACTCAGCAGGCACAAATTACCTGTCAACGCCTTAGTCACAAGTCACATGAGACTTGTGGATTAGCTCAGTTCAGGTAATATAGGCTACTTGTAATATTTCAGCCTGCATACTGTAGCTGATGATCTAAATAGATACTGCGTCTACAAGGCTGTAAACACTACCAATAAAGGTAGTCTGGTGCAGGCAGAGATAGGGGGAGATGTCTGTATAAATGCTCATGTTTCAGCTCTGGAGATGGACTTGCTGATTGTAAACTACACTCTCTGTCCCTCCTTCCCATGTCTGCGTGTCTTAGCTTATCAGCTCTAATGTAAGCTAAACTGTGTGTGCAGACATGATAGGAGGACATCTGAAAGCTCTTGTGTTCTGGTCATCCTGTCCTGTCCTGTGCAGCTGTTTGTCAGTGTGGGTGTGTGTTTTTTAGAGAGACAATGTGATCTCAACGGGGGTTATGATAATAGTTTCCAAATGTAGACTAAGAAACAGCATGTTGGCTGTGAAACAGTTTACCCAGTTACTCTGAGGAAGTGAATGAATTTGAGTATCTATCTATCTATCTATCTATCTATCTATCTATCTATCTATCTATCTATCTATCTATCTATCTATCTATCTATCTATCTATCTATCTACACTCTTAAAAACATTGGGTTTAAAACAACCCAAACATTTGTAAACATTTGGCAGTTTTCCTTTATTACCTCCACCTAGGAGGTTGTGTTTTCGGTAGCGTTGGTTTGTTTGTTGGTTTGTTGGTTTGTTTGTCTGTTACCAGCTTTACGGAGAAAGTAACAGACGGATTGACCTTGAAATTTTCACCAGAGGTGCGTCTCAGCCCCAGGACGATCCCATTACATTTTGATGGTGATCCGGATCGCCTTCTGGATCCAGGAATTTTTTGAAGGATTCTTTATCATTGTGAGATAGGGCAAATTTTGGAATTTTTGCGTTTAACTCTATAAAAATGTCCAGAGTCTTTAGTAAAAAATTACACAAAAGGATCTCAATGAGTTTTATGAGGTGTCAAAGGTTGATCCTGATCCAGACAAAATTTCTGGATGCTGTGATCCAGAACACACAAAAATAAGGGTGTTGTTGGAATTTTCAATGATGAAAGATAACCAATGAAGATACAAGGAAGTGTACGCTTGCAAATATTGCATAGTAAATCAGCATTCTAGTTTATATTGTTTAATTATCTTTTCAAAATAATACAGAACAGAAGGTTGTATCTTCCATCTAATCCACTCAACTCCACGTTACAAAGTCATCAACAATCATCTTGATTGTTCGTATCAACCTGACACATCAAGACAGAGAGTCCATGAAAGCAGTAGATCAACATTTCTGACCACACCACACCGCCATAAGCTAATGTGTTAGCTTGCTACGTTTGAAGCGATGTACTTCATGCTACTCAAGTTGGCTAACCATTAGCTTGCTCACCTACCGATCGATTCCTGAAGGCAGAAGCACAACAGTGCTTCACAAACTTACATCTTAACAACAAAATGAGGGTCTATACAATAATACCAACTCATCTATATGGTAAAGCAATATTGGGAATGTAACAAACCTTGCTTTGTACGTCTTCTCGCTTCAGCAGTTGTGGCATCAATCTGGTGAGTGGGTGGTGCTTGGTTTCAAATACCCAGACATCTACCCAATGTGTTGGGTAGTCCACAATAAACCAACAAAACTGAACAGAAATTACAACCCAACAGCTAAAAACTCTGTTCCCAACATAAATAACCTTGCGAATTGGGTACTCAGAATACCCAACTCCATGAAAATAACCCAAATTAATTGACCAACAGGCTCAACCTAGTGGTTGGGTTGAAAAAACAACCCAGCATCTTCTTGTGTCTGTCTGTCTGTCTGTCTGTCTAGCTATGTAGCTAATCTATCTTTCTATGTCCATCCTAATCTTATGTTATCTCTGCAGACGAGTGACTTGGACAAGGTTCCAGAGGAAGTGGTGGCTCACAGCAGCAGACAGGAGCTGGCGAGAAAACACAGTGATGATGGTGAGTGTTTGTTGCTGTACTCTGTGTGCATCTGGATTAAAGCCATGTAGTGACACTGGGAAAACACACACACACACACACACACACACACACACACACACACACACACACACACACACACACACACACACACACACACACACACACACACACACACACACACACACACACACACTTCTATTAGTTTTCCACAAGAAAGTCTGAGGATGTTGCAACATCTAATTCTCCTCCTGTGAGCCACATAAAAAGATCTTGCTCACAACAGCATCAAAGTAATGCTACAACTCTCATAGACTTTTAATGACTTGATATCTTTAACCCTACAAGCTTTCTACCTCATCCCCTCATGCCAAAATGTTAAAATTTTCTGGAAAGTGTCTGAAAGTAGAAGATACAAGGATGTTTTATCTATGGGTGCAGCTCAATGAATTAGAATATCCTGAAAAAAGTTCATTTTTTGTTCTTAAATGTTTAACTTTCATTTCCAAATAAGATGCTAAATTTACTTTAATCTGAAATCAGGACTTTGGACCGCTGAGCAACAGTCCGGTTCTTTTTCTTCTTAGGTGAGACACTCACAACGTTGTCTCTCGTTCAGAAGTGTCTTTACAGTAGGAACCTGACACTTGTAGCCCATTTCCTGGACACGTCTGTGTGTGGTGGCTCTTGATGCTCTGACTCCAGTCTCAGTCCACTTCTTGTGAAGCTCCCCTCAGTCCATGAATCTGCTTTGTTTGACAATTCTCTCAAGACTGCGGTCAGCCCCACTGCTTGTGCACCTTTTCTCTTCCAGTCAACTTTCCATGAATATGCTTCAATAAACAGAACTCTGTGAACAGCCAGTCTTTTCAGCAATGACCCTCTGTGGCTCGCCTTCCTCGTGGATCTAGAGAAGAAAGGAATTTAATAAACTTTGTCAGGACTTGTTTTTGTTTGAGCTGCACCTGTATGTGACCTAGAGAGAATTTAAATAAGGGCAATATTATTCTTAATAATGGCAGTGTTTAATGATTATTCTACTTTTCCCAGTTTTCACAGTCATAGAGAACGGGACAGAGCACTACAACCAGCCAGAGAGAAAGCCTGATGATATGCCGGTAAGACTCTGATCCATCTTGTATTATTGTATACCTAAAAGTGACTACTGCGGGTGCACGAGCATTTGTCACTGCTGTAGAAAATGGAGGAAACAGATATCAAAAACTGAATGTGCTCCCGCAGAGGGAAGACCAAAACTGTTTTCTCAGAGTTTTGCAAGTCAGCAACTTTTGTCTTCAACTTTTCAGACTGCTTTTTCTCCTCCGTTTTGTTACTCCGCAGCCCAGATTCTCACAGTGATTTGTACCACTGGTGTATTCTGAAAAGTGCACTGACCAGTTCCTGAACTCTTTGTGGTTACTCTGAGAACTGATACCCAGCTAGTCTGTGCTGCCATCATTAAACATGCCGCACTCGGTTCTTTCCTCCCCCCACCGCCTTCGTCATTATAGCTGAATTTCCCAGGATACTGATGGAAAACTTCTACTGCTATAAAAAAAAATCCACCCCAGGATGACACAACCACTAGCTGGTATGATTTTTTTGGATGTGCGGCTCTGTGTGCTGAGCTGCTGTATTCATTTACTTTAAACGCTGATGTTGCAGAAATTCATGTAGGTGCTAGAAAAAGGTCAAACCTCCTGCAGAGAAAACATGAATATTTCATGGCTTGGTTAGTTTTTTTTCTGTCATTCGAACATCCACTGTGGGATTTATGGGAGCCGCGCCTCTGGTATCAAAGATCTTTGTACATATTTTCTGTATGGACATCAAGTCCTGTTTACTTTTGTAGTTCAGCATGTTTATCTCCATTGTCAACAGTGGAAAAAGACCCCAGTTACTAGTACAAACACACAAATGAACAAATAACCTTACATGGCAAAAAAAAGGACACACACTCACATGCACAAACACGCCTAACCTCCTCCAAAATAAAATCAACCAATCAGTCATCCATTTCAGGGAGGACTCTCAGGCTGCATTGTGCTGTGTTATCAGGCTGGAACAAGCACAGCTGGAAGCGGGCCGTTTGTCTGTCTGCAGACAGGTCCATTAGCTCAGGGTGGTGGACGGACAGATGGAGGCTCTGCGGGGTAATGAGCAGAGAAAAATCTCCAAAAACTGCCACTTTACCAGAACTGGAGCCTCCAATTTGAGCTGAGAGCGTCTCTCTCTCTCTCACTCACACACATACGGGAACACAGGCGGTCACACACAGGGTCCCCATCTGTTCACACTTTTCAGGTTTGGTGTTAAACTACCCGAGATCAATTGACGGTAAAATAGTTTGGCTCTGTCTGAGTTTTTTTGTGTGTGTTGATGAAGTGTGATTTTGTTTCTGTATTCAATCAACTGCTTTTATTCTGCTAGTAGAATAAAAAGCGCCATTTACAATAGACAAACAACTGTTACAGAATGAAAGGCTCTGTAAACTGCCCTTAAAAATATTACATGAGCAATTAATCCAACATTGATTCAAAACATAAAAGGCGTTTCTCATATTAACAGATCTATGTGGAATCAGTCCTTTAATGTCGTAGCTAGTTGATTCAGTTTTAGGACTCACAGATGCTCTGTTTCACATGTATCGTGCTGTAATTTCTATCAACGGGAGGCAAATTCTGAATGCTAAATGATACACACCAGAGAGGACACATTAAGACAGATACAAATGAACAGTGTCAGACAGTTGTGATGAAAGACTACCTTTTAGATGACTTTTCTTTTCCAATAGTAACTCTATCTAAGATTTCTAAACACATAGTAAATGGCAATGGATTCAAATGCACTGACAAGGTTGGAAAAATGTGGCCATACTGTGGTTTTACCTGACATTTTGATTTCATTTTTTAATGATGGTGATTCTATCATTGGATAAGTCTTTAAACTAACATATGAAATCACTTCTCCAGTCCAGCCCCCTTGTCTGATTTGATGAATTTAAACTGACCTTTGAAGGAGAGACCACCCACATGATTTTACAGCACTTGCTACCTTGAAATTACAGTCTTACCATAAATATTAATTTTTCAGACAGGCGTCAAAAGTATTTTCATACAAAACTTCTGACCAGTAGAAATGGGGTTTTCATTTCCATCCTTATAGCCAACAAGTAGCAATAAAAAGTCTCACTGTTTTTTTAGTTTGCACAACACGTGGCTTAGCTTGCGCTGGAATTAACTTTGTAGCATCACTGAGCAGCTGAGGGAGGAAAGTTTTTGCTAGATGGCGGCATTTCGACAAGACAAGACAGAGCAAGAAGCAGACTGAATATCGACCCTCGTATTTCTAACTGACCGGGAACACTATAAGATTATAGAGCTAAAATGCCTCCGTCTCAAAATGTAATCCAGCAACAGCATGGTTATATGTAAAAGTTGTGTTTATATAATGATTTTAAACCACCTGTACTTCCATTTTTCCCTCCAATGATGCTACCTTGTTTTTCTGATAAACTACACAACAAAGGAGGTTGTTATCTTGGCCTGCCCAACCTCCCCGGCTCTCACCGCATCAAGAGCCTCTCAAGGCCAGTGAGCGGCTCTTAGTTAGCCGTAATGGATTGCCGCTGCTTCATGTTGTTGTTTTCACCCTCAGGCCACACAGGCAGTTCGCCTTGGGGCCGTAGTTAACTCAACTCATCCATCAGCCACATCGCCGGTCCACATGGGGGGGACGCTCAGGGAGCAACAAAGGAGCAGAAACACTTCTCTTCAGCGACAAAAAGATGGCTAAAACTCCTGCTATCTCGCAGAAAACAGCCCCTAGTGTTTTTTAAAAGCAGTTGTTATATCTATCAGCAAAATTTCCTCCCATGCCCCAAGAGGAGTTGGGGGGAGGTCATCATTTGGAGGGATTACAGGAACATAACAGAAAAAGTTGAAGGTGTTGGTGATAAAAATAAAAAACAGTTGCCTGAGGAGGTGTAAAAGCAAGCAACATAACGGCATTGTACCACCTTGATAATTGTGCTCACACTTCTCCAACAACTTCCTCTGCCCACAACCTGCTCATGGAAACCATGATCCTCCTCCTACTCGTGTTAATGGTGGACCAAAGGGAACAGATTGTTAAAATAAAACTTAGGTGGCACCGTAGTGTATCACTGCACTTTAAACAAGGGTGTCTCCCACCTACATAAATGCCAAGAGACTATTTTAAGATAGAACTGCAAAACAAAAGCAAACATGGTGTTGTATTGTGTTTGTTTTCATTTGGTGAAACTTCTTGAAAAGCATGTCTGTGTTTTCTTGTTTTTCCATGTGGGCTTGTTGTCTAGTTGGAGCAGAGCCAGCTACAGAAAGACATCCTCAAGCTGAATACCTGTGTGGCCTTGCACAACTTCACTCCCCAAGACAACCATGACCTGCAGATGAGGTTTGTGCACACACACACGTCGTATAATAATACAATTATTGAAATTATTAATGTATTCTTAGGCCATGTATTTACTAAAAAGAATATGTTTTTATGCCATCCACATGAAACCGCAGAACTACCTCATTAAAAACGGTGCCTTTGGAAAACTCTGGCCAAAGTGAAGATTTTGCAAAACTGCGCCCTTGTTTATGTCAGGTAGTGGACAGCACAGATATATACAGAATATGTATTTTGTGAGGAGCAACTAGAAGGAGTGCTTTGTAGTTGGTTATTATACACCAAATAACCCTTCCTCCACCTTTCTTGTTGACTTTAAACTCTAAAACGATGCTTAAAATCAATCTCACCTCTTTGTTGGTCCATATGAACTACATGCTCTGATTGGATAGAATGGGTTTAGCTTTTTTGCAAATCCTACCAACTCCAGGTCTGGCATGCTCAAAACCGTGGTCAATAGCAAATTTATGTGGTTTTGTGTGGGTGGGATTTTATTTAAAAAACAACGATGTGAGTACTTGACTTTTTTTGTTGTTTATAAAAATACCTGGTTATGTGTGTACAAGGTCTCAATTGTTAGTGATGATGAACTGATTAGCTGTCAAACATGCCAACGAAGATTTCTTTCTGGGGCTCATAAAACTTGAAATGACTTCAAAACTTTATTTGAACCTTGAAAGTCATTCACAATGAGGTCAAGTTGCACAATTTCCAATAAAAAGAAAGACAACACTCCGTGAAAACGACTATGTTGGAGGGATTTGGGATCATCATTCGTTCAAGAGAAATGAGAGCGTCTATGATGAGAGTGGGTTAAAAATAGTAGCACATATTTTCCTGCTGGACTCGCAGCCTTGGACAGTTTGCAGAGCTAGTTTGGTGGGGTCCAGTGGTCCGGCTCAGCGTCAGGGTTATATAAGATGGCGAACATCCAAAAAAGGATTTAGAGACTGATAAAAAGATACAAGTGTTTATCATGCCTCTGTGCTAGAGAAAAGCAACAAACTCTGCTGAGGGGAAAAAAAACCATGAAAGTCGTTGGGATCTCCAGTTATGAATTTAAGGGCGACAGACGGGTGGGAGCGATCAGACAGAAAAGAGAGAAAAGTGAAAACAAAGTAAACAAAAAGAAGCTCAGACTTTTCCACTTTGCTGTGAAGTTAATTTAGACCCTCTCAGTAAGACTAACTTGACTTTTTCATTCTCACAGAGTAACATTATCTTTAACTGCCACTATAATTTTGATGAATTCATTGGTTACAAGTGCCTGACGTGAAAAGTGACTGATTTACACCTTTATTTATTGACTCCTGTGTGTTATAAACCAGAGTTAGCATCCCTGATGTTACAGCTCCTGACTGAAGGTGCTCTCATTTGCTCTGTAGGCCAGATAAAACACTCACTGCTTTCATATGAGTACGTTAAAAATAAAAGAAGTGTAATTATAGTGAATTCATGCTCATATCCAGTCATATACCAACTCGAGCTGAGATTAAAACACAGAGTATGCATTCACCCGAAGTGTTTATATTACATTTGATAGTAAAGCAGTGTGTTTATGCAGGCTTCTGCGTTTTTGTGCCAAGAGGTTCAGTTTTCCATTCACAGATGTTTCTGTTTGTAATTTTTGATCTTATATAATCTCTGTAATCAGTGCACTTAAAAGTCAAAATATACAAAAATAGATCTATAAAAGGAAATAATCAGGGTCCTCCTTAAAGGTCAAGGTCCTCAGAGATTTATTTCTCTTGGGTGGCCTGTGAAGCACCTGCAGTGTGTTTGCTGTTAAGGGTCTATTAATATCACTAAATCTTTAGTTTCCTTTTATTTATCCCGAGAGAATCCATCTCAGAATGATTATTTGAGCTCAAACAAGAAATATGATTCATGCAGCTCTACATCACGACCTACCTTACTGTTTACCTGTCCTGCTCTTAACCCTCCTCTTGAATAGAATTGTTTCTATTAACTTAAAAAGCTCTCAAAGCTGTCTCTAGATGGACAAAATAGTGCCAAACATCAGAGCAGAGCAGTTAGGGACGAAACATATTTAAGCATTTTAAAGCTCCTGTGAGGAACTTTGAGTCAGTGTTGATTTTAGCGGCCTCTCTGGACACATTGGAGATTCTGTGTTTTCTAACACAAAGCAAATGTTTTCCCCAGCACATATTGGACTTAAAGGTGGGGTAGGCAGGGTCCAAGGAAGTGCCAGTTTTTGGGAGAAATCTTGAATGTACCCCTTCCAACCAATTTTCCCCTCAGCTCCTCCTCTCCCCTCCCTCTCTATTCCAGCAAGCCCCTCCCATAAACAGACGCTCCTGCTCGCTTGTATCATTTCAATTGAATTCAGATATAATGCAGACAGAAAAGCGATTAGACAGAAAAGGGAGAAAAGTGAAAACAAAGTAAGCAAAAAGCAAAAAGAAGCTCAGACTTCACGCTACAGTTTTATGTTTTCTATTCCAGCAAGCCCCGCCCACAAACGGACGCTCCTGTTCACTCTTGTCAATTAAATTCAGATATAATGCAGATAAATAATTCAGATAATTACAAATGGGGTCCAGTCCAAGTGAAAGTAAACAGCATTGGTGATACTGTAGATGCCAACAGACTACCAGCAAACACAAAGTTTGCAGGACTTCTACAACGAGGATAAAGTGACATAGTCCAGGACCCGAGGTCAACAGTTTAGCAAGAACACTTCTGTTACAGACACTTAGCTTACTTTGTTAAAGTGGTTTACCTGTCCAGCAGAAAGGTTACAGGGTCCGTAAGATCCCAAAGCGTCTCCCATGGTTTATGCTGATGTTGACTTGGCTTTTTAGCTCTTGTCTACCTCCTTCTTAAGTGCCCGTTATTTCTCCAGAGTCTCCTGTATTTACTTTGTTTTCTTGCTTGTGTTGGCAGTCGTGGCCAAAGGAGGATTGAGACAATTTCCCGTACTGTAAGGTTGGTTTCTACTGTCCGATATTGTTGCACGCTAACTTTGTTTGGGATCGTGAACGACACGGGGGAACAGCGTCTGCTTCACAACCAATCAGGTTGGGGGAGGCGGAGAATGGCTTTGTTTACAGTCAGAAAGAGCGGGCCCTCAAAAAATTTAAAATATTGACTACACGGACAAAACAAAACAGAGCGATATCGTTATATTACCAAATGTCTTCAATAACTAATAGTTATTTACTGATATTAAAAGCTTTTTTGTATATACACCACAAAAAAAGATGCTTCTTTAATGGACTCCTGTCTACCCCACCTTCAACAAACAACTAAAGACAAATAATCAGTCCTGCTAGTGATGGTCTCTTTTGCTTTTGTTGGTCGTAAAGAAGCATAAAAATTAATTCTAGTTTGTTTCCTAACTAGCTTCAAACTCCTCATTAGAGCTTTAAGAGGCAGATTCTAACATCACAAGAGACAGGGAAGCAGTAAAACAAAACCTCCACATGACTCATAAAGTTGTAGCGTAACTCTTAATGAGTTTGCTATCAAGTTCAACGTGATAACTAAAATGTTGATAGTGTGTTCACAACTTGCAATATATATTAGCTATTGCAGGTTCAGTGAATGCAGATGTAATGTAGACGCCTCTATCTTACCTGTCTGATCACCTTAATCAAAACAGAAATTCAGGATACAGATAATTTCCCATGCCTCAGCCATGATTGATAAGGCGTCATAAACAATATGCTTTGGAGGAGACCCTCAGGAAAGAGAGCATCCATCAGCAGCAGTCCTTCAGCCTAAGTACCCATTTACTCCTGGTTCTCACAGAAAATTCTCAGAGGAGTTAAGGATATGAGAGTGCACTTGTTTCTTTCTTTTCCTGCTCACGCACACACACATACATACTCGAGAGTCCTCCTTCTCTCTTTGGTCGGGAAAAGCCTCAATCCCCAGGCCTGATTTAAAATTCATTGACTTCTCCTCCACGACTCCCTGTCCACTGATACAGCTCAAAGTTCACCAAGCTTTGTTTCAAATGTATTCTCTTATGAAAGCTTTCATCAATGTTTTCCTTTCAAGGGTTGAGCCGCAGACAGAAATCAATACATCAAATGCTAACACATGAAGCACAAATATGGGGGAAATTGAATTTTTAATCACAAAGTTCAATTTCCATTTTCACTCTAAGAGAAAATCAGATTTGTGATTAGTTTGAGCTTCTGCCACATGCTCTGATTACATGATTACCTTCGAGTACACTGTGATTGTGATGATACCGAGTTCAACCTTTTGAAAATACAGAGTTAGACGTTGCTGTTTTTTTAATGAACCACTGTGGAACAACATGCATCTGCTCTGTTTTCATCGCTTTGGAAGGTTTACAACACTTCATGCTGAGTTTTCCTCACCTACAACAAAGTGTGCTCTCTGAGTCATGGTGAGTGTCATCACAAGAAACATGGACGGTGTTGTCACCGAACCACAAGAGGGAGAAGAAGGAGATTATGCAAACCGGGCTTTGGCTCGACAGTGCTGGTCCTTTTGACTTTTATTGGTCAAATTTAGCCGTCGGCTTCAAACAGATGCTAGTGATTAAATGATTCATGGGTTTCCTGGATAAAGACAAACGACTTACAGCAAAAACAGGATCATAGTGTCCGACCTCGTTTAAATCAGAGAAAAACCTGCAAACTAGATCTTTACTGCATTTTTTAAAAATCTGATAGACTTCGAATAAAGTGTTCAAAGGCTACTCTGTTTATTCTTCTATTTGTTAATGTTGCCATGAACAGCATCTACATCAAGACTCTATTTCCTGCTAATGACACCTTTAGCTATATTTAGTAAAGTAAGTACGTAAGTAAAGTCTATTTATAGAGCGCTTTTCACAGATAAAAATCACAAAGCGCTATACATAAAAAAAGTGCAAATAGATAAACATAAAACGGTACAAAAAAGATAAGTTCATATACATTCACAAATACAAGTACAGAACAGGTGAATATGGAAATAAGTGCAGATATAAAAGAAAAGTAACAGAGACAAACCAAATCCTGTAAATTAAAAGCTTATCTAAATAAAAGAGTCTTAAACTGCTTTGTAAAAGTATCCACTGAGCCCTGGGGAGTAGGGGCACAACAAATCAGTGATATATTGGGGGGCCTGACCATGCAGCACCTGGAAAGTCAGAACTAAAATTTTAAAATTAATACGGAAAATGACCGGTAGCCGATGAAGACGCGATAAGACAGGGATGATGTGAGCAGATTTGGGCATGTCTGTCAGAAATCTGGCGGCTGAGTTTTGGACAAACTGGAGCCTCTTTATCGCCGCCTTATTAAAACAGATGAACAGAGAAGTACAGTGATCAATACTGGATGAGATCAACGCGTGAATGATCAATTCAAGATCTGGTTTTGACAACATTCTCCTCACAAAGAACAATCCAACTGAATGTTGTCAGCGTAAAAGTGATAGGACACGTTTTAAAATTTTATATTTGCTGAACTATAATAAGATTTAGATTACCTTGGCTAGGTTATGAACCAACCTGGAGACTAATTACTTCAGGTACTTGTACTTATATTGGTTTCAGAAAAAGGTCTAAGAGGGATCACTGTTATGCCATTGTGGCCCTGTGTCAAAACTATTAAGTACTTGCTCATCAATATTTTGTTCACAACCATGCCCATCCAAAAAGGACAGGTGACTGGGCACTGGGTGCTTTTCTCGCTTGCTGGATTTCATACTAGATCTATCCCCCCATGCTGTTAGGTGGATTTAATTTCATCTTTGTGTAATTTCTCCTTTCTTGTGCTTTTTATTTCAGTGCAGGAGACAGAATCTTATTGGTGGACGACTCCAATGATGACTGGTGGAAGGTGGGTACAAAAGTTTGCCGCTACACCCAGACCCCCACCAAATACTGAGTTAGTTGTTTTGGTTTCCTGACGGCAAACAAACTGCCCATGTAAGACACGAACAGACAAATACAGAAATTTAGGCTGTAAATTACAGCAGCAAGGCTGCAGGCTGCCGGGGGGACACAGATGCATGGCTGATAAATTAGGTTGACAAAAGGGCCAAAGCGTGACTGTATGGAGGCAACGAGCTTCCACCAGACCATGAAGAGACTCATCATTTTAGCACTGTTGTAGTTGTTGTTGTTGTTCTCCTATCCGTGCTCTGCATAAACAAAGACATCTGGTCTGTTCGGAATTTTACACCTGTTGTGAAGTCAGAGTGAGGACACACCTGTTATATCTCCCTCACATCCTGAACGCGAGACAAGTTTCTGATTTCTAAAACAGAGCTTTATGTGAGAATAATCCAAAACCAAAACCCCCTTTTTTAAAAAGATTTGTGGCAATGTAAAATGTATTCAGCAGACTTTCCTAAAGTTTTAGTCTTTGATGTGTTTTCCTTTCAGGGAGTAATTGAGGACAGGATTGGTTTCTTCCCAGCGGCCTATGCTCATCAGGTGCGGGTCGGGGACCAAGTGTTCAGATGTAACAGGACATTTATCGGGTGTAAGGAACAAGGCCAGATTACCCTGAAAGAGGGACAGGTAAAGTCATTTACTCTTTGTTAATAATCCCTCTTCTCACTGTGTTGATCTGTAAATCACTTTTAATTCCTATTTCTAAAAATCTCTTGTCGCTCACAGCCCATTTTCATATTTTTAGAGGTCTGTTTAGTTCAGAAGGAGCTCTAGGTAGACCTGAAACCCCAACACTAGGCAGTTTAGCTCACTACAAAGCTAGTTCTCCTACTTTATGATAAGGTAACAAGGTTGTTTTAGGGTTAATTACTTTCTTGAAACCCTAAAGACAAAACACATAAGGGATGATTTAGACCGAACATTAGCAGCGTTAATCCCATGAATATCGTAGTCATTACAGGAAGGGGAAGAAATGACCTCTATCAGGGAAATTAAAATGTCTACATTACACCTGCGTGTAATTCATGATCACACCCAAACTATTAGAGCCCATCAGATTCACATTACCCAGCAGCTCTCCAGCCATTTTATTGCCCTCCTTTGGCTCCCACCTTGCCTCTTACCTTCTTTCCTCACTCACACTTGTTCACCAAACAACTCATCTGGGGCCTGCTGACTGAGGGTCCCTCTTAAGAGTTACCATTAAATTAGCATTTTGGTGTAATGGATGTACTTGGATTAGACCCTCTTTTTCCCACAATGCTTTCCAGGGCATGTTGGGACTCAGAGGATACAAGCAAGCAACCCCCAGTGGAGACGAAACCACTGAAAACAAGAGGAGTGCATGACCTTCTGCTTTTCTTTTCCAGTCACATCAAAACTCGAGGGAAAATGATGCAGAATGCTCAAAACAAACATGTAGACACAAAGTTTTCTGGTCTATTACAAGGGTCAGTAAATAAAAAAAACAAGGGTTGGAAAAGTTTTCGCTTTTTTTTTTTTTTCTATAAGAAGTACATCATTTTTCCTTGAATCATCTCATATTTCCACTCATGGAAGGTGAATTTGTCCTGATTTTGTGACGTAAGACTGTCAAAATAAATGTAGTTTTTAATTTACGTCTACTTTTACACAAAAACAACACCTGTATTTCACAATTATGGCAAATTTAAGAGAGACACCCATTCAATGTTGAGGGAAAATGACATTAAAGGGATATTCCGGTGTAAAATTAAGTTAGGGTCAAACACACTGTAACACCGAATTAGACACCCCGTCGAGAGAAGAATGTTGCAGACCGCTTGTTTCTCTAGTTTATACCAACTTTAGTAACGACCACATGATAGCAATACACAGTGGTCTCAATAGCCATGCGCTCAACCAAAACGCCACTCTATAGCCACAAATAATGCTCAGAACAGCATCTAACTTCATCAACAGCACATATAGGGTCCCAGCCATAGTACTAGCCACCAAACATCTTTTTAACTTTGCCTAATTTCTTTAGTAAAGAGACTAAACACAACTCACCTACTCTCTTCCAGCAGCCGCTTGTTGGTACAGAGATCTCAGGTGAGTCCATTAGCACAGTGGGGTGACGCAGCTCAAGGAAGAACATTTATGATCATTTCTTCATGGAAATGCAATCAGACTGAAATGCCAAGGCAAAAGAACTAGCGTGTCTGCAGTGCAAAATGATTATTATGATGATTATTACTTCAAGGAAATGATAAAGAAATGATCATGAATGTTCTTCCTTGTGCTGCGTTACCCTGCTCCACTCAGTTTGGACTCGCCCGAGGTCGCCGTACAAACAAGCGGCTGCTGGAAGAGAGTAGGTGAGTTGTGTTTAGTCTCTTTGCTAAAGAATTTAGGCAAAGCTAAAAAGATGTTTGGTGGCTAGTACTATGGCTGGGACCCTATTTGTACTGTTGATGAAGTTAGGTGCTGTTCTGAGCATCATTGGTGGCTATAGAGTGGCGTTTTGGGTTGAGTGCATGGCATGAATTTTACATCGGAATATCCCTTTAACACACAACCTTTAGATATTAAATGCTGAGATGCAGTTAGGAAACTTGTCACAGTTAATACCATAACTACAAACACTATGTAATCAAGAAGTGGCATGAGATTGAGCCAGATGCCACATACTTTGCTTCAGAAATACAATATTACAACATTTAATACTCACACAGAACATGGGGAAACTCTCAAATGAGTTTGTTAACCTACAACTATATCGTACCCTGCTACAGGCTACTTTAAACACCATTTTTTTTCCTATCTTTTAGATATTTTGAGATTATAAAATTGCAAACCCCTCTTCAAAGCTGCATTTGTAGACTTGTATTGGGGTGATGTTATAATTTGGGTGTTGCACAGCAGCAGTTTACCTGCAGTTTCAACATACTGTGTGTAAATACGCACAAAACAAACACAGGATCTTAGCTAAAACTTGTTGTTTTTACAGCCACACATGAGTGAGGCTTTTTCCTGAATGCCACTTCCGTTCTGGCGGCAGCTGTGATGTACAATCGTGTGAGTCATTACAGCGTCTGTGTGTAAATGACTCGCAGGACTGTTTGATGTAAGTGGATGGGCAGAAACGGCTGGGGATGCAAATATGAAATCCTCTGTAAACCAAACCCTGTCATATCAGTGAAACCCTGAGAGGTCTAGCCAGGCTACAAAGTCTGGACCCTTTCCTTGAACTAGGACTTAGCTTTGGTCTAAGCACAGCAGCGCAGGGACATGCCCACATTTGCAGCATAGCAGGGAGCTGGCGAATCAGAAAAAAAGTGGGCCTGAATGAGGGCTTAAAGAGATAGTACCCTGGAAATGTCTGTGTGTTTTTGTTTTTTCACATTAGTGATTTTTCTCTTTTTCCCCTTAGATCTGTGTGGGCAGCGAGAGTGAACACAACGGCTTCATTAAAGTGGCAAGTGGAAAAAAGAGGGGCTTTGTGCCCTGTGATGTTCTGGAAATCATCTGAGACAAACACTTGGATGGAAAGAGAGTCAGAAGAGGGAGGATCAGCCACCTGAAGGTCAGATGAGGATGAAACTGAACCTACAAAAAGGCTACAAGGAAATAAAGGGAATCGCCTCATTGGTGTTTTTGAACCGAACTATAATTCTGATTTTGTCACTGAGGACTCCATCCTGCTGCAGCTCAGAAACTCTGTACCCTCCTCACTTCACCTAAAAACAGAGAGAGAGAGAGAGATGCAAGGCCCACCAGGAGACCTCTGTTTCACTGGATTTGTTTTTATTTATATAGCTGATCATATTTGTGTTTCCTTATTAGTTTCATTCTGCATCAAGCTTTTTAATCAGACTGTGGCTTAGTTCTGAGTTTCTACTGCTGGTAGAAACTAAACACTCACTACAATGATTACTTTCTCCGCTTTGAGTGCATATAATTTAATACATACAATTACATAACACATCAATTCCTCATGTTTTCCAATGGTTTTAAAGCAAAATCTGTTCAGTCTGAGTCCACGAGAGAACGAAACCCCAGAAGAGAAACAGCAAAGCTCACCAGATGCAACAGAGAGGTATGGAGGAGTACTTTGACAAAACCAGAAACTTCAGAAATTCTCAGCAGTCTTCCAGAAATATCCTCCTAAAGGTCTTTAAGGTTCGAGTGTCAATTACAGCTTTGCATTATGCTTAGTAATAGCGGTTAAAGTCATGTTTTATCATCATCAGGAAGAGAAACTTTAACAATCTGCGTGTTCGTAGATGCAAACCTACCAAACTTCAAACTTCAAACTTACCAAGATTAAAACTTTTGACTTTGATTTATTCAATGATTTAGTTTTCTTTTTCTTTGGTCATTTTGTCAAACATTTCAGAGGATATGGTGAAGCTAAGACATAATAAGGACATTCTGAACTCTGAATGAAAATGATGCATCTCTGCTCAGCATGTTAACTTTATATATGGTCATTTTCTAAAGGTTTTCAATGGCACTCGTGTTTCCAGAAGTTTGGAAGTGCATTAATGGAAAAGTGGTCCATTATAATAGATTAAATATATCTCTAAAAAGTTGCTCTGCACTGAAAACTTTGCTTTTTTGAATGTCAAAGAATGCTATGCTGTATATACTGTACATACAAGATTAAAGTTTCTTGTTTATCACAATGGAGTGTTTTTTTTTCTGCTGTTTAAAATGTATTCAGCAGTTTCTGATGACAACAACTTTATTAAAAATAATCCTAGAAATTGGAGGTGTTTCTAAATATCTGTTAAGGTTCTCATCTCTGCTCACGAAGGATCCCCAAAAAGTGCTGACTATAGAAATAAAGTATTTTGAGGCCTGCAGGTGTCCTCCTCACTGCAGGTCAGCTAACTTTATATATTTGACTCTGGCACCACCCTTTGGTTTGTAATTGTCACAACATCTCGCCTCTAACTAACTTGCACTGCAGTCTGCAGATGACACCGGCCTCTGAAAAGAACGTAAATGACATTTAAAAGGGTTCAAAGTTTTACTATTTTTATCATTTTATTCAGTTTCAAAGCTTATCAAGACTAAAGAATTTGTCTGAAGTCGTCCACTGATCAGGAAACTTTTTGTCAGCCACTGAAGTTAAGCTGGATTTTGACCTTAAGCGGCAACACTCAATCAAATGTCATGACTTAGCTCTACCCAAATTACAGCTACTCTTTTTATATGAATAACTGATCAAATGGCTTTAATGATGTGAGAGAGAACGGCTCATTTTGATGATAAACAGCTTTAAATCCTATTTCTACAGCTCTGAAGAGGTTTTAACATCTTTGATGGACTGGTGGGGGGTCCTTTATGGCACTTTAATATTTTGGTTTATATACTCCAATCGTGTAAGTATAACAAAAGCTTCAAGGACTTGCTGTCCTCCTACAGCAAAGTCAAAGTTGACACCAGCTGAAACACCAATATCTTTCTGAGAATGGTGAAGTAGCACGAAGGCAATTGTGTCAAAACATTAACATAGATAAGCTCAAGAGCTAATTTTATATTTGCGCCTCTTCTTTACAAATTTGAAATAGATAACTATGGTTCATTTTAGCTTGACCCCAAATTTGTCAGAGCATGTTGCGTGTGAAAGAGTGCACACATGATGTGTGAGTGTGTAAAATAGTGGTTCAGAGGGTGTGAAACAGGAAGGAGACAAACCTTGGTGGAGTGTGTTCATCTGTCAGCAGTTTAAAAGCTGTGAAAAACAATACAGACCATGGAAACTGATCTTTTTCTCTTTTTATATTTTCACTATACTTGTCTTTAATACTGTTTGTCCCTTGCACTACTCTTTTCTTTTTTTACACTTGTTCTTTTATCTTTTATCATATTTAATTGTTTTTTGTACCCGGTGTAAATGTGTGTTAACAATTTTAATTTCCCCACTGAGGGATGAACAAAGGAGAATCTAATCTGATCTAAAAGACACACGACAAGGTCACCTCTGAGAATAAAAGAAAAATGCATTATGTGAGTTTTGACTGGACATATTTTGGTGTGTAACAGGAAGGGCGCTGTCAGGGGTTTTTGCACATCAAGCACTTTTTGGTGAAGTGTTTGTTGAAGAGTTAGCAGACATCATAACCCTTAAAACCGATTTCCCAGAAAAGCTCTGGGCTGTCTTAAGAGAAGTGTTCATTGTCACTGAGATGTCTGTTGACATCTCAGTGTCATTTCTACAGACACCAATTTGGTTTCAGAGTCAGAGATGACTTTATTTGCGCTACCCTTCTATTCTCATTGCATATAAGCTGCTATTCTCATTCACAAAGAAGTCATATTCTTACCTGGGCTTACCCCGCAATAGCTGTATTAACTTTGATTTCACACAATTAATGTGAATTTATAAAGATCATAAAATTCAGAGTACCTGAAACCCAAAGCAATTATCTCTTACCTTGTGCAAACAACATTAGCTTGTGTGCTCAATCTATTTATTTGTGCACACAAGATAATAAGGTGTCATTAAAGGGATATTCTGAGTTAGACACCACCTCGAGAGATGAATGTTGCCGACCGCTTGCTTCTCTAGTTATACCAACTTTAGCAACGACCACATGATAGCAATACACAGCGGCCTCAGGAGCCATAAACAAACCTCAACCACAGCGCCACTCTGTAGCCACAAATAATGCTCAGAACAGCACCTAACTTCATCAACAGTACATATAGGGTCCCAGCCATAGTACTAGCCACCAAACATCTTTTTATCTTTGCCTGATTTCTTTAGTAAAGAGACTAAACACAGCTCACCTACTCTCTTCCAGCAGCCGCTTGTTTGTAGCAAGACCTCAGGCCAGTCCATTACGGACTACAGCGGGGTTACGCAGCTCAAGGAAGAACATTTATGATCATTTCTTTATCATTTCCTTGAAGTAATAATCATCATATTAGTCATTTTGCACTGCAGACGTGGTAGTTCTTCTGCATTAGCGTCTTGGTCTGATTTCATTTCCATTTTCAGGATAGTATTGCTATCCTGCAATCGTTACTACAGTTGGTATAACCAGAGAAGCAAGCAGTCTGCAACATTCGCCTCTCAAGGGGGTGTCTAACTCTGTGTTACAGTGTGTTTGACTCTAAATCAATTTTACGCCGGAATATCCCTTTAATGTTAAAGATGTTGCATGTTTGCCACAGTTCCTCTACAGCTAATGCACAATCATAAAAGTGTTGAATATCAAATCTGAGCGTCTCTCAAACATAATAATACAGGATATAAACTCATCACCTCACTTCAGGAGCTCTGCAGAAAGTAGAAGTTTGGACCATAACCCCAGTAGAGACACGTTCATAAAGTTAACTAAGAAATTGAAAAGTTAATCTTTTTAACACTTATTCTGGTAGAAGTGATTCATTTCTGGAGTACAATTACTCCGGCTTAAAAGCCCTCCTGCGCTGGTAGTTTTTCAGTCAAAACGTCTTCTTTCCTCTCTGTATAAACCTCTATGGTCATGGAGATTTAAAAAAAAACTCTTTAGTGGTTCACCATTAGACCTTTAAAATTCAACTTTAACTGCATTTGAAATAGATGGCTTCGTCACTCCATTCTGACAACCCAAACACCCTTTGGTCTGACATAAAGTTTGACCTCATTTTTAAAAACGAGCATTGCTGCTGTTTTTTTTGCAGATCACTCACTGCCTCAGATATGGAAGTGCACTCTCAGAAGTCTTAAGTAGTTCAAAGATTATCCCTTCTTGAGAGAATGAGGTGTGTCGAGTAAAAAGCACTTCAAATGGGAGAAAAAGCCACATGCTACATGCATGTCTCTGAAGGTACCTTGATGCCCACCAAGAAGCTCTAACCCTTAAAACAGCTTAATCTCAATGTTTTCTTTTTAATTTCACCAGTGCAAAGACACAGAGTTGGATGAAAGAAAACTCAACATTACACAGGATTTGTGTCTACTTTTATCATTATTACTGTTCATGAATATTTTTGAATTTAAATAATTAATAAAATAGGGTAAGTTCATACGTTACTAACAAGAGTGATGTTAGCTGTGGTTTTAAAACAGTTTCAGTTTTCTTGTGGTCACCACTCTTGTGTTAAATTACTTGCAAAGACGTGCTGTGGAGAAGAAAACTGCAAGTTAAAAGGTTTTGAGCCACAGACAAACCAGAGAGGGAGCTGAAAACGACACAACAATGACTCCTGCCTTCAATGTTGCATTTCTCCTGCTCTCTACAAGTAAGAAATAAAAATATGTCCACCAGATAAAAGATGGGTTTTTATAAATGTAGACTGTTTATCTTTCAGTTGTTGCAGTGGAAGTCCGCCCTGACAAGGACTTCAGGTTGAAACAGAAGGGAGCAACCCAACACTCGGGGGAGGTGAGATAATATGACACACTCACACATCCTAACGATACACTGAACCATGAACATTAAAATAATTTTACTCGTCAAAGAGGTATTTAAATTACAAACTTAATTTGCATCAGGAATTGAAAGATGAAGCTTTGCAAGATCTGTGTAAAGGCTGTAAATCACTCGTCACCAAGGTGAAGGAAAAGATGGGCGACAAAGCCTCCAAGGTAAAAAAAAAAATGAATGAATTAAAAGACTCTTTTATGACAAACATTGATGTTATTTCTGTAACCTTAAATTATCCATTTGGTACCATGCATACTGAAAACCTTCAAATTGCATGTAAAAACAAGCTTCACATATCAAAGCTTCATGTGTCGCTGTATTGATCTGATTTGAAGGCTAAAATTGCAAAGCTGGTGGAGGAAGTCTGCAGCAAAGAGAAAGATGAACCAGTGAAGGCTGCCTGCCAGAAGATCATCGAGCAGGTCAAAGATCAGCTCTGTGAGGCTGTGGCTAAAGGAGACGATCCTAAAACTGCGTGCAAGAGAGTGAAACTCTGCAAAAAGAAACCACCTCCTTATCTTTAATCTCCTATGTTTGTACAAGTCATGTTTCAAATGTTTGATTACAATCATGAGACTTCTGTGTGCTGTCCTTTTTTCTCCCTCTTTAATAAAGATTTTTTAAAGCAGTTTATGGAGTTAATTTTGTTCTGTCATATTATTCTCATTTTACCAGTGGCCATCAGGGGGGTCTATAGTTGGTAGTTAGACTCCTGTAACATCATAGTTTTATCTTCCTGTTTATGAAAGTGGGAGTAAAAAAAAAAAATAGTGAATGTTAGTGTTGAAAAAATACTGCAACACAAGTTGTCACCCCGCCCATATCCTCCCAAACAGACATGCTTGATCATTATGCTGATGACACCCATGTTTACTGAGCTTTACCGCCTGATAACTCCAGCATTATGGAGTCATTATACAAATGCTGAAATGTTTAAAGAAAATTATTCCAACAAGTTTTTGATAGATTAGGGCAGACGGGCATCAATGGTTTGTAGATGATGCATCCTGTTTGCTGAGGGGTTTCAAGAAAGCCACTTTGAGTAACAAGTATTGCCATTTGTGTGAAGTGGTATATGTGGTTACTTACATAGACACAGTCAGAAGAAATATTTACGGTAAAAAGAATCAGACAGTGTTACGGGATGCAAATTTACACCTATGTTTCATGATAACCCCCCCGCTGAAGACTTCCTTCAAAATGAGTGTGTTCTCTTTCCAATAAGGTTTCAGGTTGGGTAAGCTGTAACTCAAGTAACAAATAAAGGGACTCAGACTAAGATTTTTACCATTCTTCTTAAAACAAGTCTTCAAATTCCATGTGAAAAATATCAAAAATGTTTTTGTATTTTCTCCTGTTCAGACAAAAAATTGTGTCTAGATGGTGTTGTTACTATAACTGCAAAAAATTGCTACAATTACCAGTTGGGTCATTATCCGACTTTAAAGTCTGCAGGCACACAATGATGCTCTGTCACTTTATCATCCTCCACATTTTTGATTTCATAAATATGATCTGCAGCATTGAAATTGTCACTGTACCAGCGTACAATAATAATAATAATAATAATAATAATAATAATAATAATAATAGTAGCAGAGAAGAAAAAGGAGGTCTAAGGAGGATTCTCATCACACTTGCAGAGCATGTTGGCCCACAAAAATACCACAAACCATGCTCAGCAAACTGCAAAGAAGTGCTCGAAACCTGATCTGACCACCACTGCACCACTAAGTCTTTGTTTTTTTGTTTCTTTTTTTTAAAGTGATTAAAATATTTAATCTGAGACTGAAATAACAATTATGCAACATAGTGCTTCATGGATCATTTGTCATTCCTACACCAAAAATACTGTGCTGGTATCAGGAAGAGTGACCCATGACTTGGTGTTAATCCAGTCTTTTCAGAGTATTTTATATTCTGGTTCTCTAAACTGGAACTTCTGAGAGGATTTCACGTGCAATTCTTTATCAAAATAAAACAACCAAAAAAGGAGACTCGGGTTTAGCGTGTTTGAAAAACGTGTCTTGGTACTGCTGCATGTGAAGAGGTTTTTTAAAAAAAAAGGGAAAAATGCTGTGTTCCACTACACCTTTACAAGTTTATTTGCTGAGACAAGTGTTTGGGAGGAAAAAAGCAGAAGTTATAAAACAGCATAAAAAGCCACAAAAGGACGATAGGAATCAATCGATTCCAGTGAGAAGCACCATGGGCAGAACCATTAGCATCACTCTTCTGCTGCTATTCATTGGTAAGGAACTACAGCATATCATTTACTTGTATTTCAACTTTTCATCTCACTTGTTTTTCTTTAAGGTGCTATGAGGTCGTGGGAGCCTTTGGAGGTCTGTGCTGACAGCGTTGACAGTTTCACACCCCTATCAAGTGTTGCAGTAGACCACCAAATAGAAGAGGTGAAAACTTGTGGCATGTGTAAAACATAATTAATTGAAGACTTTCACCTTTGCCTTTTATTTGCCTTTTATTTTGACCTCCTAACCACAGCTAATACTGTTATTTCAAACCCTATTAATGTCTTGGGTTCATCCTTTCTGTCTAAATCACCTCATACTGAATATTGCAGCACAGAGGGTTCCCTGGTTCATGTCGGGCCTGTAAGTTTGTTGTGTCCAAAGTGAAGAAGAAGCTTGGCAGTGATCACTCAAAGGTAAGCAAACATAATGAGTAGTTATTTTCTACACAGAGCCTTTGTTAGGTCCTTCATAATGACACATGCTCCCATGAAAATAGTCACCTTAAAATGTTACTCCAAATGGTGGGAGTAGTAGTAACAAATATCCATTCTTCCTGTAAATTGAGATATTTTAGCATCAAAAAGGGAAGAGGAATATTCCGGCATATAATTAAGTTAGGGTCAAACACACCATAACAACAAAGTTAGACATCCGGTCGAGAGATGAATGTTGCTGACTGCTTGCTTCTCTAGTTATACCAACTTTAGGAACGACCACAGATAGCAATACAGAGAGCCATGCGCTCAACCCAAACGCCACTCTATAGCCACAAATAATGCTCAGAACAGCACCCAACTTCATCAGCAGTGCATATAGGGCCCCAGCCATAGTACTAGCCACCAAACATCTTTTTATCTTTGCCTGATTTCTTTAGGAAAGAGACTAAACACAACTCACCTACTCTCTTCCAGCAGCCGCTTGTTTGTAAGGAGAGCTCAGGCCGGTCCATTACTGCAGAGGGGTGACGTAGCTCAAGGAAGCACATTTATGATCATTTCTTTATCATTTCCTTGAACAATCATAGCAATCACAGTATTAATCATTTTGCACTGCAGACGTGGTAGTTCTTCTGCCTGAGCGTCTCGGTCTGATTGCATTTCCATGAAGAAATGATCATAAATGTTCCTTCTTGAGCTGCGTCACCCCGCTGCGGTAATGGACTGGCCTGAGCTCTCCATACAAACAAGCGGCTGCTGGAAGAGAGTAGGTGAGTTGTGTTTAGTCTCTTTGCTAAAGAAATTAGGCAAAGCTAAAAAGATGTTTGGTGTCTAGTACTATGGCTGGGACCCTATATGTACTGTTGATGAAGTTAGGTGCTGTTCTGAGCATTATTTGTGGCTATAGAGTGGCGTTTTGGTTGGGGGCGTGGCTCCTGGGACGACTGTGTATTGCTATCGTGCAGTCGTCACTAAAGTTGGTATAACTAGAGGAGAAAGCAGTCGGCAACATTCATCTCTCAACGGGGTATCTAACTTGGTGTTATGGTGTGTTTGACCCTAACTTAATTTTACACCGGAGTATCCCTTTAAAAGGGTCCAAAGCAGCCTTATTACATGCACAAAGTCATTACACCTTGCTGTGTGCAAACTTTGACTCACGCTGACATTTTGCAGGGTTTGGGGGTGTAAAAGGAAAATATTGGGCTAAAAAGGGAAAAATGTGGTTACACATGCTGCCCACTCCAGATTTTCAGGAGAGTAGTGCATGTGTAAAAAATGCAAGAAATTAAACTGCAACATAGTCACTGAGAATATTGGATAAATAAACTAAAGGGCTGTACTTTTCTTTAGATCTTTACTTGTCTGTTCATCCATTAAAAATGCAGCCATTATTAATCAAATGCTCTGTTTGTCATGTCTTGCAGGAAAAAATTGGGCTGCTGCTGCACAGGGCCTGCAATGGATTGAAATTTAAACTTCTCATCTCTGCCTGCAAGAAGCTCGTCATGAAGTACAAGGACAAACTGATTAATGCGATAGCACACCGCGGGTCTCCGAGATCATGGTGTGTTAAACTAAAAATGTGCTAAAGAGGCCTCTACCTATAACTACTTAGTGTTGAAGTGAAACAGAGAAGTTTCCGTTTGTATGGTGATTTGTTTTTTCATTTGTAATAAAGCCTCTCTGAAGTAGTTGCATTTTCATGACTTTATCCTTCTGAATGTCTGAATGAATGAATGAATGGTGGAGGTTTATGAGTCTCATTATTACTTACATGGGTTCTTGAGAGTGGAGACCTGCTGAATAAAACTCAGTTTCCTTAGTATAAAGTTTCATGAGGTCATCAGCATGTAGGTTACACGCTGATTAAAATGACTTGCTCTCAGACTCGTCACATATATTCAGATAGTGTAGGTTTTTTGTGGCTGACACCATTTTATTTTCGTGAGTTTATGTGTGACAGGAAAATATGACAAAGCAGAGGGTAGGAAGTTTTGGTGTGAAGATCAACCACCTGAAAGTACTAAGCTGTGACCTGTTTGTGGTGTGAGTTTTCCATTTCTGTTTGGGGGGGGGTTTAGGGTTAGGGTCCCCTCTGTATAAAAAGGTGTGACATTTGCTCACAGACACTCAGAGACCAGCGCAGTAATGGACGCATCTTCAACCCTCCTCGTGTGCCTTCTGGTCACATATTCAGGTGTGTTTTAATGTTTTGTATGAAAGTGTGTCTATTATGCACATGAGTGAAGTTGAACCTTTTTGTTTCGCCTCCTCGCAGTCTGGACGGTCCACGGTGCGAGCTTAGAGATCAAGATCGACGATGAGGAGCCAGTGGAAGTGGACATGTCTGTGGGTAACATGCTTTAGAGGATTTAGGTGATCTCTAATAGTCTGGCATCCATCTTCCAACATCAGTGTAAAGGTTAATAATCAAAATGTCGCCTGCACGTTGATGGTGTCTATATGTCCCATCATTAAATCATTAATACTAGTGCAAAAATGTGTAAGCCACATTTCTGTTTCAGCAGGTATGCTAATTTCATCTCCTTTTTTCTAACTCTGGCTCTAAAGCTGCTGTAGGATATGATAAGAAAAGATAAAGATCAGATAAAGATAAGATAAGAAGAACTTTATTTATTCTTGAGGGTAAATTTGATAAGGGGTAAGGGGTCAACTGGTTGTGAAACAGACTTTTTTTTTTTGCAATAACAGAGGCCTTTTACTTTTTGAAGACTTAAAGTTGTCATTTCCTCATGAGATTAAAGTTGTTGTCAGATCAAGTCGTAACTTTCTGGTAGGAGATCAAAACATGTTGTTATAGTCATAATGTTAAAAAGATAAGAATAAAGTCCTTAAAGTCACAGTTGCACAAACCAAATTCCTGATAGAAGCTTTAAGTTTATAGGTTTTCTAAAATTACATCAGAGACTCGCACATAGTTTTAGTTGATTATTGCAAAGACATTTGACAAAGGCAGCCTGAATTTGGAATAAATGAGTCTATATGTTGTTGCCGTGAATTAATCCTCTTAGTTATCTTCTATCAAAATGAGAAAACTTGGGTGTGTTTTGTAAAAGGATTATACATTTTTAACTTATAAAGAGGAATTAGATAAAATTAGATTAAAAGACAGCAATTTGGTACTCTTCACAAGTTTTTTGAACATTAATTTCTGTGTATGCTGCTTTCAACATTTTCTGTCATGTAGTTATTTTCAGGTTTTATCCTCTTGCTCACAGTTAAATGCATAACTTTGGTCTGCAGCTTCCAGGTGCCTGCTGGGCATGTAAGTGGGCTTTGAACAAAGTGAAGAAAGCTGTGGGGTCAAACGCCACAGTTGAGGTAAAATTACACGTCTCATAGTTAAGCAGATTAACAAGCAGTTTTCTTTTCTGTATGATATGCATTGTTGTTTTCTAATTCTCTTTCAGGTCATAAAGTCTAAGTTGCTGAAATGCTGCGATGGAATTGGCCTCCTAAAAGGCCTGTGCCGCAAATTTGTGAAGAAACACCTGGGGGAGTTGATCGAGGAGCTCACCACCACTGATGACGTGAGGACCATCTGTGTCAACGCTGGAGCCTGCAAGTGAGTTCTGACAGCTGGACTGTTATATAGCACCGTTAGGATCACACCTCATATGTATCCCTCTGTATTAATTATTCACAACCAAGCAACTGTTCAAGGAAAAAAAAAAAAAAGTTTTCCCATTTGACAAACTTCACAGTACTCAAAACCAAGTGAGATCACTCAATGGGTACTTCTTTCAGCGCCACTGTTTGAGTAATTTGATTCATCTTTAGTTATAGATTACAGATATGTAACACATGACCATTTGAGCATAGGTATAATAAATCAACACTTTTTCTGATGTGCTCTCTGTAGACAAAAGGAGTTGTTGAACCTGCACTTCTATCAAACGGTGGAGGATCCCTCAGTTGAAGTTGATGAATATCACTGATCATATATGCATTAAACAGCCATTCGGACCAACAGATGTTGCTACAAAAAAAAAAAAAGAGTCTCTTCAAGCTTCCTTCTTGTAATTGCCTTCACTCTGTGTTGCATTTTGTCGTGTACTTTGATTTACCCTGCAGAGCCTGTCAGGTTTGTTTCCACCACTGTATTAATAAATGTTTGCAATTCAAATTTTGTGACTATTTTTTTTGTAGGTGTACACATATTGGCAGTTTATCATTACATCTGACCCTATCAGAATCACTTCTTAATATAAGAATACTTTATTTATGATAACTGACTCAACCTAACTTTTAGGCAAATTAAAAACAGGACAGGAGGAGCTGTAGCCGTCTTTAAGTATCCTGGCAACAGTTACACCAGTCTGTACAGTATGTAAGTTAACCCAGGCAGGCCCGTGGTTCTGCAAATCTGCACATGAAAGCTTAGGGATATTCAACTTTCAGGTGAAATTTATGTAAAATGTAAAAAGTAGGATATATAAGGAGAAGCAAGCAATCACAATTTCTTCATCTCAAGTGATTTAGTAAAACCAAAGCTAACAACAGTGGTGGGTATACCACAACAACACAATGACTCAGCTCATCCCATAGGTTTTCTATGGGGTTCAGGTCTGAAGAAAGAACAGGCCACTTTATTTGTACGCTGGCCTCAGGCAGTCGTTCCCTGATGATGTGACCTCAATGAGCTGGAGCATTGTCGTCCACGAAGATGAAATCAGGTCTGTGTTGCTCATGATGTTACTGTCTTGCTGTAGTACCATTCACAAGGTGTAGGGCACTAGAAACACCTGCTCAGACTGGAACACCACCTCCAAAGGCTTGTCTAGTGTTGGCTGTCATCTTTGCCCACTGGTTCCTCGTCCAGCACAAATGCTCCCTGGCCAATGCAAGACAATGATGCCTGTGCCTGGTGGTGTGGTCAGGTACCCTTGCAGATCATCTTGCATGCGGACTATGCTGGTGTTAGCGGTTTCAAATAGTCTGATGTGACACTTAGGAGCCTCTCACTTCCTTTAAATGGCCCACGTACTGCTGATTGATTGCTAGGTGTTGTCTTGGTCTCATGTTGCAGAAATGTGAACAGCATAAAGTAGAGGACTGTTTAGATACAAATTGTCTTTGAACTGTAACATTTAACAGTCAATTCAAAAGTTTAGAGAAGGTCAGATTAAGTTCACCTGTAAAGGTTAAAGTGCATTGAAGGTAAGTTCTGAAAGTCCAATATCCCTAACTTTTTGTGAGTGAGTGTGTGTAAATCAGCAAAAATAAAATTTTTTAATGTGACACAATTGACATCTGCAGAACTTCCCTGTTTAAATACAAATAGTCAAAGTTTCTCTAAAAATGCATCTGTACTCTTGAACTAAAGTTTTTGGACATGACTAAATTGTGCAATAAGAATTTAGGTCGAAGGACACCACTGAGGTGGCGGTGTATGCATCCTAGATATAGAAGCTACAATCTAGCAATCAGTGACCACAACCATCTGCTGCATGTCTTGTCCACTCTCTGCTCCTCACATTTCCTGTCTTTCTCTTCAGCTGTCCGATCTTATAAAAGCAAAAACGTCCCAAATGTGACTTTACAACAGAAAGGAATTAAAAATAGAAGAGATTTAGAGGGTTTGATGTCGTTAATAAGGCTTTTTTACAAAAGGGAGCATCTTCATTCACAGCACATTTGCCTTATTAGAGGTCAAACCACAGAAGGAAATCATGCTACACTCTTAATAACCAAAGGCTGATATGTACAACAGTGTTGTGAGGAGATACAGCAGCCCTTCAAACTGATAAACAGACAAGCTTAAGTTAAAATTAGGTTTGAAAGACACAGACACACCATGAGTCACTTTAATTTTCTTCGAAATCAGATCATTGAATAAATCATCAAACATGTGCATTACAACAAAAACACACTACTGTCAAAAGGCACATTATTTCTCAGGTAAACATAAATAATGTACAAAAACATGACACATACAAGTTTTCAGATTCTGATTTCACAGGTTTCATGGATGAGGTTTGTGTATCTGCAGTTGGATTTAATTTCATGTCGTTTACGAGGACGTCGTCGCAGAGAGCAATAACTTACTGTTTCGATCAACAAAGTGCCCATGATGGGAGTGGCCGGTGTCCCAGCTCTGTTTTAAGACCTGTCTGTCCAGTTTGTTCAGTCCCTGTGAGCAAAGACGCAGATCCTGGACCAGGCCAGACAAGCCATCCAGAGTCTCACTGTCCCAGGGGCCGAAGACTTGACAACCTGTGAACCAAAAGATACCAGAAAATAAATATTCATAAAAGTTAGTAAATGTTTGTCTTACGCAGTTCACGCTCTGTGGAGCACACACACACACATACACACATGAGTGTACCTTGAAGATTTAAAAGGGTCAAAGGTCGTTGAGCCTCTCTTAGAGCAGTCAGGATCTTGTTAAGTCCTGCTGATGTTATCGATGGATTTCCTGACATGTTAAGACTCACCAAAGACAGACATGAAGGCAGACACCTGGAAGAAGAAAGTGAAACTTAAAACAGAGAAATGAAGAAAGTCGAACAGAAAACTATTTATCTAAAAGCTCCTAGAAAACGTTATGACAACATAAAGAGGAAATTCACAGGATACAATAGCAGGAAAAACACACACAGTCATCATACCTAGACAAGGTGACCACGCTGCTGTCTGTCAAACCATTTGCAGCCAGACTCAGATGGGTCAGAGAACACTCATCCTGTAGAAACACAAAAGTTTTACCTAAACTTCACTTCAGGTAAAGCTCGACTCTGACCTGTCAATCATCTCACAAATATACCGTATTTTCTGGACTATAAGTCGCACTTTTTTTTAATAGTTTGGCTGGGTTTGGGACAGTCGCTATAGGGCACTCAAGGCTGATGTACCAGTATCTGCTACTCCTGTACCACTGAAAATTTGAAAATTAATGTGAACTCATATCGACAACTGAGAAAGACTGAGCACAGATGCCGCCAAAAAGAAAATCATATTCTGCAGATTACAAGCTGTAAGTCGTGAAATATATGTTAGCATACCGTACACCCCTTTTAAGATGAAATGTCTGTTCTTGGTCTTTGATTATGTAAAATAAATATCCCCCCAAAAATGCGACTTACACCGGTATATGTTTTTTTCTACTTCAGTATGCATTTTTTGGCCGGTGCGACTTACACACCGGAGCGACTTACAGTCCGAAAAACACGGTAATCAGATTTCTGAATTAGACTGACTGCTGTTTTTTGTACCTGTGAGAGGATTTTGGTGAGGTGCTCCAGCACAGGGATGTCAGTGGGACCTCTGCGGACTGCAGATAAGTCCAAATGTGTGAGACAGTGGAGAGGAAGGGTCTTCAAAACCAGCTCAAAGCCAGTGGAGCCCAGTGCATTATGGGATAGACACACTGATTTCAAATGGCCAGTTCCTGAAAGACCAGAAAATACTTATTGAAGACATGTCACCTTTTCAACCCTCCTAAAAAGGCGGCAACAGACTCTGTGTTTGATTAACTGCCTCCACAGCAGCGTCAATAAAACAATAACCACAAACAAACACCACTGAAACGAACAATCCACCTGTTAGAGCGCTTGCTAGCAGCAGTCGATGCTGCTGCAGGAGGCGAGCAGTGAAGCCACAGGCCTGCAGAGACAGTTTGGCTAACAGAGGACAGCATGACAGCAGACAGGACAGTGACTCAGACACGCCATCCCCCAGTGGGTTCATGCTGAGGTCCAGCTCTTCCAGGCACTGCAGGACAGGAAACGACCGTAAGGAACAAAAATACAGAAATGTACGAGCTGTCGTTCTCAGAGGTGCGTGGAGAAAACGGGGCTGATGTTTGAGAAGACCGTTTTTTTTTTTCACATTCATATTAATGGGATATGAAAATAACACAAAGGGTGGAGTGTGACTTCAGGGGAAATACATACTAACAAAGGTGACACAAAGACTGCAACTGACTTTAACACAGCCTTGTTAATAACAATGAGACTGCTATGACTATGTACTTGAAATATCACCCACAAACACACCCACCAGTCCACAGTTCAACTAAGTGTATGCCCCACTCTTGACACAGTGTGATGAACGAACACTCGAATGTGTCTAAGTCAGCCCACATATTAATGATCATATGAATTTCATCTGCAGCTTTTCTAATTTAGCGTATCAATCAAATATATTTTCAATACCTGATCATTGTATATTGATTCATGTGTGCCAGTCAAAAGCATTTGAAATGAGTTCAGTTAAAAGTTGAATTTCATCTGATGACACCAAAACAGTGTGAAAACCACTAAACTTTGTCCTTAATTGCACTTTTAATAAATTAGCATCCTGACTGAGAAAGCCCCGACAAAAATCTATAACATTTTTCTATGTTCTGACCCACATTAACCTCTGGGTTCGCACCTCTCTGGCCTTGTTTGTTTACTTTGAGCTACGATTCAGCTGAAGGGGTCTCTAATAAATACAGTATCAGAGTGGTGCACTGGCTGGAGTCTGGGAGAACTTAGTGATACTCAGCTCTGCATTTTATTGTGTTTTTTTTGGGGCGATTTTTGCCTTTATGGAAAGGACAGTGTGGAGATATAGACAGAGACAGTGTGGAGGACATGCAGCACATGGTCGGGGCCGGACTCGAACCTGCAACTCCCCCAAGGACCGTGGTCCCCATACGTGGGTCGCGCTAACCCGCTTAGCCATCTGTGCACCCCCAGTTCTGCATTTTTGGTGATGCGGCTCTCATCCTCAGTTACTTTGATTGAAAACACCAAACTTAAAAGCTGCTGTGAGGAACTTTTGTTTTGTGCAAGTGTTGACGCCCATCTGTGGACAAAAAGACGTCTCTTTGCTCTTTCAGCTCATTACCGGAAATGCAGGATGGCTGTGTCCCTTCAGAGCGTTCACCGCCTTCTCCAGCCCTTCCCCCGTGATACGATTGGCAGAAATGTCCAGCAGCCGAAGCCGAGGCATGGTGATGGTTGTCGCAACCAGCTCAGGAAGAAGGTTGTCATGTAGACGATTCCCGGAGATGCGTAGCTCAGTGAGGCTGGCCTGCAGTTTTAGTGCACGTAGAAGGGGACTGAGGGAAGGAGGAGCCAAACTGAGGCCGCATACTGACACTGACGAGGACCCGTCCTGCACCTCGCACAACCGAGTGACACGCTTATTCTCATCTGCAGGCACACAAAAAGAGGGCAGTGGTTAATGACAAGCTAATAGAGTCTGGATCTGGGTTTGTGTGGCTCTGTGCGTTGCCCACCAGCTGCCAGGCTCTGACAGGCCTTCTTATAGCGCTCAGGGAGAGGAGGAAGATCCCAGGAGCAAACTTCCGCCAGAACCTACAAAACAAACAAAAAAACTCCCATTATTTTTGATTGAAAAAATCTTCAAACTGTTTTTTCTTTCTGACCCAGTTTCTTAGTTTTTGTCCTCACCTCTTCATTAGTGTGGAGGACGGCCAGCAGCAGATCCTGTGGGGAGAGCAGAGCACCTTCTTTCTGCAGGGAGAGGCGGGGCAGGAGGCCACACTTCTGATAGTAGCGCTGAGCGGCCTGATCACACAGCCAGGACACCGTGCAGGAGTCTGCCTCACTGCAAGACAATGTGTAGAGGTTGTGAATGACCACTATGGAGTCAAAGCAAAGCATTAACAAGGACTATCACTCAAGAAAATCAACCTCATCTTCTTCTTGTTCAGAATAAACTTTGAGGACCACACCAACCTTTGAGGAACTGGGATGAGGAATATGTCCTCCTGAACTCTGACCCTCATCCTGATTGGTGGGGGCAGCGACGTGGGCATGGAAGCAGACAAACCTGGTGCTTGATGCTGAAATATAATCAATAAAAGTTAACAAAAACACACACACACAAAACAGAGAGTACTTCTAAAACATAACCACAATTTTCTTTTAAAGGGATACAAACAAAATATTACGCTGCTGATTCAATATTTACGCCCTTGTTACACTTTAAACCTCCTGTAAAGGTAATCAGAGTCGTGCTCATCCTAAATGCACCTATTGCAGGAACACTTTTTGGGATAGATAGATAGATAGATAGATAGAGAACTTTATTAATCCCCGAGGGGAAATTCGGTTGTTGTAGTAGCCGATACAAGCAATACAAGAGAAATACAAAAAATAGATAAAATATACAAGACTATACAAGATAATGAATGAATATGAGTACTTAAATAGTATGTGCTAAGATGAATGAATCTGTAAGTGTAGATGTGCAAAGGAGAAATGTGCAAAAGTGATAAAAATATTGTATGTTACTTATATGTGCTTAATATAACTTAATTACAACCTAAGCATGTGTACCCGTATTTATAACAACAATGTAGGAATGGCAGGCTAGTCCATGTAAGTGACTGTGGCTCTAACAGGGGTGGATGAGTTAACAGGGGTGGATGAGTTGGGGTGACCATATTCTGAATTCCTAAAAAAGAGGACACTACTACGCGGGAAGAAGTTGTGCACAAAATTTTTAGCATTTTTTTGGGTCAGGTTGAGTGTTTTTTTATGCACTTCAAACTCAGTTAAATGCAGATTCTGAATTCCCAAAGACAGTGCATGCGTACGTCGCGTCAGTGGAGGAGCAGAGCAGCAGAGAGCACTGATACACTGCTTTATAATGAGTGAATACACATTCCGGTTTTCTTCCTTTTCTTTATTTTTTGATTCTATCTCAACCTTTTTTTTTCACTGGTGGAAACGGGCTTCCATACGAAACCCCAGACAGTAAAAAGGGTATGTATGGTCACCTTAAGACATTGGTTTCTAAATGCTGAATCAGAGACTACGTTGTGACAAATGCACAGGTATGACATAAAAACACAGAGGGAGATCGGTTTTAAAATTAAAGGTGGTGGTATTAAAAACTGCAGCCAGCCTCTGAAATGACACAACCCTCTTTATCATCTCCTCCTCATTTACCTCCCATTCATCATTGTTAAAAGTTAAACAAGAAACAAGACAGATTCCTGACAAATGACGTCCCGGTTATGGCTCCTGGTGATGCAGTGACATGATTCATCTTCCTCTGCATGTGGTCCTGAATAAATAATGTGCTGCCTCTCAGAGTATTGACTTTGACTCATGTGAACTTCAGAACTTCCTATTGTCTCAAAACAATTTATTATAAAACACATTTGATGCACTTTTTAGGATTCTTCTGCCCATAACTCATCAGAATAAAGAGCTGTGTGCAGATTCTCCCTCCCTCACCTGGATGTGTATTTGTTGAGGTGGAGGTGTCTCAACTCTCTCGTCATCGTCATCCGTAACCGTGGGGCTGTGTGACCTGTTGACCTCTCGTCTCCCCAACCTGACCATCCCTGGCATCTGAGTCATTTTCACCTGGTGGGGCTTCACAGAGCAATTCTTTTTCAGAGAGAGACCTCTGCTGGATGAGGGAGGAACTGCAGGGCCTATAAGAGGGAAAAAAAGGAGCATAATGAAGATAAAATAATCAAAGACAGTGAAGTTTAGTAAAATGAGGCTCATTATTACCTCTGCAGGACTTGTCAGAGCTCAAGTGCCTGTTCTGATTTCTTCCTGATGAAGCTATATCAACATCCTCTCCTCTCATCCCATTTTGTTGCTGAATCTTCCTCTTCTTCTTGGGATGGAAGTCTCCCAAATCATCCTCTAGCCAGTCGTCAGCCAGATACTCCTCCTCAGGGACCAGGGCTGATTTTTTGCTGGAGGAGACAGTCTGTGTGCTGGAGAATTGAGGCTGCGATAGACCCTGGAAACGAGACTTGGCGCTGCCCAAACCTCTGATGGCACTGTGGTACTCCTCTCGGGCGAAGACGGACGGCGCAGGAGCCTCCCTGACACTCTCCCGGCCTGAGTTTGGGATGGAGCTGGCTTCCCTGTTTGTGGGAATATCTTTATTATTTGAGGCTGCGGGGAAACTCTCTCTTGGGCGGACAGGACGAAGAGGGCTGACTGGACTGTCCAAGTCGGAGTCATCTGAGGAGCTGCTGTCATTCTAAAAAAACAAGATACAATGATTATGGATGAGATAATCAAAATTTAGAAATGATTTCGATGAAACGATGCAGTTTGAAGCATTGTCTGAATTTACCCCATACAGAACATTAGCCTCTGTTCCCCTGGCTCTGTACCGCTGTGTCGAACCATTGCTCTGCTTCTGTTTAGGGCTGGCAGCTTTAACCTCTGATTTCCTGTTAGTCTGAGGCCAGTCTTGGCTGAGGGGATAGCCCACTCCAGAGCACGACAGCGGCTCCGAGTTCTCAGCATCAAACAGCTGGCTGTCCTGCAGGGCATCAAAAGGCTTGGCTGGGGCTGCAGCAGCAGGGACTGTGTCACAGGAGATAAAACTGTATGTGAGGGGATATTTTAAAACAGGCAAACCGAGGCTAAACAGTTACAATGATCAAAAGGCCATTACTTCCTCCCGTGAGGGCCTTTCTCAGCAGTCTCTCCGTGGTGATGCACTCCTGCTTAGTGTCGTGGTCCAGCTCTTTGCTGTATGTCCTCTGCCACTGACGGAGGGTGTCCAAGGCCGTGTCACCCTGTGGTTAGAGGTTGAGGCATGAAATGGATAAAAGCATTAACTACATTCAGATGGGGCAGTTTTTTTTTTCTTTTGGGAGTCATTAAAACTAACAATTTTACAGGAAAACTTGCAGGTCAAAGGTGAGGTGAATTGCAACCGCATTTGCTGAGGTTCACATGGTTGTTTGCAATATTAACCATAACAGCGTCTGTCACAAACAAGCAGGCCACACACACACCTTGGAGTTGCGTAAGGTGACAGAAGCCCCTCGCTCCACCAAGAGCCTTGCCACCGGTAAACTGCCACAAGCAAGCGCATCATGGAGAGGAGTCATCCCCTCACAAAGAGGACCACCGGGATCGTTGATGTTAGCTCCACGCTCCAGCAGCACAGCCACAATGTCTGGATGAGAAAAAGTAACTTGTAACTTCCCACATCAAGTAAAGCGATTATAAAAGCAGAATCTGATGGTCTGAAAACCATTTTAACCTGACATCCGGTTAAAAATGGTGCCAAGAAAACACATCAGACACTAAAACTAAAAAATATACTATTCTGGTCAACCTTTTTACTGCTGACCAAAGACACTGTGTGCACAATTATTAGGCAAGTGAGTATTTTGATCATATCATCATTTTTATGCATATTTTCCAACTCCAAGCTGTATAAACTTGAATGCTTATTGGATATAAGCATATCAGGTAATGTGTATTAGTGTAATGAGGGAGGCTGGGGCCTAAGGAGATCAACACCCTATATCAAGGTGTGCATAATTATTAGGCAGCTTCTTTTCCTCAGGTAAAATGGGCCAAAAAAGAGATCTAAATGACTCTGAAAGTCTTTCAGAGGGATGCAGCACTCTTGAAATTGCTTAGATATTGGGGCGTGATCACAGAACCATCAAACATTTTGATGCATATAGTCAACAGGGTCGAAAGAACGTGTTGAGAAAAAAAGACGCAAATTAACTGCCAAAGATTTAAGAAGACTCAATGACTCAATTCTTTATATCCTCTGTCTTTAATGTCAGCCAGCTTCTCCTCCTCCTTCCTCCGCTCTTTGGCCAATATGATCTCAGTATTGACTCGATTAATCTGCTCGCCTCTGGTCCTCTTTTTTCTTCTGCTTGGCGTTGAGATCCTCCAGCTGCCCGTCATGATTTTTGAGGTGGGCAAAGCCGTAGGAACTCTTTCTGGGACAGTTTCCAGTCTTGACCAAAAAGTCATGACTGTGGATCGCAAGGGAGATGCCATCTTGGAGAGGCTTTCGACTTTGCAGAAGAAAATGGATCGATATAGAGACCAGGATGGACAATCAGAGTAGCTGAAGTCTATTGGAATGTGGCTACTCGCCCTAAACCAAACATTCTAATCTACTATTCGGCTCCCTCGGGCAGGCTAGTTTACGTGTATAGGATGACACAGTGAATGACGAGTGATATATTTAGATTTTGGTGCACTCTCTCTGCCTTCCAGTCACTTGATGCTGATTAAAGAGCACGTCTGTTAATGGGCAAATGTTCACAGGCAATATCATTTTTTCATTCGTGTGAGTACAACACTTTAATGATTACACTCGTTATTAAAAACACATTAAAATCTAATGTACATGGCTAGCCTGTAACATATTTAGGTGTGTTTTATTTAAATTATGAGGTAGAAAAATACATCAGTCTGTGACTGAAATTTTAGATTATGACTGATATTAAAGTCAGAAGCTGCATTGGTAAATTATTCTGTACACCCTTAAAAAAATTTAAAGCAGTTACCATAGTGACCATGGTTGCAGGCCTCATGAAGGGGAGTCCAGCCACAGTAATCTCGCGGGTTAACAGGATGGCCCTGAAGTACAAAAAAGCATCAAAAGCATTAGCATTAAAAAGCATCAAGCAAGACCGTTTTCAGTGTCTGATTTTACTCTTTAAAATTCTTCAGAGACACTCAGCTCCTCTTCAAGCAGAGACAGCTAAAGCACGTTCTTGTAGAGTTAATATTTGACAAGCTCCTGCGAGAAGATCAAGTACAAGGGTGTCTTTATTGAACTCCAACTGAGCACAGTTTACTGAGGATTTTACTCGTATTGTTTCTTTTTTTCTCACCTGTTCTACCAGGTACTGGACCTGCTTCAGGTTTCCATCTATACACGCTCTGTGCAGAGACGTCTCACCCTTCTCATTCCTCTTGTTCCACTAGAAAAGAAAAAAATAGTTCAAATAAGAGTAAAACAGTCGACACTAAAGAATCAAGACAGTTCAGCTCATGCAAAGTGATAACCGATAAATGTCTTACTCTTCCTGCCTTCCTTCTTCCTGACACCATCTTGTCGTAACCCTCCAAGTCATCATCTGAAAAGCAAACCAAAGTTCCTATAAGATATGCAGGAAGCCAAACATGAAATAATTTACACGTTGTTGTAAAACTTCAGTTTGTACCAGAGTCTGAGAGAATGACATCACTGTCATCCAGAGGTTCGCTGTTGTCCATTGCCTCCTCTTCATCCTCCTCACCATCACTGTTATCTGGACTCCAACCCTCAGCAGCACACAGCTCCTGCAGCAACGCCTCTGTGTCGTCAGCCTCGGATGAACGACCTCGTCTCTGGGACGCCAGCCAGAGTCTCAGGACACGTTTCTGCAAAAAGAAAAACAAAGATCCATGCACAACATAATGTTTTCTTCAAGTATCTTTAGTTAGCCTTAAAACCTAGTTGAGGTTTTTCCTTTCCAGTCCAGTTTTTGCAGTTTATACTCACCTGTAGTCTGGCCTGCCCAGATTTCTGAGCACGGTGAAACGCTGTTCTGTAGCTGCCGTTGATATCCTCAAAAGCAGAGCTGCTCTCCTCCTGAGCTGCTGCGATGTTCAGCCATGTGCAACACTCCTGATACAGATAAATAAGTTAATTTATTAATGCTAAAGTAAGGCCAATCTCAAACAAAATATGTAATTGTAAGCTTTGATAATAATGTGATTTATTTGCGACAGTTTGACTTTTTAAAAGGTAAAAAAAAATCACTCAAGTAGAAAGTAATTGTATATTTGAAATAAGTAGCATTTAAGTGGGGACTTGAGCCTTATAATGTATATTACATACATGATTTACATGTGACTCAAGTATATCCATCGAGCTAAACATAATTTTCCTGTCGCCAATCAGAAAATATCCCATATGCGGTGGTGGGTGAAGATACAGGTGGAGCATGTGTACCTCGGTTGAGCTTCCCTGTCGTAAAGCCAGCTCTTGTCTGTAGTGCTCCACAGCCTTACTGTGCTGTCTCAGGTCTGCGAAAGTTGCAGCCAAGGACACGTGGATGACAGCCAGCTCTCTAGCAGGCTTCCCTGCTGATTCAGCACTGTTAAGCTACACCAAGCAGACAGAAGCAAACAACATTAATCCTATAACTAAAACAGCTTCAAAGTTGAATGTAGTGATTACAGGTGGCTGAAGTATTGCTTGTTTTTTTGTTTTTTTACCTGAGCTTGATAAGCATCCAGAGCTTTGCTGTAGCAGCCAACTTTACAGTAAAGGTCCCCGAGCTGCTCTGCCAACCCTACAGCCTGATGGGGGCTGAGTTTTTTCCCCTGATCCTCCCCAAACTCCTCCTCTAATTTACATCCTTGGTCAGCTTTAAAATGAAAAACACCCCCGTCAAATGGGCAATGTTTGTGGAAACGTGTTGAACAAGTAATTGAATGAGAATGAGGAGAAACACAAACTCCTTTACCATATTTGAAAGCTTTCTTCACTGCCTGCCTGTCCAAAGGCTGCTGGGAACCCAACATAAGAGCTTTCTTCAGGGATCGTCTGGCTGCTACGAAATCTCCAAGAGACAGCTGCACCTGTGCATTAAAGTCACTGAGTTGTACATGTTACACAGGAGAGCACCAACGTGACAGTGAAGGACAGCTGAAGTGAAACACTTGTGTGATACCTTTCCAATGCAGTGAAAACACTCGCTCTCGCTAAACTTGTCTTTGATTTTCCTCGCACACTCTTTGGCCTGCTCCAGACAGCGCACTGCGTTAGACTTTTGACTGTTACGGAAGTAGATGTTGCCCAGATTGAAGTTGGCGCGGTACAGGTCCTCAAGCAGCTGACCCTTCCTGAGCACGAAGACAGTGGAGAAAAACACCATCTCATCGATAACAGCACTTACCCAGACTGATACATTGTTGTTCCACACCAAACCACGAAATGTTACATTAAAGTATGATTTAATACGTTCTTACTCTGAGATGAAGACACTGCGTCGGATAAACTCGCTGCATCGTTTTGGCTCCCCGAGATGATCACAGACCAGACCAAGATTCAGGAAGAGACGGGCCTTCATCTCACTTATCTCTCGCCCTGATACACATCCTAAATGCCAAAGTGAAAACATGAAGATACAAACACTCTATTCAGAGCAGAAAAAGCAGGACGAAGCACAAAGTCAAACAGTACAGACCTTCTAGACGGTCGTGCACGATAGCCAGGCTCTTCTTGAAGGCATCCTCTGCTTGCTCTAAACTTTTCCTTGACTGGTCCGATTCGTAGCAAAAGAGGTAGGTGCGACCTATAGTTGCCAACGCCCTTTGTTCCTCAGCATGATCTCTGACTGAGCGAGCCAGGTCCAGGTGGCAGCGCTGATGCTAAAAAAGTAAATACAGTATAAGCCCTCGCATTTTTCTTATCATCCTTCTGTGTTAGCTTGATATTGTCCCCTTTGTTTGAATCGCACGTATGCAACCTTAGCAGTAGGATCAAAATGCCCTAAAATGCTAAAAATAAATACATATATAGACAAGTCAAGTCAAAGTTTAGTTACAAAGCACTTTTAAAAAGACAGAAGAAGTCAAACAAAATGCTGTAGATGGGATAAATAAGAGAAGTGAATAAATAGATGACAATAAAACAATAAAATTTAAAACAGTGGAATAAAATACTGACAGTAAGGGAGAAAAAGTGGGTCTTTAAGGATGATTTAAAAGACTCTAAGGTCTGTGAGGCTCTAATACGGCCAGGTAAACTGTTCCACAGTGTAGGGGCGTCACCTCTAGACTTGAGTCTGGCTTTGGGGACACTCAACAGCAACTGGTCAAAGGACCTTAAGGCTCTGGCTGGGGGGTGGTGATACAGGAGCTCTGACAGGTAAGGAGGGGCAAGACCATTGAGGGATTTAAAAACGATTAAAAGACATTTAAAATCAATGCGAAAGCAGACTGGGAGCCAGTGAAGGCTCACTAAAATTGGTGTTATGTGGTTGCGCTTTTCTTGCCAGAGAGGAGTCGAGCAGCAGCATTTTGGATGAACTGAAGGCGGTTGATTGATGACTTGTCCAAGCCTGCATACAAGGAGTTGCAGTAATCTATTTGTGAAGTTATAAAGGCATGAATAGTTTTTTCAAGATCAGCCTTTAAAAAAATAATTTTTAGTCTTTGCTAAAAGACGGAACTGGAAAAAAAACTTGTTTTAACAACAACACCGATCTGCCTATCAAGTTTAAGCTGGTTGTCAAAAATAAGGCCAAGACTCTTTACAGTTGACTGAACGTTGGAACTCAGAGGGTCCAGGATGTCAGCAGAGTAGGCTGTGGAGGTGTGTCCTCCAAACAGGATAATTTCTGTCTTAGACTCATACAACAATGATAATAAATTCATCTACACTGTCAATGAAAGTGGCATTAACAGTCATTTCAGGAAAAGCAGGCAAATCCACAAACTTTCAAAGCAGCTTCGATGTTGCCCATCTCTGCATAGCACTCTCCTATCTTACGATTGGCCACAGCTCTTCCAATGACATCATTCAGCACCTCAGAGAGCGCCAACTCTTGCTGGTGCTCCCTGATGGCAGCCTCATAATCCCCTGAAATAGAGAATCATAAAGAAAACCAATAAAACACAAGTCATCCTTCATGATACGGTTTAGAAAATAGACTGGAGTATCGGTAGATATGTACGATGGCCAAGAACCGCCACTGCTGCATATAAAAAAGAAAAAAAGAAGCCACAACAGAAGTTACCAATGCAAAAAAAAAAAAAAAAAAAGTTACTTGCTGTGAAAATAAAAGGATGCAAATAAAAATAGCCACAATGAAAGTGAGCTGCCAGGGACCAATAATGATGATGCACCAGTGTTTTATGATCTAGTCACAGAAGACGACGGCGAGAAGATGAGCAAAAAATACGTGGAAAGGTTATTGTTCAATTTCGCTTCGTAAACTTTTCAATGTTTCATTGGTTAGGCCTTGTAGCGTCTGAGTCGATATGAAGTTGATCTGGAGGATGCTGGTGTAGTGTTAGCTTCAGTTCAACTTCATATTGACTCAGGCGCTACATGGACTAACCAAATGAAACATTGAAAAGTTTACGAAGCGAATTTAAACAATAACCTTTCCACTTCTTTGCTTTTGCATCCTTTTATTTTCACAGTAAGTAACTTTTTTTCCCATCACCACTTTATTTTTGTGTCATTAGCTTCCATTGTGCCTTTTCTTTTTTTTTTTTTTAAATCTACACTGTTTTTTTTTTTTTTTTTTTTTTTAAATTTGCAACAGGCTTCGGTTTCTTTTTTTTGCATCCTTTTTTTTTTTTTTTAATTTGCAGCAGTGGCAGTTCTTGGCCACCGTAGCTATGCAGTGGTATGCTATAGAAATACACTGTGTATACTTGGTGGGGCAATGGGATAAGAAATACTTTTTCAAATAATGATCAATGCATTACATATATTTTTTATCTGTTGAATAATCGTGATCACTATAATCAAAATAATGAGGCTGATTTTGTCCGTAATCAAGCAGCCCTACAAATGACGTGACTCTGCTGCCAGTCATATACACATGTCCAGTTTAACTAAGATATATGGTGAACAGCTCTAACACCTGTAAAGCAGATGGGCTTATGTAAATATGATATCATAGATAAACACTCACCATTTCTGGACAATAGCTCTCCCAGCTGATTGCAGATATTGGCCTCTTCTTTTAAGTTGTTGTTGTTCTGCGCTTTGCTCTTCGCTTTCTGCAGCTCTGAATACACACGATCACAATAAAAGACCAAATACTTACTACAAAAATGGCTTTTAGCTCGAAATCTGCGTTAAAGCTTATCAACACTCACGTTTGATTTCCCGTGCAGAGCTCATCTTTGTGCAGCAGCGGCGCAAACTTCCAGACGAAACAAGTGACAACTCACCGCGCAATACTTTAGCTTAGCGCCACACAGCCGACTGCAAACGCATTACAGAACCTTTAAAAATCTCAGTTTTACTTCATTTTTATTGATTTACGTTTATCAATGCTAACGCTTGGATTTCTACAACCGATCGCGTTCACATTCCTACCAAATATTGCAGCAAAGTGAACAAATAAGCTAACAGTGAACAGGAAGTTTTACAAACCCCCGCCATGAACACGTAACGTAGTGACGTCAGATCGCTACTTAGTGCGAAATTTTCCCCAGATGTTACCCTTGCAGGCACAAAACTCCCCCTGTTTATATACTTTTCAAAGGTTAGTGACTCCCCGATCTTTAAACCCCCCTTGAGTGTTTTAATGTAGCACTGGAACAACATTTGTCTCCTATCTTTGTGTGCTGGGAACTATAGGTCGCTAGTGTGCCTGACAGCTTGGGTATCGGGTATAAAAAGCAAGCAGTTAACGCAGAGGCCATTCATTGGCTATCGCTGCACGTTGACGTAGTATCACATAGAAACATGAGGCAGAAGAAGTAGTTGAGTGACTTAACAGCAGCTCCTTACAGTCTTATGCCCATGAATCTCTCACAAAAAGTCTCAGAAAAACAGAAAGAGCATGTTTTATTTCCTCTCAGGTGGAAAAGTGGAAGAGGTAAGATTGCATTAAGTATCAAAAATTGTCAAGACTGTGTACATGCCCCAACTGGTTCTCGAATTGGTACACAATGGTGAAGAAAGTCTACAATGTGCTGTATAAAATGAATTTTACTACATTTTTTAAAATAATTTATTAACAAACGAGGCTATACAGCTCTTCGTGACCTATTTCTGTAAAGCAAATAAAATACAACTCGAGATATTTTAATGATTTGAAATCAAATTTTAGCTTATTATTATGGGTTTAACTCAAAACAATGACACAATATCTTACAGATATTAGACACCATAAAAGAGAAATTATGATTGCACTGCACTCAAGACTCAGCTTTTAACAAGGCTTTTTACTAACTGCCTTTTTATATTTCTCTTATTGCAAATGTTCATTTTAATCAAAGTTCTTATTGTTTATTTTATGTCTTTTTATTAATTATCGCTGTTCTTAGTCTTTTTCTTAATTCTCGTCACAGGTTTTTACTTCTTTTACCCCTTTTTTATATGGTAAAGAGCTTTTACTTATCTGTTCATTTAATATTATTTTCTTGTTTTAGTCCATCAGGTTTTATTCTTTCTTTTCACCATCTTTATCTCTATTTTTTATCTCCAGCGTTTCCTAAAGGTAACTCTTTCCTCATGTAATGTCTCAGTGTCAGGCCATGTCTCTCTAGCAATACATTTTAAATTCTCACACTGTGTGCGGTTGTGTGTGTGTATGTTTGGGTGAGTGAGTGAGAGTGGGTGTGTGTCTTTGTGTGGGTGTGGGTCTACTGGTGTGTGTGTGGGTGGGAGGGTCAGGTTTTATTGTTGTTAATTGTTGCTTTTTAGCCTCTGTGAGGCACTTCGAACTGCATTTTTTGTATGAAAAGTGCCATACAAATAAAGTTGAATTTGAATTTGACACTAGGATTATTCATCCTGCAACATCAAATGTTGCTTTGGATCGCCAGCCAGTCAACTTTTTAGAAATTGTGCTCAAGTCCTCTTTTTTCTGTACAGCTCAGTTTTTAAGTTATTAGGAGGTTCATGTTTTCTATGATTGGCACCTGATACAGCCTATAGGCACACAAGGATTGCGTAGCTCACCCAGGGAGATGCTGTTTGAGCCAAGCATCATTACAGCAACTCTTGGCGACTCTACCGCCGAATGCACGCAATGCTACTGCGCAAGTGGTGGAATGCGTACAACGCTACTGCGCAATGTTGGTTTCAGGAAGTGGAGATAAATTGCAGAATTACCGAGAGCTTTTTGGCTTCAGATCTGTATACTGACGGAAGGCGGAACCAAGTTGTCCATAGTATATATACAGTCTATGAAGCAACCTGCTGTTATCTTGCAGAGAACCATAACCTAGGACTTGGAAGTGTAGATGCTCATCCTATCTTCTTTGCACTCATCTCTAAAATGCCCTAATGACATTGTGAAACCCCCAAACCAGAGACCCTTATCCCGTCAGCTCAAAAGTCATGCAAAGGGTGAAGAGTTTGTCCACTGTGTCAGGACAAAATCTGATGTTTCTCTTGAGGTTCACCAACCAGCTGGAGAAAAAAGCTTTCTCAGGGGGCTTGGTGGTGTGATATCTGATAGTTGGAGCTAGCCTGGCCGGGCCATCCTGTTGCGTGAATCACTTGATGTTCCTTTCCACCACAGTCTGGACTTCGGCCCATAGGGAACGTGTATTCCCAATCAGAAAATAAACTGGCCAATCAGAGACCGTGTTTCCACTGTTACCCGGACAACAGGGAAAGGCAGCCCCTGATTGGTCCATGTGTAGTGGCGATGTCTAACACATGCTGCGGGACTTTTCAAAGCCCTGTTCATTCAGAACAGGGCTGGCAGCAGCCGTTAATTCTGCAGTTGACTCTGCAAAATCGGCAGAAATCGTTTATATCCGACGTCTTCTGCGGATCTAAACTATTTCTGCTGACTTTGCAGAGTCAAAGGGAGGGGGATTCCCATTTCCCTCTAACATCCATGATCATTGCGACAAAATGTAGTATTTTCACCTAAAAAATCCAAAACTACAAATGGGAAGGAAGGTGGGTGTACTTACAAAGCATATATCCATCATCTTTTACTCCGTTTTCTAACTGTTATTGTATTAGTTTAAGTTTCTCTTGTACAAATAATCAATGTTCAACAGCCTCCTTTCATTGAACAACATGGCCATAAACAATTAAAGTCATAGCCGCAGGGATTTTCTCCATCATCTAGACTCCTGTACACAAACCTGAACCTAAAATGACGCCTGAAATTACTTACACCAATTTTCAGATTGACATTCATGGAGCTAACCCAAATTCATGATCTTATAATCCAACTGTTGTCTGTAGTCTGCTGAAAAAAAAAGAAAAAAGAAAGAGTGACACATGGCCTGGATGACAATCACGTCAGTGCTGAGGAGCTTTCTGATTGGCTTGTTCAGATAGACAGCGCGCTTTGACAGACGTATTGTGGTGCAGCCTCTAGTGTGTTGCTAAATACAGACACAGAGGAAAAGAAAAACAAACACTTTACAGACACATTATTCATCGCCTTTAGATGGGCGTGGAAAGGCGAGACGGGTGTTGCCTGCTGTCTGTTTGGACTAAACGAATGAGTGAATTTTTATCTTTAATCCTAAATAAAGAGGAATGACATCTCAGCAAAAAATGGTTTAAACTCACAGACAGTTTTTTTTTTTTTTTTTACATAATAAATAAAACTCTAAAACAGTGACCTCATCTCTATTGCCGACTTCAATTCAAGGTATAATTTTCTACAGCATCCATAAATGTTCTTTTAATCATCATCGAGAGAATACATTGAATAAAATACAATTTACATTAAGAAAATAGATTTAAAGTTTACCAGAATGAAATCCTGCAAATATCAGGGAGCATCAATGTGGATGTGTGTGAAAAAAATTCTGACTGAAGCCTCAGGAGGAGCTTCAACTCACATGAGAAAGGCACAGCCTCTCTAAACCGTTGACCTTACAAATGAGGCGTGCTGCATCATTGTACGAATTGGTGTTTCTGGGCGGTGCAAAGTGGAGTAGAGCACATCAGAGTGCAGGATATCTGAGCAGAGCAGAGCACAGAGAGGCAGGCACATCCGCCGCTGCTGCTGCTGCAGGGATCAAATCTGTACCATCTGACGCTCAAGGATTTATGGGTTTAGTCAAAATTGCTTTTCCCACTGTGGAGATTAAGCACCGTAGGATGTTTTCTACTCGGGCCGTAGAATAGTGAGGCTGCTGTTGCTGCTACTGTTGCTGCTGCTGCCACCGCTGCTGCTGCTGTTTCTTCTCTCTTATCGGCTCCGGAGCTGGAGAGGGGGATGTCACAGGACGGCAGAGTGATCCAAACCCTGCAGGGGAGACGATTCTGACTGACAGGAGAGATCCGTTCTCTGGGGAATGTGAACCATGCAGGTGGATACTGTACTTGTGCTCTTCTGCATTTGGCTTGTTGGTGCAGCGGGGAAGATGGTCCAGCCGAGGGGTCACAAGCTGGAGACCTACAAACAGAGCAGGTACTGCCCAAGGAATCACTGATATACCAAAGAAAAACCCCAGATTGTATGCTTTTATTTTTTAAATGGAATATAAGGTTGTTGTTTTTTTAACTGCTCTTTATGTCTGAACCTCTTTTGTATTTATTTTCTTTTAAGAGATGCAGTATTTTAATGTTTACATGATGTTGTCTGGTGTTTCCTGAGTCACCTGTGCTGCCCCCTCCCTCTCTGAAAAAAAGACTTTTTCAGATGGCAGATTGGAGAGAGAGAGAGAGAAAGAGAAAGAGAGAGAGGGAGGGAGAGAGGGAGACCTAAATCCCTACATCTATTTATGTACTACTAGTGAAAGCTGTGTTCTCTTGCCCCACAACTGCCTCAGGCCAGTTAATGACTGTTTGCCCCACCGCCAGCAGTTGTAGTCAATGTCATTTTCAGGTGACTATTTGGGCTAATTGCTCCGTCGTCAATGCACCCTTTGGATTAAGTGTTTCAGGGAGGACTGAACCAGATTTGGGAAGAGTTACAGCGTCCAAAATTTCCCCCAAGAATTGATTCAACAAAAAGAGACTTTAGAGGTGAATTAAAAAAGGACTTCTTTTGTTGGTTTAGTAGGATATATGTTTTTATAACAATTAATACGACATTACTTTTAAATTAAACAAAGAACTAGGCACCAATTTCATAAAAGCTAGGGAATAGAGACTTCTTGGATAAATACTGCCAGTTATGTTCAACAGATGCAACAACACCTGGAGGCTATTTCACTTCAGAGCATTTAGAAAAACAGCCAGTGGATTATTAGTGCAGATTATTCCATTTATTTTTAAACCTTTGCCGAGGGCTAAAAGTATCAAGTCACAAATGTTGCATACTAATAACAGTCTGATACCAAGAGGATTTCTTTATACTATTAACACAAATACAAATGAATACAGATAGGGATGACATTAATTTACTGTGTGAAAAGTTATACATGAACATCCCTAAAATGGCAGAACTGTGCCTATACAGTCCAGTGTTATAACGTAATCCTTGAGGTTTATTAGAAAACCAAATGTGATCATTATTCCAGCCACTGAGTCACGATGAGTAAACCAAAGACTGAAAGAATGAACGTCTCTGTGCTGCAAAATGATCCAAATTCGTTTAGATATGAGAGTAGGATTAATTCTAGTTCTTTAATTAAATTAATAACCCCTAATGGCTTTGAACGTCTATCGAAAGCAATATGAGCTCAGTGAATAGAGATAAGGCTGCAACTTATAATGCCCTTCATTATTGATCACTGTGAGGATTATTTCTCAATTAATCTCTTTATTGCGTGCTTGATAAATGTCTAGCACATCACATTTCATGGGCCTTGTTCGAAATCATTATATGCTCCTCTTTTCCACCAAGCAGTTAATGTAAAAGATTTCCAGTCCAGATTTATTCATATAAAAAAAATCTACAAATGCTACACAAAGTGCTACACCATCAAACACGAAAACTGAAATGAACACAGTTAAAATCAAAATAGTAAAAAGGTTGTCATAGATAAAGCAGCAGTCCTGACACTTTGGGCATTTTAGCCCTTTAGAAATCCTGATTTTACTCATCTTTCCTGGAAACCTGCATCTTTATAACTCTATGAATCCACTCATTGACTGACTGAAATATCTATTCAGCTCCATGAGCAGAGCTGCAATGTGCCAGTCAACAACAACATAACATTTTAGCTATAAATTTCCTATGAATACAGAGTGTAGACTGTACTGTTTTCTAGCTTTTATGTCAGCAGATGCTGTATTGAACTTATCAGCACCGAGTACAAGAATACCCCGAGGCACTATAGTCTGAAACTGTCTTTACACAAATCTCTGGAGGAGATGCAAACCAAGTTCAGTGCCATACTTCACACACAGCTATCAGCGTTGAATGATTTGCATCCACTTAATATATTCAACAAACCCTGTCAAATGATAATCCTTCTGCAGCACCACCGTTTATGTTGTAACTGTCGTTATTTATAGATCAGACGTCAAGCAGCAATCCGGTCACTATTAAGATTCTGATCCATCTTAGTCAAATGAGTGTGTTTGACATTACTCTACCTATTGGTTCTCATATATGAAAAAACATCCGATTGCATGTCAAGCAGCAGTGATCTTATTGAAAGGCCATTTGTGCTAAATCTAAACAATCCTCCATGAAATTGCTCCCGTTTTAAGTGATCCTCTCAGCCCTAAGGTTATTAAGATGATCATTACGTATAAGAGGAGCACGGTCGTAATCATCTGTGGAAAATCTTCAAAAGAAAGAGAGCACAAGTGGCTCAAAGCCGCTCTGTAATCTCCAAACACCAGCTTCCCCCTTGTTATCAAATCTGTGCTTCACTGTTCTTTTACACAAACTAGTTAAAAGTCTGCTCACAGCTCTCTCTCTTCTCTGCCGACACACACAGCCGGAGAATACAAATCAAATGTAAATCTCTCATTCCTCTTTTTGGTAGGTGGGGAGGGATCTGAGTGTACTTATGCGGGAGTCAAACTCTGCCTCTCTTCGTTCCTCACCGCACCGCTCCTCCTCTCATGAGTGTGAAATTGCTGAAGCGGCTGGAGGCTGCTGGTGTGGGTTGTGGGAGTTTTTCCACCAGCCGACTTTACTCAGATTTTTCTTTTACTCGCCGCCTTGAGGAGGATGAACGAGGAAAGAGGGATTTGTGTAGGACAGCACGGTCCCACACACGGAAACATCAGAGGGGAAAACCCTAATGAGTTTTAGAGGATGATTTTTGTTTTTTTGTTCTAGCTGGAGAATTTTTGGGTTAGAAAAACATATTTAACGCTTCAAATAAATCATGCTATTTTTTCCCAGAGATCCCTTCCTTAAGTTTTCTTTCACACTTCAACATCTCAAAAAAATAAAAAAGACATATCTGAATTCAGTGCAACTTACAGCAGTGCCATAGCAGCATATTACTGTTCAAAGGCATAATCCGGTTGTTGACTTTAAATTTGCAGTTTCTTTTTCCAGTTTGTCCTCTTTTGAAGACAGTCTTATAGTTGCTCTGGAAAAACAGCTTTTTGCAACACATTTTCATGATAACAGTAGGGCTACTTGTGGATTCTGCGTAAGGTTGCACTATCTGCAGGTGCTTGTCTAGACTGGATGTTGGTAGTGAAAGTGTTAGTGGTTGGGTTAGTGTCACTAGTTCACATTTCTGCAGGCTTGTCTAACCACATATGAGAAAATAATCTGAGTGGAAATGAAATGATAGCTGATAAATCCTGAGACTAGCTGCTGCTGATGTTATTGTGATTTGAGAAGGTCAAAGTAGAGAGAAAGTAGAAAGAGAGAGGAAGCCAGTTGAGGACGGAGGTCAGGGTTGCTGGATGTGTCAGTTCTGTCACTGAGGAGACTAATGTTGACTTATTTACTCATCATAGGGTGACGCCCCTTAAATTGCATTTTCTAAGTGATGTAACCAAAGCCCTTAAACGAGTTCCTGACACATTCAACATTATTTGAGGACATTGAAGACTTCGAATGATAGAAATTCATCAAAGAACATATCTGGAAAAAAAAGAAACTGACAACTACAAAAACAGAAAAACAGTGAAGCTAAGCTAGCTGGTGATAGTCATGGCTAACTTTGATCAAGGCTACTTTTGCTGACTTTTATAGAGGTAATAGTCTCTAAAATATCTGCCTTATTTCAGCTTGACTGGCTATTAGTCGGCTAGTCTATCACATGAACTTTAAGCAAACTGTAAGAAGAAGCTGAAGTTCAGAGCGAAAATTATAGTAATATATCATATTTTAAAGTGCTAAATAGTGATTTTTGTGATTCTCAGAAAAAATAAACCCAAACTCTTACGACTGCTCTTAGCTGCCTGGTACAGCCAATGATTTTGTGCTGATATAACTGTGAGAATAGATAAACTGAAGACGTCATGTTACTTATCTATTGTATGGTACATCATGTGAGCTTTGAACCCTTTTTTTCAGTTTCCCCTGATTTGAAATGGCCTCAGTGTGTCAGGAATAGCCTCAGTCTGTAAAACTGTGTCCCTTTAACCCTGACCCCAACCCTACAGGGATAAATGCACACAGGTCCTTGGCTGCAGAGCAGCAGTAGCAGTGTTGGGCCACACAGAGCATAGCAGTGTGCAGACAGTCGATGGTCTGCTGTGAGTTGTAGGCAGGCAGAGAGAGGGATTGGAGAGGCCTTGCTGCCAAGAGGATTAGGAACCAGCTGCTGGATGGATGCAGACGAGTAGCACACATTGAGCCCTGCAAAAAGCTGCAGCAACATAATAAAAACCCCTCTCTGACTGTTTCATTTTGCTCTTGTCGTGTTTTTTTTGTGCTGTCCCTCCACCTCTCCCCTCCCTTTTTCTCTTCCTCTGTAGTGTTTTCTTAATGCATGTCTGTGGTGGTTGCAGGGATTTGGCCCTGTCTGTCACAGCATGCTCTACTCTAATAATCCATTTTAGGGCTGTTTGAATTCTTTTTTCCTCTGCCTGACACTCTCTGCTTTTGGCCTGAAAATGCAGCTTTAGTCTAGCACAGCTCTCTTAAAATGTGAGTAAATTGTAAAGCTGGCCTTCTCTAAAGAGGATCTGATGAGGAAATGTTCTCTTGTCCTTTTTATGCGATTCAAAGATCAGAAGTGTGTGATGTAAGAGGATGTGCGACATCGACTTACAAAGTGAACATAATACAAATTATTGTTCCGACTCTAAACACATGTACTCTAGATTAAGACCAAAAATGAAGTCATCTTTTGTTTTGGATATAAAAGATTTCCTCTGTATTTGTTTGTCTGCAGATCATTTCATAATAGGCCTTTTTATTTCATAAACAGGGAGTGATAAACTGTTTTTTTAAGCTGTTACAGTCATTATAACTTCTTCCAGACAGAGCTGACATCTTCTATTGTCTCATTTTGACAGTTAAAAACTCCCAAACCCTTTTTTGTCACAGTTTACAGTCACGGATGACAAAGAAAAGCGATAAATCCTTTCCTCTCAGAAACTGGAAGCAGAGAATGATTCCCTTTTCTCTCTGAGGAAGATTACTGGATAATCAAAGTCCTAGCAGGATAGTCTTCTGTGGATAAACTGATCAAGCTAACTCCTACTTGTTGAAGCTCTGCGAGTTCAGTCAGTGGCTTAAAATAGAAACCTTGTAAAAGATAGAGGGGAGGTTAAAGAGAGGATGGTTATATAGTCTTAGATATCTTGATTCTCTGATACTTTATCAAGCTGCTGGCATATCTTTCTCACACAGGCTGCGAAGAGACACCAACATGGACGGGGGTGGAGGTCACAAACCTGGAGGGTGAGTTTTAAAAATCTTTAGAAGTTAATGAAAAATCAATAAATATTGTTTTTTTTTCTTTTGCTAATTACTTTCAAAACGAGGAAGAATCACTATTTTATTTCATTTTTATCTCTCTCTCACAGCCCAATTTTCAAGCGCAGCCCAGATATGACAAAATCTCCAATGACCAAGTCTGAACAACTCCTGAGAATAGATGACCATGATTTCACCATGAGGCCGGCATTTGGAGGTCAGAAAGCTGTTTTGTTTACTTCTTCCTTTGTTTGTTTAGCTCAGAAATTCCTCTGCACGTGATCGCAGCTCAGTGAGGACGCTGCAGAGACTGTATGGGCGCAGCTGGATGAGATCCGTGCGGCGGACATCGCTCCAAGCCTGTGTGCATTAAGCTCTTGGAGAACTTAATGACACCATCCATGCAAGCTGTGCTGGAATTTCCGATTGCAGCAGCTCAGTTCTTTACATCACAAGAGTGTAAATACATGCCCTTAGATCAGTGTATATTACGGGGATTTCATGTCAGCTTTTTTTGGCTGTAGGATTAAGCTGAGATAAAGTCACACAGGCATTTGTTTGCACAAGACAATAATGGAAAATGATTCTTAATCTTCTTGTCTTTAATGGCAAATAGCTACAAACAGAAAAAAAAAGATCCTCCATAAGGGAATTCTTTTTTCAGAGAACCGCGTGCTGATATATTACAGCACAACTGCGAGTAATCACACGACAATTCGTTTCTGAAAATAAACCATGTGACCCTCACAGCATCCTTTCACTGCATCTGATTCCCAACATCAAGTGCTTCTCAGCTGCGAGAGAGTTGGATGTTATCCAACGCCACATCAACTTTGATCTGTTATTGTGACCCAATTGTGTTGGTGTACTATTGGAGGATGATGATGCCGAATATAAAAGGCGGAAATAGGTCAAAAGTAGAATGCCAGCCTGTACGGCAGATTCGTGGCGCCGACGTTTGCGCTGTGTCTGTGTGATTCATCATTCCTTTTTAGAAAAACAATCACCAAAAAAAGAAATGTACCAAAAATCCCTGCAAAGGTCATGTTGACTGTCACAGCTAAAATCCCCCTAAGCAGCACATTTAACAAGCTTTCGTGATGAAAAATAACACTTCTGTTTCTCAAATGCTTTGCTGATTCAGGTCCTCCAATTCCTGTTGGTGTGGATGTCCAGGTTGAAAGTCTGGACACCATCTCTGAGGTGGATATGGTGAGTATGATGAAGTTGATTTTTGGTTTGTATGCTATTTTGCAGGTTGCAAGATTAAATATTAGTGGTTGACAATGAAGTGCATTAACCCAAGTAAGATTTTACAAATGTACCTAACCCTAACCCTTTTTTTGCGCCGTCCAACAGGACTTTACCATGACACTATACCTGCGCCACTACTGGAAGGATGAGCGGCTGTCGTTCCCGAGCACCAACAATCAGAGCATGACCTTTGACAGTCGGCTGGTGAAGAAGATTTGGGTTCCCGACATGTTCTTCGTCCACTCTAAACGCTCTTTTATCCACGACACCACAACTGATAATGTCATGCTGAGGGTTTACCCTGATGGCAACGTTCTCTACAGCCTCAGGTAGACACATCGGTGTGGGACTGTCTGGTATGAACTTGAAAAAGTAGGAAAAACCTGATTTTCATTGTCGGTTTATTTCTGTTTTTCCCAGAGTCACTGTCACTGCCATGTGCAACATGGACCTCAGCCGCTTCCCTTTGGACACCCAAACCTGCTCGCTGGAGATTGAGAGCTGTAAGTAAACTGATCACAAAAATCTGAAGAAATCCAGCAACACAGTGACTTTTTCCCACCATGAACACACTGATCCATCCACATTATGCTTGGTTTAAATAACTTCATAGCCAGGAAACACATTGCCATGAACTTTCATATCTAAGCACCATGATCAAGCCTAAGCTTGTGCGTGACAACCTTTTGACCCTCACGCACTTCTCATTTTTGCTAAAATGTCAAGTTTGCTGAGCAGAATCTCAAATATATCTCGCCTCCAGTGTTTGGGTGCATCTATGTTTGGCTCCTCATATATAGCAAAGCTCAAAGACATATTCAGAGGGTGCAATTGACACAGCAAGACAGAAGGGATTGTGTTTTGGGCTTTAGCTCTGTGGGCTTTTATTTTTTTCCACAGTAACATTCCACATTCTCCCTCTGTCCTGATTTGGCGTCAAAACAAAGCTACTTCACTCTGCGTCTTTTCCCTGCAGATGCATACACAGATGACGACCTGATGTTGTACTGGAAGAAAGGTAATGAATCCCTCAACACCGACGACAGAATATCTCTGTCCCAGTTCCTCATCCAGAAATTTCACACCACCACCAAGCTGGCTTTCTACAGCAGCACAGGTACTGTAATCCACAACACAGGCACTTTTTAATGCAAGCAGCAAACTAAACTGATTATGCAAATTGGCTTGACTGGTGCATCATGCATGTAATAACTACATCACAATTGAGTTTCAACTTCAATGCGTCTCATTTTACTCGGTAAGCCTTTTCCAACTCAAGTATTAAGTGTTACTTACATGTTATCATGTTTCCACTGAAAGTGACACTGTTAGAAGTGCATAAATATTGAATCCTTAAAGTGAGACGAAAAGAGTCCAATTATTATCACCTACTTGTCCAAAGCAGAGGCTGTAAAGCCAGTGTAAAAGCCCGGTGGTCCTCTGCAAGTCACTTCGGCTCAACATGAACCACCATACAGATTCTGGTGTATCTTTTCTCACCACAATAGCAGCGAACCTCTGCCTGGAGTCTTTGTTAGCTTTATCAGCAGCTTACATGTCCATGTAACATCAATGTTCTTTGACTTTCCAGGCTGGTACAACCGCTTGTATATCCACTTCACCCTGCGGCGCCACATCTTCTTCTTCCTGCTGCAGACTTACTTCCCCGCCACTCTGATGGTCATGCTGTCGTGGGTGTCCTTCTGGATAGACCGCAGAGCCGTCCCTGCCAGGGTGCCGCTAGGTAGATAACAAAACAAAAAGAGGATTTTGAGACAGACGCAAAGTAAGAAATGTATGAATGCCCCTAGATAACGTGGGGAATCAGGCCAGCATAGTAGAGTGGTTTGCAACATAGCAGTGACCACAAATTTAAGAGATTTATTAGATGTCTTTTGGAGAGTTGGATGAGAAGTGGTTGTCAGTGGTAAAAATGGAACAGAGAAAAGAAGCTTTAGAGAGGCTGGTTGGCTTATCTTAGCATTAGAGAAATACCAGGAGGAAAAGAGCTGTCAGTGTAAGATATAACAAAGAAAATAATGCTCAGAAACAGATTTCAAGAAGTGAGCTTTCGCTGTTAGCTTGCATTGCTTCCATTTATAAGCCTCTTGTCATAACGTTAGCGAGCCTTCAGTTGTGTTACCTTGAAATGTGTCTGTGTTTCAGGTTAAATCTCTCCATAAATTCATTCTTTGATTTACGTTTCATGCTCTGTGTGGATCAAACAAGATGTGACGCCTGAACTAATGAGCGTCAGAGATGCTAACAGGCTGATGCACCTAAACTCAGACAGAACCTGCCTGCTGTGTCTCCTCTCTGGTAAATAGAGTCTCTGTGTGACTAAACTGTTTGCGTGCTTTACTCCAGGCATCACCACAGTGCTTACCATGTCGACAATCATCACCGGGGTCAATGCCTCTATGCCGCGCGTCTCCTACATCAAGGCGGTAGACATCTACCTCTGGGTCAGTTTTGTATTTGTCTTCCTGTCTGTGATAGAGTACGCGGCAGTCAACTACCTCTCCACGGTGCAGGAGAGGAAAGAGAGGAAACTGAGGGAGAGAGTAAGTGTGAATTCATGGGATTTTTGATTATTTACCTGCAACGTATAATGTGTCATATATGTGGCTTACTTCACCAAACCAAACCAATGCAATGATCAATGTTCGAATGTGAGTGAGCACAGACTTTATATCTTTGGTGAAACTACTTTTGGTTGGACTTTTTCAAGATAAGGTTGAAGTTTTATCCCTGTTTACACCAAGGGTGTATGATGGAAGTTTGATCTTTAGATTTCGCTCCTTTTTCAGTTTTGAAAGCTAAAATAATTAAACAAATGTTACTCAGCCATTTTGCATGAATAATAGATTAAAAACAGCTTGACTTTGAAAGAGCATTTCATGTCTGTTTGATGGTTTGCGTTCTGGTAAGGTTCAAAAATGTAAAGCTGCAGTGGGCATCGTATCCCTTTACTGTTGCTGTGTATGGTCCATTGATTATTTTCCAGTCAGGTTGATCATTAAAATAAGTGTAAATATCTTTCACATGCAATTATAGTCACAGAGATCCCCTAAGTTTTAATTAATGCTAAAATTTAATTTATGACATGCATAATCTTGCCATGGGCTGATGAATTTTCCCAACAGTTAAATGGTCCACTGTTGAAGATCTAATTAAAGTTTTTACATTCCTAAATATCTGCAAATCTGAAAAGTTTCTCATTAAAATAAAAAATAAAACAAACACGTACTGACTTTCCTCTGAGCCCAAACAGGATTTTGTTGACCTAATTTTATGTAGAATATTTTACATATCAAAATATCTCAAAACCAGCGGAGACACAAATCAATTATTCATGTTCCTTTCCAAAAGGCAGATGAATATTTTCAAAATTGGATCCGTTTAAGCTCTCGGGGCTACAGCAAATTATTTCTGGGACTACAGCTTGTGTACTATACTGCTATTCTTCAACTGCCAAATGCTGCAGCATATGGAGCCAAATTGCCCACGTACCCTGGGGATCATTTCCAGCACAAACATCCTTCTATAAATGTTTCATGCCAAAGTTATTAAGAAGCACTGAGTGTGCAGAAAATATGCTAAACATTTAACAAACAAATGTATTCATTTTCTCCTTCAGTTGGTCTCAAAGAGTTCACAATGAGCAGATTTCGAGCTGTCAAAATGATTTCTTGTTTCTCTCCTACAGCTGCCGTGTACTTGTGGTATTGGCAACCCGGACGAGATGATGATCGACCCCCAGATCACTGGCTATGGGTCAATGGATATGAACACAACAGGGACTTATGGGATGCCAGAGAACGGCGGACGTCAGGAGCCGAGAATGTTGGCTCAAGTGGCGCTCAACGACCCACAGATCACGGGCCAGGTGAAGCCGTCCAGGGGCTACGTGAACATTTGGATAGACACCCACGCCATAGACAAGTACTCCAGGGTTCTGTTTCCTGGAGCGTATATCCTCTTTAACATCATCTACTGGTCCATCTACTTGTAACCCAGGAGACGTCCCTTATGAGACTCTACGAGCTTGGCTTGATTGTTTTAAAGCAGGAAACTAAAATTGACTATGAGGCTTTTCGGACAGACTGCTCATTAAATGCATGGGGACCACTGACAGATTGGGTACCATTGCCTTTTTGACCCAGCCACTTAAAACTGAAGAGTAAAGAAATGAGCTATGAACAGGATTGTCTCTCATTTTGTCACACTTTGTGTTGTTGTGCTGGAACTATCGTGCCGATGATGGACGTTTGGATTTTGTCGCTGGAGGAGAAAAAAACGCAGACTCGCGTCATTTTGCAGTTTTAGCAACCTTTCAGTTCCTGTTGCAGTGGCTTATTGCTAAATGTGGACTGAAGAGGAATTTCTTACATTGCACATTTCTAGACAGTCTCCCTTCTTGACAATCAGAGGCAAGCTGAGAATCTTTAATGGGATAGTGTAGATTATTTTACAGGTGGGATGATTAATATACTTGTCATATCAGTGTTTGAAGGCACAGATGGCTGCTGTGTTCAAACACTGTAAAAAATGGGAGAAACGGCGAGCCTGGTTCTGTCCTGAGGAGAAAATCGACATACCGGCACTTTTAAAACCTGTCCTGTGCTGAACTAAAGTAATCACGCCCTGGCTGTGGCTTCATGTTTAGCTGACGTCACAGAGGAGAAAGTGTCATCGCTATTCTCATCGAACCTCACCCTTGCTGGGGAATTAAAGCGATTTCCCTGAAAACTTGGTACTATTTCTCTAAAAACTTGATTATCAGTCTATTTTTAATTCTTGAAGTATGAATTTTGCTTTTGCAGCACGTTCAATGATTCAGTGTGTTTCATTTTATTGTGATCTTTGTAGCATCGGTTTTAATGTGCTGTCAAACTGCCGTGATTTGAAAAGTTTAATTTATCTGAAGCTAAATAATGCAGTTGAATAAAATGTCAAAAATGTAAACGCATGTTGGGAAAATCTCAACCACTGATGATGGTATTGCTCTTTTAAATGTCCTTATTTCTTCTCTCTTTTAAAACAACTAAAGCTCATCTCCTCTGTTTGGTGTCGTGGGGCTCTGAGGTTGTAAGTTGTTAGTTTTCTCGTCTTTCTCAGCTTATAGAACTTTCTACTTTGTAAGGTAAAGATGTCTAAAAAAATGTCTTGTTGGTCTATGACAATTTAATGGCCAAACAAAACAATATTAAACTCTGGAAATGTTTAATATACATATATTAACATTTATATTTTTTCTTTTTTGTTTCTGGAAATATGAAGTTATTTTTTCATAGAGCTTAGGTGCTGAGCAACACACGTTACTGTACACCTTAACTCTTCTTCATGTCATAAATCTTGCTTGAAGTGACAAACGGGTTACACTCACAAAAAAACACAGACTCTGACAGATGAAGCATTTGGCTGAATTTCTGTGATAAATCCTGTACGGTCTTGATCCCAAATGGTAATCCTGTTTCCCTGCTCTCTTATACAGTATATTTAAACAGCGCTGGGGGGCAGCTTTCACACTTATTACACACTAGATTGTAAACCACTACGGTCTCTGTTTGTAGCTCTGGTATCGAGCTGATTGCGTATGAAGGTTCATATCAAATATTACAAACATGCTCTCGAGTACCATTAACCATTCAAAGGCGGCATAAAATATCTTATATATACACTGAATATATAGACATTTATTGGTTTGGATATCTATTATAATAGGCCATGATTGACATAAGTGTCAATCATGTTGAGAAACTGAAACTAACGTCTCCAAGTGCATCGGACAACTCAAACAGAAAATAATCTCCAACAATCACAACAAACTCTCACAACTTTTTCTTTCATAAGATATTTTAAAATTTTTGATTTGTCCCTAGAAGTCGCTTTTATATAACAAACTAGCATGGTGATAGAAACTGGTAGAGAGCCAAAATTGCACAGTTTCATTACATACAGTGTCCCTCCAAGGCTCTTCATTGGTAGACAAGAGGTCGAGGAGGGCTGTCACTTGACTTGTCATCACAGAAAGCTTGTACCAAGATTATATTATTATCTCTAGGGGTTTCTATTCTACTACGCAAACACAGGGTCAATTCAAATTTTAATCTTGTTATGGCAATGGATAAAATTAATGGGCCCAGTAACTGTTACGCAGAGAAGATGAACAGAAACAAAAGAAAAACCACATGGTGACATTTCATCCTCCAATAGCGATTTATTGTTTCAGAATTTATTTACATTATTAATGTTATTTGCTAGACTGAGAAACCGACTGACCAACTTTGTCACAGTTTAAGCTAATTATGCTACCATGACTACAACCCTCTCTGGTCACATCATTTAGATTCGTCACTTAGATTACATTAATCCTCAATAAAAATGTTAAGCTAACATTTAAAATTTTAATAGATTTGTGTTTTTTAAAATGTGTTTATTAATTCAATGACCATTACTAAATTGTTATTCATAGATGGGCATTTCACAACCTGAACAGGATCCGATGGAGTGCAGAGGTACAGAGAGAGTCCGTTATTGAATCTACTTCAGAGAATTCATTTATTTCATCTTCAAAAACAGTTCATATTAATCAGTATTGCTGCTTTGTGACTGTTGTCTCTCAGGGAGTTACTGAATGAGCAGATAAAACACTTACAAGAATTCAAAGTCATTGAATTCTGGAGCTGTCAAGGCTGTTTTGCTGCCTCTCGTCACATCTCCTCTTTCAGCTTGGCCAGCCTGAAGTCCTCTCTCACTTGCTTCAGCAGATCGGGACAGCAAACCACATCTACAGCTGTCATAGCCAGAGCTTTCGCTGTCCTCAGGGTGAACAACTGGGCCCTTTCGCTTCCTGACACAGGAAGGAAAAGCAGGAAATATATCATTGGGTACAAAGGAAATGAACAGGCAAAAACAAGTCACCTGAAAAGACCTAACAGCTGCTTTTGTCTGATCGTAGGGCACTTTCATTTTGTTCCAAACAGACACGTGCTGCGATACCTGCTGCTTCTGTGTATTCCTTGGTGTGGTTTAGCGCCTCAGTGCAGATGTAAAAGAAAGGATGGATCCCGGGAACAATGAATGATACGTTGCCAAAGTCGGTAGAACCTGCCAGTTAATTACAAAATCACTGTGATCACAGGTGTGTTAGTTGAATGAACAATGCAAAAGATGCTCAAGATCACAGTTCTGGTGTTACTCTTGTGATAAGTGAACACTGTCGAATAAGATAGAAATGTCTACTTTAAAAATAATCCTTTTCACCAACCAGCGAACTTCGACGGCGTCTCTGGAAACTCGATCCCCAAACTTCTTCCATTATTTTCATACAGGTTTGCGAGTGTGGCATTATGAAGAATATTATAGTATTCGTGACACGGGTAGGTTATCTCAACCTAAAGAGTAATACGTGGGTGTGAGAGTGAAATTAGAACACAGAAAGAAAGCACCATAAAGTATTAACTGTTTGCGGGACTACGTGCATATGCTGTAACGTGAGCAAAAGCTCCCTAAGGCAAGTGCAGATGTAGGAGGAAAGTAGCCTGAAGATAACTGTGAATGATGTAACTGTTGCACGAAGAGCATATTTACAGGAATATTTTAAAAAGGGCAACGTTATATAACAGCCAGCCTCACTGCTTGTTGCAACATCTCTGCTGGTTTTTTAATCTTCATGTTAGGGATACAATGTGTGTCCAGTCAACAGACTCAAATCAGATACAACATTTTCAAGGTTGCTTACTTTACAGCCTGTGGCCACTGCAGCTGCCCTGAGGCAAGCCTCTGCTTTTTCCTTCAGGATACAAAGATCCTTCACCAGCGGGGTGCGCAGATAAAACTGTAACTCTGAGAAATCAGGGATGATGTTGGGCTTCACTCCTCCATGTTTGATGATGCCTGTGGAGATTTCCATGAGAGACATAAAATATCTGCTTTACCTGTCGACTCTAAAACACTCAAGCCTCGGTAAATAAGTGTGTGGTTGACAAAAGAGTTGAATCGAAACACACACTGCTCACCATGAAGCCTCCATTCTGGTTTGAGCTGCTGTCTTAGAACAGAAATGTTGTTGTATGCCAGCACAGCGGCATCCAGCGCATTCACTCCTTCCCAGGGGTACGCAGAAGCATGTGACGCCTTGCCATGGTACTTCACTGTCACCCTGCATAACATAAACACAGCAGGTTAAAGGTTATTTACATTAAGTAGGAGTAAATCTATACATTCTGTGAGGTAAACAGGAACTTGCTCATCAAGTGCAATGGTGGGCAGGAAAGAAGCATCCTGCTGAGCTGGGTGAGCCATGAAGACGAGGTCAATGTCAGCGAAGGCCCCTGCCTTCATCAGGTCGATCTTTCCCCCGATATCCTCCTCTGCAGGAGTTCCCAGGACCGTTACCTGATAATAAATTAAGAATCTATTATTTCACAATTATCGGCTCATGTGAGCGGTCCTGCCGTTTGCAGAGACAAGTCAGGATGATTCTGAGAGCCTCTTACTGTCAGCAGCCCTCAAAGATATTAGAGTAATTTTCTTTTATGTATTAACATTTAACTTAACACCATAAGAGAAAACTTTCTTAATAGATTTATCAAAGTATATATAGGGGACAGTGGGGTAAGTTGAGACAAAGGGTAAGTTGGTAGTAGGGATACGGCTTAACTTACCCACTCCTAGACCTCTTTTTTGGCATGCTATATTATCAAGGCAGTTACGTTTACACTCATTCTGTTGGTTTGCGGGAATGCACAACATCTTGAAATATATGCAGATACACTCGTTAGAAAAAAAAATATGATTGCCTTGATGTAGTGATCTAAAATATGAAAAATGGCTCATCTTACCCCACTCTCCCCTATAACTGTCTTTGTTTGTGATTGTTTATGGCAAAAAAAAAAATCCATATTTCCTTTGATTTATTTCATGAAAATGACATTTGAACTACAAAAATAATGGACTTCAGCACATTTCTTTACAGTCTGACATTCAATAATCAAATTGTGAATTCCTCTGAAGGGTGATTACTGTATTCATGTTAGCAGGATTGGTGTGGGTGAAAACAAGTAAACTGATTTCTTTTTTTAACTGATTTGTCATGCACCACCAAAGTTTTGTTTTGGAGGTGAAAAAAAATCTTGGGAAATGGGAAATCTTCAATAAAAAGGGAGTTTTTCCCTTTGTTTAGACATTTTGAGTCATCAGATGGCCGTACAGTTTAATTTTCATTCAAATAAGTGGAGATTTTGCTACTTCTTGTTGTTCACTGGTCAAAACTTGCCAGTTTCTGGTTACCTTGACCGGCACAGGGAGCTCAGTCTGGTTTTGCAGAGCAGCTTTCAGCCCCAGGGCGGCGGCAGCTCCCACCTCTGCAATCAGGTTGTGCCCACATGCGTGCCCGATATCCGGCAACGCGTCGTACTCGCACAAGAAACCCACATTAAGCGCTTGTTCACCCTCTCTGCCCCCCACCGGACCCCAGCTGGCACGGAAAGCTGTCTGTAGTTTGTAATGACTTTCTACAGTCCATGTGTGGGCCTGGGAAAAGAACCGAACCAGCCGGTCGTGCGCCTGCGTCTCTTCTCCGGCCAGTTCGGGTCGGCTCCAAATGTCCCGGCTCAGACTGTACAATTCATCTTTTTGTGAGTCTATGCACAGCTTCACATCGTCTTTCATTTGCTGTTGTTTCTCCATGCCCCTCTGTTGTTGCAGCCTCTCAGTTTGGCTGAACACAAATGTTAACAACGAACTCTGGGCCTGCAGACGAACGCTGCATTCACGTGCTGTTGGGACAGTCGGGAAAAAAAAGCACACCGACTTGGAAAGTAACATAAAGGTTCCCATCAGTTTGAATAACAACACGGAAAGTCTAAAACGAAACACAACAGACGTAATATCAGCAGAAACGGGACCAGTTCATGTTTATCTGATGGCAAAATCACTCCCCAGTCAAACAGCATTCACCATAATGTTGAATTTTAGTTCATTTTAATATGATATCATGGCTGCAACGGAAGTTTGCTGTCCATGTTGATTGATTTTATCTCTGATCAATTGCATTTTAAATATCTTTTCGTCCATACTGTGCTTTTTATGAACAGTATGGACAAATTTAATACTTGACGCCTCTGAGCATCATGGAAGTTTAGAAACTCCGAGCATTGAGAGAGACCGTGAACGCATGATGAGCCCCCACATTTGTTTGTTTTTTTGGGTTTTTTTGTACTGTGACGTATTTGTTTGGCGTCATTGCGTAAAGTCTTAAATTTACGACCGAGCCCAACAGGCTTAAAATCAAGCTTAATTTGGCAAATTAGAGACTTAAGAGACTCAGTGATGCATTACTCAGATGGAGGATGGAGGATTTAGGAGTCTTTTTTGTCTCAGTAATCATTTTTTTCTGAACTTTGGTATCATCTTATATTGTTTCTATTATCTACTTCCAAAAAAACTAAATAAAGAAAATCGACCAAAAAAATCTTTAAAACTAGAAAAGGTGCATTTAGTTTGATGCAAGCTGCAACTGGAAGCCAATGTAGGGAGATAAACAGAGGTGGCATGACCTGTCTTTTTAGCATAACAATAAAGGTTCTGACATTTTGAAGGAAAACATTTGTACCATATACTCAAGCAAATAATGCTGTAAATTTTCTCAGTACTTACATGGGAGATGAATATATGAATCAATAAATCACATCCTGTTTACTTCTCTGACTGTTTCTCTGACTTATGTTTTGACATCTATTGTTTGCATTTCACTGATGTCGGTTATTAAGTCTAAAAAACAATACAAACTTTGAATTGTAAGATTCATTCAAGTAGATGAGATCCACTTAGTTACACTTACATGGATAATAATAGTACATTGAGGCACCCTGGTGTGATGGATAATACTGATATGTAACGATAAAATGGTCTTGGGTTCAAATTCCAGTATTGACTCATTAATTTAAAGTTAGCATGACCTGGCTTCCACAGGGGTCTGGACTGTATTTTTGTATCAACACAATGTAATGGAGAGACGATATACCTGAGCAAATAAATGTGAAGCAGCACCTTAGTGTGGTGGGTAAACACTGATGCCTTGTGGCAAATAGGTTCTGAGTGAAAATTTTCTGGCATCCTTCAACTGCAGTCATGTTAAATGCTGTTTTGAACTTCCACAGACAAAGACAGCAGGGAGTGAAGGACCTACAAGTACAAGCACTGCCAGGCAAACTTTAAGTGTCATAGTGAGGGCTGCTGAGACTCTATGAAAAGATTCTTGGCTCTCATCAAGGACAGCAGGTCTCCATGGAGAAAACTGCTGTTCTCACATAACATTTTAAACTGTGTTTAATGAAAGGTGAAATTAAAAAAACATTCAAACACAATGTGGTCAGGTTCACCTGTGGTGTAGTGGTCAAGGTTCCTGCCTTTCAATCAAAGATCTTGTGTTCAAATCCATGGCTGTTCATGAAACAACCTTTACGTTCTCTGCCACATGATGAGCCTCAGCCCTGTCTCACCTGAGAGGGGCAATACGCTCCAGTAGAATCGCCATCTAGTGGCCAAAATTTCACTCAATTAGTGGTATTATTTTTCCCTCTCTAACTGCATTAAGGAGCAAAAATACATTTCTTCCATCAAAATGAACCCCAGAACACTATCGCTAAAATTATTAACACCATCACTTTCGCCGGGTGATTTTTACCTGAAATAATATACCCAATAAAAAGTACTCGTCATCAAAATATATCAAAATAGGACAATACATGACAAATTAAAGTACTTTTCTTTTATTTTTAACTGTTAAATATCCAAAGGGAGGAAAAAAAGTGCCATTAGACGACAGTGTAAAAATGCAACAAAATAACTGAAATTAGGCATTCATGAACAAAAAAATTCTTTAAAAAAAAAATATAGAGATTGTAAACTTAGTTTCTTTTCCACCCATTCCTGGGGCATCTGAGTCTTCTCCGGTGAAGACTCAGGGTCCTTGGAACAATAACAGCTGCAGAGAGAGAACCAAAATATTGCATATTTTGAGCAGACTAAAATATTTCTTACCATAGGAATTCCCTTAAAAATCACTATTTTGTGATAGTTTTAACCACTGCGCTAAATAAAGATAGCATGCAAGTTCCAGGACCACTCTTACTGACCTTATTTGCCTACACACAGCTATCAAATCCACCCAAACCTACTTTACCCTCTATCACTATTGCCTGTTGGTAAAAGCAGGTTTTGGATCAGGGAAACAAATATGCCCTCAAAGATGTCAAAGGTAATGCTGAAGCTACCCAGGGACCCATGATACTCAGACAAACGCAACATAAAGAAAATCACGTAAACATGTTTGATTGGATGAAAATCACCCGGCAATATTGTTCTAGGGTTAAATAGACCTTATTATATCTGTCATTTGAGTGGGTGTTGCTTTTTCATTGCATCACAAAGTCACATTTAACAAAACCACAGACAAACCAAATGACAGTGTGTAAAATCGTCTCTGCTGTGGTATAGTTTTGTCAAACTGAATTTAAAATCTTGCTGTCAGACCCATGAGGTCTCATGTATTACATGATTTAAAAAAAATCCTGCACACTTCTACATATGTCAGCACACTAGAGGGACCCAGAGTGACACACATAAAAGCCTCTGCAGTCATCTCGTATGCAGCAGAAATAAACCAGCACTTTGCTGAGTGTTTTGATTTATTTTGAACCGTTTGGTAAATGACAAGAATAAAGCCTTTAAGGAGAAAGACTTAACAAAGATCCAGGAGGGTTTAATTGTTTATTTTATTCATTGATGTCTGTAGCTACCCACAAGACTGCACACACAGTAATCAGCTTTCCCTTTAACTAGAATCTGGCCCCATGAAACAAGGTCAATTAGCGCTGTATGAATAAAGACAAAGCTTCACAGCTGCCGCACAACCTGTGTGTGTTTATTTTTGTGCATTCGCGTGTATGTGGAAGAGAAAGAGAGCAGGTGTGTATGTGTATGTGTGCGTGTTTTCTCCCTGATTTTGAGTTGAGGGTTAATTGGGGGTGGTTGTCAGTCACAAGAGGAGATCCGTCAAATACATTCACAGAGCTGACACTGGGACTGCCTCCTGACATGGCCTGTCTGTCAGCATACTTTACGCCCCGCCGGTGATGCTGATGACACCCTCCATTGTGTTTCAATTAAGTGACATGGAGGGTAGGCGGCCGTGTGTCAATCCATTGTCTTATTCAGGGATTTAGCCCTGTGAGCATGTGTTTAATTTCACATGATTATGCTGGTTTTTGGCCTCAAATTTTGTTTCCCCAAATGGAGGCACTAAATTGTGATTCAAGACAATCATTAAATATTTAAAAAGAGAGACATAAGTGCTTCGACTCGTCACTCTGCTTAAACCTGTATCAAACCAAAGGAAGAAGCAAACAAATACAAAATAATATATAGATTCAAAACCCTGCCCCCTCTCACAACACATGCATTAAAGACACACTGGATATTTCAAGCTGAGGACATTTTTTAAGTAAATTCACCAGTGATCACACCAAGCCTGATGGATGGATGGGTTGGGCTGTATTCTATGTATGCAGGCGTCACAACAGCAGGATGCCCCAAGGAAGGCCGCTTTGACAGCTACATTGAATTGATGTGCTCCTGATGACAGCATGTGTCTGAAATAGGAGATGAAACAAACAACGCACTTTGCTTGGGTGCATGTTTGTAGGTTCTGTGTGTCTGCAGACACAGCGAGAGTGTGGTCTCACCAGTAATGTGTTTGTGACTGTATGATAGATTCAATTTGTTTTGGCCAACATCCACCAGGAAAAGAAATAAGTCATAGAAGAAAAGGGGAACATGGTGAACTGAAAATCTCTTGAGATATTTTAGTTCCTTTTTTAAAAAAGTATATAGATTTAAACATCGAGTGGTTCCGTATTTTAACATCTAGTTTAATTTTACTTTTATCCAGCGATACTGAACAGCAATATCCACGGCTGAATAAAAGATTTGGATGTGGCCAACATGTAGGGTATCAACCATTAGTATGAGAACCTGCTCCCCATGTGACCCCAGCCATATTTCGTTTTCTATTTTGGAAACACAGGGTGATTTCACCCATTTTCTGTCTCTTTTCTGGTTTTGGATAATTTGTTAGCACCCCTCCAGAAAGTGGCCAAGCTCTAAGACACACCATGGTGTCTATATTACTATAAATGGGACGATTATTCACAAAATGAACACAATTTTGTATTATAGAAGAAAGACAGAGGACTTGAGAGTAGACTAATTTAATTATCTGGCCTCGTACATCTACAGCTACATCCACACTTTTGTGGTTTTTCAAAAATGTCACTTCGCACCAGATATGTTTTAAATATTTCCCTGTCCGCACAACAATCCAGAAACAGCTGAAATGACGGCTTAATCACGCCAGAATGCAATATAAATTCCCATGCAGTAAAATGATACGGTTCCTTGTTAACATGCAGTTAAACCTGACAAACAGTATCTGGGAGCACGCCATCTTGGCCCATTCTCAACACAAATAAACAAAAATGACAAAGCACAAGCTGAGATAATGGCATCAGTGTTTCCAAATCCTTTTGTGGTAGTTTGCCTCTAAAAACATGAAAACAGAGTTGTTCAAACTCTTCACCTTGAAAGGCTTTTTTAGAAATCTACAATTTTCAGTGACCCAAAACTCCATTCGGTGGACAAAACAGTGTGATACAACCTCTGAACATCAAATATTCTGTGTCCTTGCTTTCTACAATGACTGTGAGAAACAACAGTGT